ACATGCAGTCACGGAAGTCATAGGGGACGAGCAAAAATCGCTAAGGGACCTGTTCCGTTCAGCTCAGTGTTTTTCTTCCGCTAGGTGTTGCTGGCTAGCTGGCGCCTATCACCGCCCGATTCTAAGGGTTTAACCTCATTTATCCGTCCATCCATCCACTTATTGGGAATAGTTCCTAACAACGTGTGAAAAACGCAGGGCACGGCATATTATGTTCACGCCTCTTGCTTTGCGACGAGTCCTTCGTCTTTGTTATCGGTTAACTCCAAAATCTTAATGGCGGAAAGCAGGAATAATACGCTCTGCACTTGCCACACCCTGCTTTTTTCGAGCTGTGATTGAATATAGACAAGAACTTCAACGTATTCAGCGATTCCCTCAACATTCAACCTTCAAGTATTTCTGCCGGCCGAAGCAGTTGAATTTTTTAATAACAATGCTTATAACCCAATGCTTTGTTGGCAATTTGGCAAGGCTTGGGTAAAATTGTCTGGGCCTTCCCAAAGACACTTTTGTTGGTCACAGGTGGGGGGTGCCATAGAACGTCATAAACGCTATTGCAAGGTGTTGGCGTCATGTCTGCGAGAGGAGCTAGTATTCCCTTCTCAGACCCAGTAGCGAAGAAAATCTCGTTTATCTGGCAAGGTTTTACAGATTTCTGAAGATTCCGACAGCCCAAAGCAACCACAGCTGGGAGTCTTGCAGCTAAGCAAAGGTATGTCCTCTTCGCCATCTTGTGTTACTCATTACAAGCCATGACCGTCTCTCTCGAGTCTCAATAAGAGATGACCCTAGTGTGTTTTGTTATGAGGTGGACCTGTTCTAGCGGGTTAAGCTGCGCCTATTGAGCAAATTCTATCAGTATAAATGGCTCTTGGTGAAGTTAGAGCTATTAGTGGAGCTACGCTTCTAAGTAATGACACTCCAGCCATTTTGGTGCTCAAAATCATGGTTGTCAGTAGCCTGAAGCCTTATTCTAAATTGCGTGAAATGCTCTTCCGCTCACCAAAAAATTTGAAACAGTGCGCGACACAGCAGAACAATATCACCTGAGCTTCCACACCCCATATCTAAAACTCAGGAAGTCGCATTTTCAAAAGGCAACTATCGCGACTGCCATAGCTGTGCAATAAGCAATAATGTGGCGGTACCCACAAGATCATCGGGAAGGCAGTACTTTCTCTAGGCGTGGCTTATATTGTTGCTCTAGTTGAAATTATTTGCTGATTTAGAAAGCAAGGTATGAGATATTTCACACTCTTGCACGTCGCCTAGATTGTGGTCGAATGCCACCAGGGGGAGGGGGGGAGGGAGGGAGGGGGAAGGGGGGGGGGGGGGACATGACACCAACCTTGCAAACACGCTTCTAAACAGATTCTGACACTGAAGACAACTGCGTCCCTAGCAACTGAAACGGCAGTTACACTGATTCATCGGATAACATCAAGAAAACACGTGACGACCACGTCATTTCTAAAAACAATCATGTGACATAATCACGGAAAACTCATTACTGCATGCTTGCTGAATTAAGCAGTCACGAATGACACGTGGCTTCAACGTCAACAGTCACGTGATTGGGTGCTATCGTTCTTCTCGCGTTTCTTCAGCGAAGCCAGAACGTATTCCTAAACCCGTGCTTACAATTACAGATACATGATTCGATTCCCGCCAACAATGCGTATATGAGCAATTAAATGCGATTGCTCAAAAATGGCCACGAGATAAAAGCGGCAGCTGGGACTCTAAATCCTTCTGTATCGTCGTCCAACTTGCTCGTAAATACTTCTAGTGAATAAGCCATATATATTTTCTGAAAGCAGAAGAGCGCTGTAAACGACGATACGTTGGTCTGACAATTAAAAGAAATCATGCTCCCTGGAGAGTTTTTATTTATTTTTCTTTGGCAAAACTAATCGAGGACATCTAGAGGAATCGTAGACAGTCATAATTTCTGCGCGCCTATTTTGTTAATCGCTACATTGTACCTCGCCATTCTTCATTCCTGGTCCCTTTTAAACACCTTTCAAATCTATTGTCATTGTTTTGTTTTTGTTCATGGACAGTTTTGGGCAGTAAATCATGCAAGCCGTTGTCCTTTACCTGCTCGCAGTTCTCAGTGCTCAGGTGAGATACTCATCCTTGAGAGCGTGCTAACTTACCAAGTTAACACATATATTTCTGACCAATTGTTCCCGCTCAACAGGTAGCCACGAAAAAACAAGTAATAAATGATGATGGTGAGTGGAAACATTGCCTTTTTCGTTCTTCTTACCAGCTCCGGATGCCTAGTCACTGCAGTTTGTTTCTTCGTTTCTATTTTGAAGACTCAATTGCACCCTCCGGGTAATTGGAACCCAATCCTCTACACTTGCTCAAGAAAAGTAATATATTACAATGACTCTTGGTTAAAAGTATTCAATTAGAGTATTTAATTACCTGAGAACAAAAGTAACCGGCCGTTACCTGAAAAAGTACTCGTTAGTTTTCGATTACTTCAAAATTTCACAACGTTAGCTTTTTCTGCTGGTTTGAAAACTGGTCTTTTATACTGTCCATAATTCGATTAGTAGAAAAACTGAATCACAAACGACTTATTTTCTTAATCCACCAATTTTAACGAACCTTCCTCTTGTCGGAGAGTTTGATCTAGGACGACCTGCTAGGAAACTTGTAGAAAGAAAGGGCGCCATTAAAAAAAGGGGAGGGGAAAATAATAACGTTTACGATTAGTTTAAGTGCCTCCAAAAGTGATCAGAATTTTCTTGCGATTACTTCCTACTAAATGTATTCAAATGATGACAAAATTTATACCAAAGGGTACTCGATTACGAGTAATTTGAATTATTGTAATGAGTTTCGTACAAATCTGCCTGTTGAACGAATTAAAGTTTAAATTAATAGTAAACTTTTGTTGCATATCTGCTAAGAAACTTATATTGTCCAAATGGCAGCTCAAGAAACGCAGGACAAGGTTTATTATGGTCGCGATTCTGCTTCGTTATTAACTTCATGAAATTCTCATCAGCTGATGAAGCACTCTTTCATTGGTTCCGGAGAGATAATAAAATTCAAAATGAGCTTGGGACTCGCCACGCCCAAGATTTTTTTTTAAGTTATCGGTGATTATAACTTACAGCAAAGGTGCGCCTGACGTATTTACTTGTGGAAAATATAGAGAAAAAAAATACCCTTAATCAAAAATCCGCTCCATTCTGTGTAAGAAACGCCTTCCTCTCTTATGATGTCACTTGCGTTTCTCTTACCACCGTCAAGATTGTGGACATGCTCCTGACAGTCCAAGAATCGTAAATGGCACGTTGGCTAAAAAAGCCATGTTTCCCTGGACGGTAAGTGGAGGTTCACTTCGATTCCAAGTTCTAAAACTCTATTGCACCCTAAATCAGTGTGAACAAGGGCTAATAGACTATCGGAAACACCCTGTAACACCCTAGCCCTATGGTGTCCGTCCAAGGCTAAGGTGTCACACGGTGTTATACACTAAAAAAAAATTCGTTCTAGAAAGTTTATTTGACGCCCCGAGAGCACTTTCACCTCGTAAAGAACGGTTTTGCCGCAAGCATTATCGCCCCTGGCGCACTAGAAATGCAACTGGGCGATGAAAAAAAAAAAACTACCTCACATTAAAAACTTAGTTGAAAACAACACAGGTTTTTCACGAAGAACCCTTATAGGGGGTGTTTAAAAGAACTTTTTAGGGTGCCATATATGGACAAGCTGAATAACCCCAGGAGTTCTTTTTCGACCAGACTTTTTAAAGTGCAGGTATTTTTGTACTAGGAACACCATTCGACTCCTGGTGAACATCAACCATCTTACAAGACTTATACGGATATATTTATACAAGCAACAACTTTACGAAACCACAAGCACAACGTACAGTTTTATTATACATAGAAATGGCCAATATAGACGCAGTGCATCACGAACGAGAGAGGGATAATGACCTTATTAACTGCTCCATTGCCTTGTACACTTCACAATCGAGAGACACTAACTGGCGGGTGACCGCTTTCATAACTACGAAGACTACAAGAATGTTGATTAGTTACAGTCAGTAAATCACGCAAAACAAAATATATCTAACTCCAAAAATATATCTCCATGTAAATATTATTGGTACATACAAAAACGAATCGACATATTCGCTAAAACAACCTCGATTAAAGCTTATTTCTGAAGCGTGAAGATCTTTCAAAAATGGTGTTCACGTCACTTAACCGTGGTACACATTTCACACCATTTTCATACCCTTCAACTGATGAAGGGCTTCCCACGCAACAGCTCCCTTACGATTAAAATGGGTGCGTCGCTCAACATAAGTGTACTGAAAGGATGTAGCCGTAGGTTTATAAGTCTCTGGGACGTGCCGTTTAGACCCATAAAGGTGTAACTTTTTTTTTTTTCAGTGTGGCACTAGTTGTTATTAAACAAAGGTTCAGTTTGCGAAAGACAAACATTTTTAGACACCTCTATCAGGACTCACTAAGTAGGCTGTGCTTCAGAGTAAGGACACTTTACAGTTTTGGTGCCTTCATCCTCCATCCAAAATCGTAAAAAGCGTTTGTTTGTTTGTTTGTTTCATTCCATACAAATAGTAAAACTGTCCACGAGCGAGCAGAATGATATCGCATCACGTAACTGGCGTCGTATCCGAAGCACAGAAAGTCGCCTTTTGTAATCGTATACCTGCCGCCAGCATACTGAGCCCGCTCTGCGCTAGGAACCAAAAATGGCGACTGCACTGAGCGCCAAAATGGCGGAGCCCAGAAGACAGTCGAGGAAAAAAGTTCCGATACTCTAAGCGCAATGTACCTGGTGACTTTATCTTTCCGGGTGTGTGGCTTCTGCAGCGCGTGCACGGGAACCAGATTTGCATGAGGCGAAGTGCCGACAGCAGTGTGACGTCAATAGATGAGTTGGTCTATACCTGTCTCGCTTATCTTCTTCTCCAACGATCCACCTAGGTGTCTTTGGAAATGAACTTCAACGGCGCAACGGTGTCTTGTGCGGGAGCCATTATCACCAAGTATACCGTGCTCACAGCTGCGCACTGCACATTTCTGTAAGTTAACCTCTTCGCAAATTTCGTAAGTGTGGAGTGTAAGAAATCTAGGGCGTATACGTTCCCGTAAAGTACTTGGAAGACGTTAACCGAGGCCCACTTTCAGCAAGACCAAATGTGCTATGCCTGAACGTAATCAATAAAGAAACTATGAAATGTTTCAGCTTCTTTTATTGCGTAGCTTTTATAAACACATTATTTTTCTCCTTGACCCTCTTTGTTTCCCACTCATTCACAAAACAAATGAAAAAAACTATAGCGAAAGAGAGAGAGAGGGAGAGAAAACACACGATAATTGTGGATAAATTGGCGGCATTAAAAATAGCGTTATACCGAGCATGATGGAGGTTGAACGCGAGAGAACATGTTTGCTTCATGCATATGTTTCCAAACATGTCTTTAGACAGTTTTTTTATGACCAATCTGACAGATCCGTGTACTAAAAAGAAACACTTCAGACTGTCTTCCGACTGTATTTTGTAGGATGTATTAGCCGTGTGAACGTGGCCCTAGACAGAATACGAGGGATTCCGAGATGAAATAATCACATACAGGAGAGAGGTCATTAGGTTTCCAATCACCAGAAAATGGAAGCCACTGCCGAAAAAAACAATAATGAAAGAATACCGATTTTTCGTAACGTTTTACGCACACACCAACTTGCTGTCCATGCTATCTCTATGCTCTCGGCCACCACGAGAAAAAAAAATTTATATTTTTTTTGTTTCCAGGGAAGGCGAATCAGTGAAAAAGATTGTTGCATATTATGGGAGCACTATTAAATACGGCGGAACGGGTGTAGTTGTCAGAAGGCTGCTGAGGCACCCTGAATTCAACAGGACCAACTACCACAACGACGTCTGCCTCCTAATGGTACGTCATGTTAATCGGCGTTTGTTTGTTTGTTTGTTTGTTTGTTTTCGAATGGCATTTGAGATCACGTTGAGCTTTCCCCCGTGATATCGCGCTAAACAGGACTCTTTCTCAGAACCTTTCAAGACATCATGCATTCGTGTTTGATTCAGTTTGGTTAATTATAAAAATCACTGAGAGCTTAAGAAACTTAACCAGCTTACGACATCTTCATATTCACGTGCATTTTCAGAGTGACGTCTTGTTTACGAGCGTTTCTAAGCTGGTTGTGACTACATTGTGTCGCGGTTCAGGTAGCACGCTATTTATTTTTTTTTCTTCTTTCTTGTGTGTTTCTTTATGTAATTTTTTTTTTCGTATGTCCCTCCCCTACTGTAATTCCCTCACCGGGATTGTAAAGTGTCTGAAATAAATTTATAAATCAATAAATAATCAAAATTTCATCAAACGTCAGTTGTGAGTATAGCGCTTGTCTTTTCTACGTCTTTCATTCATTCATTCATTCAATGTTTTATTTCCAAATCTCTTTTCAAAATACACAACAACTGCGTATTGTCCTTGTCCTTGCCGCGTCAGTGTCTATTATTCCATGGCTACTCGATAGATGGCGCCAGTGTGTTATCTCGCTGGAACACATCCCAACCGGTTGCAAAGGCTGGGTCACACACTTGCGACCGCTTACGACCGAGTGTGTTAAAACCTCTTGTCATATCTTACGACAAGAAAACACAGTAACGCCATCTACAGGGACGCTGTGGAACACTTGGCATTTCCGTGTATTTCTCATTCTTTTAGCGCAACATGCAGTTGTTTTTTTGTTTTCTTTAAAAGCTTGTAACAATGTTATAGAGGCCTATTTCTCGTAGACAGTGCGTACATTTCGTATCGCAAATACCGCAAAACCTTCGCTCCAGAGAAATCCAGTTCCAGGGCCACCTGATGCATGACACCAACATGTCAGCGTTCTTTTTCTCTCTTCGACAAGAGATCGCAGAAACTGGGTCAAGCGCAAGTGTGTAACCCTTAAACGCGTGCTAATCTCCTGCGTGGTGTCGTTCGCAGCTCAGGGATCCTATCGAGTACAGCGATGTGGCCCGCCCAATTTGCGTCTCGCTGTCCCCCGTGGACATCCATCAGAAGAATGTTCGTGTTTCGGGCTGGGGAAAAATGAAACCCGGTGAGCGGTCTTTTATTCGTGAGTTTCTGTTTTGTGGTTTGTGATAGTTGGTGTTACTAATCACACGAGACACCTGAATTCTTTTTTTTTTAATTTACTATGCAATGAAAAAAAATAGTAAAGAAATAATGTATACACGAACTCATCTCTGTTAAGTCATGGCGCGATGGTGGCGCGTCGGGCGCACTTCCGGTCTTGGGCTGTGGGGGGAAGCCGCCATTGGGCACGTGCATTCCTGTGTTACTTTGGAAGAAACCGGACGAAAACCTACCTTCTCGTCAAAACGCCGCGACTGGGGTTGTACCAAAAGAGTCGGGAAAGGTTTAAAGGTCAGTTTTCATGCGTTCTGCCTGCTCGGTTCGTTCGAGAACGTGAACATGGGCCGTGAAAAGGGAAAAACAGACGCCGTCGGACCACGATTGCCTGGGCGGGAGCACTTTGGATTGAATTCACGGATACTTCTGGTCGTCAGATTTATTTGTTTGGTTCCAACATGAACGCGGGAAAACCGTCAAGTTGCACGGACCACCTGCGGACTACGTTCAGTGCGTCATGACGTTCAAACGGCCGCCTCATTGTTCGAGCTGTCGTCTGCTCTCTCAAACGTTTCTGCTTGTCGTCTGCTCGTTCAAACGATAGCGGCACGTAGACCAAACGTTAACCCAGTAGCTGCGATAAGAAGTGCAGACCTCAAAATTAAGTTTGAAGGTTGCTTTGAGTAAGTAGGCTCGGTCTAAACAGAAGATATGAGCAAATGTTGATAATTGTTACCAGTGGCCATCACTGACTTGTTATGCCTGATTCTCTCGGTCCGATTCTGCTTGCGATTTTCAGTATCGGCGTCAACATCTCAGCTACGGTTCAGGCTTTTGCAGCCCGAGCGACCTCATGACTAAAAATAGCGAGCAGAACCTCACCATGTGAATCAGGCTTTAGCGTCCATTTTGCGGTGTTCACGCGGAATGAATCGCCGCATGTTACATTATTCACGTCGAGTTTTGCGGTGTAACGAGCTTTGTTAATTTGGCTGAAGATGCTCAAGTAGTCAGACATTGTTAGGAAGACGTAGAATCAACAATTCCAACACGAAAAAGAGCGCAAGGACTCACACCGACGCCGACAACATCCCATTCCAATGGTTTGTTCATGGGCGACAGCGAGCTTCTTGCCCACACCCCCATCGCGCAGGCGGGGCGTCGGTGGCGTTCGCTAGGGGCGCTCCGGTTTGTTTGTAAACATGAGTTGGTGTATACGTTATACATGTACAGTCATAAGTAAATAAGTTCGTTGTTAAAGGGACGGTACAACAACGTTCAGTTGAAATGTTTTTTTTTTTTTTTTTTTTTCACTTTACGCGAGCTTACTGGCACTATAGTGGGACTCAAGGATACTCGCACGCAACGCCACCGGCCAAGAAACTCCTTCGTGGCGGTGTAAGTTCTAGGACAAAAGCGAGCGTACTCATTGAGTCTCTCCTTCGCGAAACTTGATAACGTAACTGAGGGATCGCAGTATCCTCCACTGACGTTATCTGAATACAGCTCAGAGATTGAACCCGAGCATTGCGTGGTTCAATGCAAGCTCGAGAAGCATTCGGGTAGTGGCCCGTGTCCAATAGCTGCATTGATGACAATAGCCGAACCATAACAATGTGTGGAGCTCAACGCGTGTCCTGTACTTTGCCAACCCCAGCGCGTGGCTATGACAACATTGTCTGCATATATTCGGCTTCGGATCACGTGGCTGCTTGCTCTGGCTGCAAGCTGAGGAAGCGAAGGCTGCTCGTTTTTCTTTAATTTTTTCTGCAACTTGGGTCGCGTGTGGTGAAAAACGAACGGGTGTTTTGCAGGTCATTAACGTCAGAGATCCGTTCTAGGCGTTATTCGCGCAAAGCACATAAATCGTTGCATCGCCCTTTTAACGTCCTAATGGGTAGGGCTCACGATTTAGAATGTTTGGCTAGAGGTCCTTGTCGTTGACCTGTACGACCTTTGAAGGGTCCGAACAGTGTCGACGGTCAGGTGGTTAAATGGTCGGGTAATCGGCGGTTGGTATGGCTTGCCCGGGATTTCTTACTTGGCGGCTTTGTGTTGGCTCCCTTGCGGTTGAGTCGGCCTCGTACAGGCCGGCGCCTTGATAATTTGAGGAGAGGGGGTGACAGGTCGGGACCTCTCGAAGCCTGAGAACCCCGACGGGAGCAGGTCGCTGTGACCCCGGACCTTGGCAGTGATAGTGAATTTTGAGGCCGGTCGCCTCTCGGCGCCTGGACACTCCGATGGAAGCTATCGCTCTTCGTCCTAACCGGTCCGGGGAGGAGATCGAACAGTCACGCCTCCATACCGCGTTTCACTTTAAGCGTGAGAGCAGCAGAAGCTATAAGAGGGTACTCCGGACTTTCAGCGTCCCTGGCAAGCAAGTGCACTCGTGTAGTGCAAGCACTACTCAGGTCCACCTGCTCGCTCCTGTAGCATAGCGGTACGCTTCAGTTGTAGGCACAACAAACCGAATGTTCTTTTTCTTGATCAGAAACATCGAAATCGGCGATTCAAAAATCGCTCTTCGTGCGACCGAAGCACTGGTCAGAGCGAAGCGCTCGCGCTTAGACAGTGCTAGGCGAGGTTTACTTTATCCGTTAAGCTGTCGTAGTAAACAACGGGCATTAGGGACAACAAGCTCGATAAAGAGGCATTATAATTCGATCTCCTGTTCAATATTTTCAACTCCAATAAATCTCCCGCGCGCCGCCTCGTCTCACGCGCTCTTACTTTCTTGTATTGTCTTCTTTCTTCTCTCTCTCTTTCTTTATTCCCGGAATGACCATGACAGCATCTCATTATTGCTCTGCAACCAACATGGTTGCAACTAGAGCCACTGAATTAGCTACGCTTAGAGTATTGCAACCTCGTTGGAGTATTGGCACTCTGTTCCCAGAAATGGTTGTGGGCACCGCCATCTTGGTGCTTGTACAGAGCAGACGCAATTGCCGATTCTTATAATTCAAAAGTGCAACTTCCTCAGCTTTAAGTTCGGTGCCGCGAAATGTACAAACATTTCTAGAGGGCGGAAGAGCATTTCCTGTGATTTTAGATAAAGCTTCAGATTGCTCAACCATGATTTTAAGCCGCAAGATGGGTAAGTGTCGATACTCTGAAGCGTAGCTTATTTTGTGGCACTAGTTGCAACATCAGTCGACAACACCGAAGAACAAGTCACAGAGCAAGGAGCGTCATCATAATAGACCACGCACCATATTTCTTAAGCTGTAAGGGACAATGAAGTCATGTGTCTTTTCAGGGGGCGACTTTTCCACCAATCTTTACTACACAAGTCTCACTGTCATGCCGTCCAACATATGCATGACGAAGTTCGGAGACTACCAGTTCGACAAGGAACTCATGTTCTGCGCCTATGGAGGACACACAGACGCGTGCGAGGTAAGCTGCCTCCCCTTCTTTATCACTACAGCCCCCCCCCCCCCCCCCCCGACGAACGACCATCATGTTGAGTTGTAACTTGTAACGTAACCGGTACCCGCAAAAAAAAAAAAAAAAAAAAAAAAAAAACTTTGCAGGCGTTGTGCTTGTCTTCGAAGAAAACGTTTTCTTCAGACTCGTGTTTGTCGAATGCGTCATGTGTGCTGCAGGTGCCAGAGACGTGTTTGGTGTTTTCTTTTCCCATTTACGTTGTTATTTGGGCCGTTTCAGAAGATATCGTTTCGATAACTCCGATAACGAAACCGGATACTCTACTAGCGCACTTACACACAACTCGTAGCGTTATCGCGGGTACTGTTGACGGAGTTATCTGAACGATCCCCGAAAACTTCCTTTTCCAGTGAGTATTTTTTTTTGGCACAAACGCATAAAGCCACAGTCGCACCGCTGCTACATCATACAAAGGAAAGTCTGTACACACTGTCTCCGGTGTGTTTCTTCCTTGTAGAAATGTCCTTAAGCAAAACTTGGGACAAAGGACAAAAACAGAGAAAAAATAGGGACAATAAATGGGGACAATAAATGGGGAAATAGGGACAAAACCTGCGTGCAGGCATGTTCGAAGCAAGCGTGATCTGAACATGTTTGAAGCGTACAGATACCTCTCCAGTCGTGTCTGCAGCGAGCCCTCTATTTCGTACGATGCATAAGTAGTGTGGCTGCTTCTTTACGATCACCTACTCGAAGGTACCTGGAAATGTATTATTATAGGAGACACGAAGGCTGGCGACGTATGTTTCTTCAATTAGAGATAAAATTAACTGGATTTCTGTGACTCTCTTTCATCCAGGGAGACTCTGGAGCGCCGGTGGTGTCCTTAGCCGAGGACGGCCGTTTCCTTATCGTGGGCCTAGTTTCGTACGGCATCGAGTGTGCCATCAACGGTCGGCCGGCTGTCTACGCCAGGATCAGTGCTTTCGTGCCGTGGATCCTCGAGAACATTGGCAAAATTTCAGAATACACGCCATTGGGGTCGCTTGGTTGAATCGACTCTCGTCGTCCACACCATATACCTTTGACAACCAAAAACCCGAGCGTTGAATAACCATATCCCGTAAGAGACGAAGCACGAGCCTCGTTTTAACGATGCATTTTCCCGAATGCACAAGCCGAAGTTTGATGAGCACTGGACAAAACTATCTAGAACTCAGGAGCGCACATTACTGTGTAGGAAGCGCACTTCAACGTGCGCGATCTGTGCAAAAGTATGTTGAGAAGACGTATAGGAGGTCCCTCAGGCATATGCGTTCCTTCTCTCGCCACTAAACTAAAAACCAAGTGCTCGCATTTTCTAGATTTTTTTGTGTGCATGTGCGTGCATGTGTGTTCTTTTTTTTTTTTTTTTTTATTACGACGGTGTTTTGAGGCAGCAAAGCAAACACCGCTGCGCCTGCACTTTGAGCGAAGAACTCAAAGTAAAAGAGGCTGGATGCATGGCCTCTCCCAATGTTAGGCTTGGAGGGCCGCCGCCAACACAAACCAGAAGTCACGTTTCTAGTTATAGCCCGTTGGAGAAAACAACGGCACTTGAACATGGAGGTCGATGGCAGAAAATTCTGGGATTCTACAAGGTGCTGGCAGCCCTGTTGAAACAGAAAATCGGTAAGGCTAGCCGAGATCTACAATGTCCCGTAGCGCTTCAGCTGCTCTATGGTGCCTGAAGTGCGTCGCTAAGGCGTATGCTTAGCGTGTCTTACTTTTTGTTTCCTTCATCTCCGGCTGGCGTCGCTATTGTGCAGGAGTTTGCCGCTATTCTAGCGATGGTGTAGTAGCGGAGGTGAATACGCCAGACGTCTATACTGCTCTTGATCGCTTTGCAGTCAACCAGTCGACAGAAAATACATCATTCACGAGTTTTGGTGTCGAGAATAGAGCGACGCTTGCGGCAAGTCGGCTTCTTTGTCAGGTCTATTTTAACCATCCTCCAAGACTGTGACACCGCGGAGCACGACACGCCGGCTGCCACATCGGTGGCGCTATCTTTCATGGGTAGTAAAGGAAGCCAAACGCACCAGAAAGAACCACGTTCCAAGCACCTTGGAAAACAAATGCGTGATGTTGATGAGGCGAAGCTGAAAACGGCATGGGCTTTACAACCACAAACATCACAGAGCCATCATGTAGCAACCAAAAACCTACAGCAAGGAAGGCCACAAAAAATACTAGCCCCGAGATCAACCCATATCAGGTCTAGTTAAGTACAGAATTTTCAGAAATTACGGCATGGCAAAGCGTTTTCGTTCATATTCCCGAGTCTCGCAGATCTAGTATAAGCCTGTGTATACATAGAGAGATATGTGTGTGTGTATGTGTGTGTGTACAAGGTGCTTTTTTTTAAGCTTTACAGGTTTGACTTTAAAAAGTTGTGGAAGTTACAGTTATGCGGTTTGTTTAGGTGAGTGATACAGCCAGGGGGACATATATATGGGGCTAATCATAACGATCAATCGGCTAATTCAGTCAAATCTATTAATTAACTTTTAATTGGTGAAGATAGTTGTATGTGTCCAATTAGAAACTTGCTGAGCGTGATCCAAAGCCCCTAAATCAGCAATTTTTAGAGACTTTGAGCGCGTGAGAAGCGTAGTAGTGCACCAAAGTTACCACTCGTGAACAGGTACAAGGCTAGCGGTTGCAATAAGGTGCCCGCACGGTTTTTCCGCCTCTTATGAGAACCCCAGCCTTGTACCTGCTCCACGAGTGGTGTAACGGAACGCTTTAATACGCACCGTGGTTCACGGCGCGCTTTAGCATGCATCCTGTGGTGCAATTAAATAATCATTTTTCGGACGTGAATCAAGATCATTCAAAGAGGTGCTACCTCGGAGGTAAATGCTCAGTGGCACCTTAGGTCAGAGAGTATCCAAGGCTACGAGGTGCTGGAGTCAATCCAAAATTGCAATGTCACGGCGATCGTCCCGTCTATGTGGAAGGCTATCACTGGCCAAACCAATCAAATGATGTGAATGTGCCCTGACCGAGCTCTTGTATTATAAGTCGCCTTGTTTGTCCGCCTTGTAGCTTTTGACTGCACTCTAATTGCCCGTTCACAAACTTGCGATTACTTGGAACCGAGCTCTTCTTATCTCTTACGACTAAATAACACACTAGCACGTTCGTGCCATCAATGAGGTGACCCTGGAACCGCGCATCACTAAAGCGAAGGTTCTGAGGTATTTTCGAGATAAAATCTAGTAATATCTATGATAAAATATTGTTTATAACAATCTCAAAATGTTTTTCAAGTCAAGAAAGAAAGAAGAATACGCGAAAGAAATATATAAAATAAAATCATGAGCCATTCCACTCTGCGAAGGTGGGTGATCAGCGAAGCTGTTTAGTACGCGACACAGACCCGCAACGAGGAGCCAGAGGAAACTAGACACGCGCGACGGGAACCCCTGCACCCCGGGAGAGCGCAAGAAAAGGAAACTAGGCACGCAAGCGCTTGGAACGACGACAAAGAGAGGGCGGTGCGAGCGTAGACATGGCTGACGCGGGTCGCACAGCGGCAAATCTTTGAGAAACCTTTGTTTCTCGAAGATTTTCAAGTCTACTGGTCTTGAAAATGGTGCATATTGATAACTAATCTACTGAATAGACCTATTGCTAAATTACGCAAGCATCAAGGAGAATGCAGGGAATGGTGTTCCACGCCCCGCACGTGCCGGCGTCTGCAGCAGTAACTGTTCTAAAGCAAAAGCCTAAAACAAATGGCATCTACTGCCATTTGTTTTAGGCTGTTATTCAAAGTAATAGCCATCTTTTGGCTATTTACTTTGAATCTTTTATACGGGGAAGGCGTGCGCGTGCGGCGCGCGTGGCGGTGCGAGCGTACAGTTTTTGGTCGCGCGCACACGAAAACTACGAAACCCTAGCCATAAACAGCTTCGCTGTACGTGATACGGGACCACAAAGTGTTCCGCTGCTAGCCGATAGCTGCAGGCTCCGGTCTGTTCTCTCGACGTAAGAAACTTTTAAAATGTTTTAAGGCACACGGTCGCAAGTCTGTATATCAGCGTTTACTTATGGTAAAACGAGGACTAGTAGATTATGCTATTTACTACACCCTATATCCTAAGAGAGACTGCGGTCAGCCCAGTACTATCTAGAAAAATAATCAAAACCCGTCTTATATACTTCGTTTCAGCTTTAAGTCCAGACGCAACCGACGCTACGAGCGAATAGGACCAGTCAATCAGTGTAAAAGCGCAAGTCACTGGTACTTCTTCTGTTCATGATTGATTCAGCGATGATAGAAGACGTACAGAAAAATGACGAACACAATGATGGTGCACTTTTTTGACGCTGTGTGGTTGGTCCCATCGGTTCCTATAGCGTCGACTGCGTCTGATCTTAAGGCGAAACGGAGAATAGCATTTCGAACTCAACACAGTGAGGACAAGCGCAGACACATACTGGAAACGAATTTTACGTCGGCGTTTGGCCGAGTCTCATGTCCGGTCAGTGAGTCCAAGGAAGTTCAGCAACGGGCTTGGACCCCATTGCTGAGTTCGTGCCATATTTTTGTGATGGCGTTTAGGCGGATGTAGAGGAGGTTGTTCATAGGCCTTGATTATTCTATGCCCGTTTTTACCTCAAGAACTGTTGTAAAACAAGTCTGGCTCCACGCGGAGCATTACTAATTTCCCTCTTTATGTTGGTAATAAGATATATGTAGGCGAATTTCAGGTTAGACGTATGTTATCCTATCAGGACATAAACGTTCCAAACACCAAAAGCATCGCTTGTTCCTCCGACAACCAAATCTCGTAAAAACTCCTTCGCGCCGCGCATGAACCATGCGCAAAACTTGCGTTTTTATTGAGGTGGAAACGGGTATAGTGTTGATAAAAAAAACTGGCGATTACGAGGAGAAACTATCACCGGCCGCAGAGTGGCCAGACCCGATGATCACACCAAACACATGTGGCTAAAGATTCCCTGAAGCTTTTTTGAAGGGACGCTGATACCCTCCAGAATGAACAAAGGGGCATTTTCGGAGCATGCGCACTTTGTTCCTCAAACGCGTCTTTGACCGGCGCTTTTACGGCGTCCTTAAACGTCGTCCATCAGTTTGGTGACGTCACAGAATTGTCATGCCGCGATCCTGGCGGTGTCGAGGCAGTGGAGATGAATGCGGCGGACTCCTGTTCTGTTGCAAGTCACTCTTCAGCCACACTGTCCACGGATACGTCTGCAGTCAGAAGATGGAACGCGCTGACAAGAGCGACTCCCGAGTTTCCTCATATATACTTTTTGCCGAAACTTATAGCACCAACCGCTAGGGTCGCGACATCCGACAACGTGACAGGTTGCAGCTTCTGTGAGGTCGTTTGTTGGCACTTCGAGAACACTTAATTTGACAGGATGGGCGAGTTAGAACTGTAAACACGCCAGTCGAAGACGCGTTGCAAGTCACCGTCCTTCTGCGTCAGGACGGTGAAAAGTGTCCGACTCTCCTGGGGGACACGTCCGTTCGACTCTCGATGCGCAGCACCGCCACCTCACATTGGGTCGGACAACGATCGGTCGTAGCGGATGCAGGGCTTGAGTCGCTTCTCGGTCATTTCCCTGGGCACGACGTCGTCGGAGGAGGACGTCCGCGTGGGCAGGTCGTTCACCAGGATCATCGGGGTGTCTAGCAGAGCTTTGCCGTACAGCGGTACGTAGGTGGTGTCCACGGCGCCGGACATACCGGACCCCACGCTCTGGAAGGACTGCGTGCTTGTGGCCCTCGACAAATCCTGCCCAGGAACAAAGAAAACGTAAGCATAATAATGCGTTTGAAAAAAAACTGTTCAAAAAGGAGTAAACGATATTGCTTAACGCTTTTCAAAGTTGATTTTGCCTCTCCGCCATGCTACCGCATCGCATGTCAACACGCCTCTCGCGCCAACACGCCTCTCGGAATGGCGCTAACGTCTTCATGGAAGCGGTTCGTGCCCTCGGCTTAACTCGGTGGTCAAGCAAAAGCTATAAACTTTATTTTTGTACTTTTTTTTTATCAAGCAACGCCTTTTTTTGTATTTGCAGTGTTAGCGTGCAGTTCTGGTGGATGTTCCGGTGTTGTTTTACCGCAAAAGAAAGTGAAAGCCGTTTACAATTCCCTGTAACACCGAATTAGAGCGCAGCTCTTGAGGAGGAGGAGGGAAGTGTAGTGAGGGGGGTCATGTGACCTCGGGGGGGGGGGGGGGGGGAATCAGGTGACCCCCCCCCCCTCCCCTAGGTCACCGAAGGTACAGGTCCTCCCGAAGGAAACCCGAGGTCCTTCCGAGGTCCTCCGGGGGGCGGGAGGGGGGGGGGGGGGGGGGGGGGGGGGGGGGGGATTCGCAGTTACGCCGACGGTGACGGCGACGGCGATGCCGAGCTGACGCCGCTCAAGCCGGAAACGGGCGCCTAAGAGCTGCGCTCTAAAAGTGTTTATTTTTCTTTCTAATGTCAGTAAACACCGTGAAAGTGATAATATTGTCTAACAGAATCTACAAGTCGTTACAACTCTCGAATGAAATGGGATTCATTTCAAGCATTCTAGCTTTTCGAAGAGACACTGTCAACTTATTAAAACTAAACTAGCAGGCGTGAACATTAAATTGTTCATCAAAGTGTGCCGGCAATAAAGCAACAATTAATTAGTTTGTCAGTAGAATCACCCAAGTTATTATTGCAGTTTATTCATGATTGAGGGAAATGTACGATCTAATAATAATAATTATTATTATTACTAATATTATTAATAACAATATTTTTCCGCGCAGGATGGATTCAGAACGACATGAGGCAGGTTAGTCGAAGTCAACAAGGACTTGTAGGACTGAACCGAAGACAGGGGTGAATAAGGGAGTTTTAGGAAATAATAAAATAAAGCAGAAAAACACACCTTCCCTTCTGTTGTGAAAACTACACAAAAATTTCAGTCAGAAAGTGATCGTCAAAGTGAGGAGAAAAAATAAATAAAAGTTGAAGCTGTTTTTCTTGTTAAAGAGAGAAGAAAAAAATAGTTGGAGATCAATGTGATTCATCCGACGGAAATGCACTATAGCATTAGCTCTTCCTCACCCCCTGTTTACCCTTTCCATTCGTTCATCACCGCATTCATATCACTTGTGGAGGGAACCGCATCTATCGCTTTAACTACACACACACATCACAGCCCACGCACCGCTGCAAGCCTGCAACCGAAACCCAGAGCGAAGAACCTCAGGTGACGGCAGAGCGGCAACTGAGCACGCCCGCATGGCATTCTACCTGATTCCACTGCACTGCGACGTCCGCCTCCTCCTTTGGCTCCACGCCAGCTACGCGTCGCTCTTTGTACGAAAGCGAAAACTGTCGTTTTGACGAAAACCCGGCGGTGTCTGTCAGTTTGTCAGCGCCGTGGAGAAAGGAAGAGGTTGACGCGTGCTGACGTCAGCGCTTCGGACCAATGGAAGGGTCGGACACGTCACCCTGTCCCCCTCCTTTTCCCTCTCTTTCCGGTGCTGAAAAGCGAAAGACACCGCCGGGATTTCGCCAAAAAGAGCCTTCTAATGCAAACGCACTAAAAAATTAAACGGTATGACAAAGAGGTTCCACTTGTATAGCACCAGAACTTGATGATTGAAGATGCCATAAACACACACGCACATACGCGTACACACTACACAGGAACATACAGCATTACACCGCACAAATAATGTTGACTCGAAAAGAGGTTCCTGTGAGGAAGCAAAACCAATTATTATAAAACAAGAAAATAAGATATTACTAGGCTTCTTCGTCGATGAAAATAAGGCGGACTGCGCCTTTTGAAGTATCGTTTTGGAAGCTTTGAAAGATTTGGTGGCAATAGGATTAACATTTGAGAGATGTAGTACGAACGCATGTTTTTTGCCGTACCGTGTATCACATGTTGAAGTGAGGAACCTTGAAGGCTTCCGCAAGTTTCGTGAGGGGGGACAAGGAGACTTAAAAGCGTCATTCCAGTTGTAATTGAGCACAACAGCCCCTAAAAATAAGGACTGAAAATTCGGCATTGATAGCGTTTGAGAAAGATCTAAATCCGAAGAACAGCGGTTACAGACCGTTTTACTGAAAGAGGGCAAGAAAGAAAAGGGAAATGACAGCCGGCGCTTTCCTCCTTACTCAGTAGTTAGGAACGACAGAAAGACCCGGATAAACGCCTTAGGCACTTGTGTTTTTCCAAGTTCCGTTGTTATCTTCGCGGTTTCCTCCGTTTTATTATACTTAATGATGTAATTAAAGCTAGCGGAATCATTGACGAGAGTCTCCTGGTCATCGGGACATCATTGTTGGGTAACAGACTGCACGAATAACAACCGAAAGCGCAGAATATTATCGGAGGACGTCCGTATCGCGCACAGGATCCTACAAGGGAACTGTGGCTGCAATACGTCTTCAAACTCCATCGCTTTCCAAATAACCCATACCTCCGACGGCAGTGGGCTGCGTCCGTAAACGGATAATATTTTTTTTTTCCCGACGCCATCTTCTCGAGTGTGTTCAGAACATTTCGTGAATAGAGCGCGAAACGAACTTACCGCTGTACCATCGATGCACCAGTGGTGGCATAGCAAGTATTGGATCGACAGAATAGATTTCGGAAACGTTTCGGCCGTTACATCATATATCTCAGCAGACCACCTCCCCCCCCAAAGACTGACCCCTAAATCCACCCCTGCGAGGAGCATGGGTTACGCTCGCAAGATGGGTGCAAGTCTTATCGCTAGAATCGCTGTTTCAGCTTGTAACTCAATTCATCTTAAGGTTAACTTCTTTTTCACCTTTTTATAGCGAGCGAGATTAGGAAATCCATCGGGTATGTCATTAAATCTACGCGTAATATAAAATGTTATTAGTCCCTTTCTGTATTGTGCATGTGTAAACAAAAACAAAATTCAACTTTTCCAAACACCTTTGAAAAATATGGTGTTTTGAGCACGCCCTCAATATTTAGAAACACGAGTTCGGGTCGAGTAGCCTATTTTCCAGGTTACGCTCAAGCATTCTTACATTTCTACCCGACGGCAGTTTTGTAGCTATCTGCGGAGACGAGAAAAAAAAACGATGAAAAGGCAAACAAACGTTTGTGCTGATGCACTATGGGACATGTAGAAAAGTAACTTAATATGAATGATACTGTACTCAAAGCTTTTAGGCAAACTATTCTAAAACTCCCTATTATATAACACTTCTTAAAGGAGTCAAACCCCTCTTGGCCGGTTGACCACCACAGCCCTTGTACTAAGTATAGAGCGCAAAAGGAATATGAAGCCAGAAATGAACAAACGCAGTAATGCCAAGCATTAGAATGCAGTAGTTGCCGAGAAAGGTATTCGTACATGTTCACGCGACGTGTATACTTACGTGGGGCGCCTGTTGTCTTCTTTTGCGAATATAGGAGACAAGGACGAAAATAAGTATCACCACGGTGATACCTGCTGCTATGGTGACGATGATGGACAACGTCTTGGACACTGAAATGACAAGACAAAAGGAGCACTTTTTTTATACTTAACTCACCGTACATAGACCGGCAACTTGACATTCTGTAAGCCGTGTTACCACATATTCGAGACCCATGAGACCGAAATGGAATAGCAGAAACAAAAGCAACAGCCAAAACATTTCTTGTATTTTTTTTTTCAAAAAATTATTGTTAAAATTTATTTTGTGAAAGACAGATTATGGTTCGTGACTGCTTAAAAAAACCCAGGGCGTGGGTTATCTGCTGACTGCTTTACCTCATTAGCTGAGGAGCATTAATCAGTGACTACAGGGTCATTCACGAGATTATACTAGATTGTACGTGTCCCCATTAAAATGCACATATATGGTGAATTCGCGTGATGCTTTCAACGCGCATTATACTCCGTTTCACCTTCCGTCCGAGCACAGCGGACCCTAGGAGCCATCCCAGCCAATGCGGCGTTGAGGGAGTGTCATGCGACCTTGAGCTCCCTGTGTCGCCCCGCACCACCGGCAGGTCACGCGACTTTCTCCCGGCGCTGGATCGGCTGGGATGGCGCGTGCCGTCCACTGCGCTAGGACTGAAGGTGGAACGGAGTACAGAAAGATCTCTCCAGAGCGCGCCAGATCGGGTGGTGGAAAAAGAGCGCGGCGACGTATGCACCACGCGAATTAAACAATAGATTGTCCTTGAAACGTTTAGGCGCCCTCTAACAGGAAGCCGCAAAAGTATGACACTACGAGTCTTATTTATTTATACTTTTGTGTTTGGTTGCTGTGCCAGCCGCCTTTTCTCAAATTGAAAATATCCCAAACACTCGCGATGGCAGAGTCTCAACTTTCCGCAAAGCGCTTTTTTTTTTTTTTTTTGTGCAATTAACATAATTGGGATTTTTTTTTGTGTGTGTGTTTTTTTGTTTTGTTTTTTTTTTTTTTGGCCGTCACCATGTATTTAGAAAAGCCTATGAGGAGGTCCTACAATTGTACTATATTGCGAAGCACCGAACGGGCGGCCTAGCGTTGCAAAAAAAAGTACCTACTGCAGTTCTCGTCGCTCAGGTCCCCGCAGTTGTTTTCGTTGTTGCACATAAGCTCTTTCCACACGCAGAACTTGTTTGCGCACTGAAACTCGCCTTTGAAGCAACCGTCAAAATGGAGGCCTGCATGAAAAAAAAGGACACCGGCAAAAAAAAAGACGGTTTATTTGTGCCGCCGTTATGTTTTCCAGGTATGTAAAAGCGCATAGACACAGTAAAAATAACTTGTAAAAACTTCCACGGCGGTCTAGAAGACGACAAAACAGCGGACTGAACAAGCCAAGGCTCGAGCACCACCAGATGAGCACGAGCAGCGGGGGGAACGAGCCGGCTGCAACCGTTTCTGCCTAGCTTCGATGTCCCTTTTCTGACTGTAAATAGTGCACATAAAGTTGCTATCGATTTAAACACCATAACGTCCAGAAGTTCTTCTATATAACTAAAGGTGGTCTCAATCAATAACAACCGGATTCTTTAAAAGTTGAAGAAGATTCGATCGCTATGGTTATGGTGGGCACAGGCAGAATAAATCATTATTAATATTATAATTTTATTATGAATGATCCATCGGTTCCTGGAATTTCTGGAACTTTTTTTTACAGGGAAACCACTGGTACCTCAAGGGGAAAGGATTGTGAGGCAGACATTATTTCTTATCATTGAGCTCTCCATTGTGATTTGCTCTTGTGGACCCAAGAGTCCAAGGTGGGCAACGCCCCAGGTGCTGATTAGATGACCTATCTGTATCCACACGAGTTTCATCTTGTGTGTTACTTTGGACTTTTACGTTCCCCACTATCAACGTTATTTAGGCAAGAAAACCACTACGGCAGTTTACAGTCCTACAGCACCACCACCTCGAATAATCAAAGTCCATGCACTGGCATTTGGACGTCCTCACGGTGAGATCGAGCGAAGAAGATGATTGGACAAGAGAGTTACGTCAGCGTTCGGCTGCGCCTCGTATCCAATCAACGCGCCGAAGGACGCTCGGCGTTGGGCACCGGCCCAATTGATAAGTTGATGCCACCCTAGTGTGACAACATTCCATAGAGGTATAGTATAAAGGAGGCTGTAGGCTGTTTGTTCACTGGCTCAGAGCAGTGTATAGAGAGTGTTTGGTCAATTAGAGGAGCGGGCAGAGCCAGGGCGTGAAACGGGCGCAGATAGAGGGCTTGGTGCGCTTTCTTGGCATACCAGAAGCCGAAAAAAATCCCCTAGCGGTGGTAGCGAGAAACAGTTTTAATAAGTACATAAAGGTTAAATGTAGTAACTCTTGTAATGTTTGGAGGTGGGCTAGTCGGTGATGCATTGTAAATATAGAAATAAAAACAGCGCAAAAGAACATAAGGACAAGTAGAAGAAGGGACTGTGTCTATGTCCCTTCTTCTACTTGTCCTTGTGTTCGTTTGCGCTGTTTTTATTTCTATGTTTACAAAGTAGTAACTCTTCATGGCTGAAAATTCGGTGCCCGTGATGTTTCGATTATGATCATGCCAAAAGATATAAGAAACAAATGTGCCGCTCGAACTCTGTTTTGCTCTGACAGAGTGTGACCGCTCGGACGGCAGATTCCCGGCCCTCGCTGACTGGCGTACGCATTATGTCGATCGTTCCTTGTGCTCTTCCACTACGACCTTGGATGACCGTGATTGAAACATCACGTGCACCACATTTTTAGTCCCCGAGAGTTACCCCAACGCACTTATTAATTTCGTTTCTAGCGACCACCGCCAGGGTATTATTTCCGGCTCCTGATTGGCCACATTTGAATTTGCGAAGACGTCCTAAAACACGCCCAGCCCACTCTCGGCCAATGGCGCTTCCTACTTTGTCTCTATTTCTTCCCAATGAATGGCAAAACGCTCTATTTATACGGCTCTACACTGGCTCTGATTACTCTAGCTGATGTTGAACTGGCCCGCACTCTTCCAGTCCCTTTTTCTTCCGGTGGAACGGCGGCCGAGTGTGTTAAAGCACCGCAGCTCGGAGCATGCGGAGTGAAAGCTGAATCTGCGGAACCCAGGGATCCTGGGTTCACTACCCATCCCTGCACGCTTCAATCTGGATGAGTATCGTATTGGAGTGCGATCGTATATTGCTAGCGCATGATGCACGTGAAAGACCTCAGGCTAGCGGTGGTACAAGACTGGCTAAATTTCTCACCAACAGCGGACACACCTGACAGCCATCGGGGCTGGCTAACTTCCCGCTGTCTAAGCATACAGAAAACACAACACTATTTTTACTGCCTCCTTTCTTCTTTTTTTTTTTTCTTTTTCCTTTCTTCAAGAACAGCAATTTCTATCTTGTTTACTTTGATGCACCGAAGAAAAAGCTAGTGTAATTTTGATTACTTCAAAGCACGGTACAGAAAACTAGTCTTGACATCATAAGAGCTTCAGATGGATGTGGTAGGTAAGTATGGTCCGCGTCGCGGGAAGAGCGAGAGACGTCGCGACTTACTCTGCCTGTAGGAAGTGAGCACGAGATCGAAGGCCTTCCGCTCGTAGTTCCAGTCGTGTTTGGAAGTGATGAGTTGGACGAAGAGGTCGGGCGACGCCACCCAGTGGGCCTCCTTGCCCATGGGGTCGTCCACGTTGCGGCAGAACCGGTGCCCGTCCATCCGATCTTCCCACACCTACTGGACAACGCCCGTGGCGAGAGCACTGATGTCAGATACGCTTCCATACTAGCAACGTTACTAGATTAACTCTGCTGCGCCACTTCCGAGGGGAAAGTATAAGCAGAAAACACGGAAATATATAAATAGCCAATAGCGAGGCACATTGACCCCGTCTAGAAGCCATGCATAGTAGTCCAGAGGCTACAACCTCTACAAGAATCGCCATAGACCCAGCCATCATCCGTGAAACGCCTGCACCGTCATTCCCTGTCTTTTTCGTGAAAATTCTGATGGGTTAAACAATAGCATCCTCTATACTCACAAAGCCTGACAGATCGACGACGGAGCCATAGAGTGCCTGGTCGCAGATTTGGAGTGCGAGGATCTGGTACCACAGGGCAACAAAGAGCCATTTCTCGGAAAACCTGGACGTCAGCGCACAGCCTTTGCAGCGGCGAGGACCCGAAACACACTTGTTCGCTCGGGAGAGGTGTGTTTCGGCGTCTCGCCACAGCAGGGCGCCAGTCACGTGGCTTCCCTCCCATCCGTTGTCTGCCGCTCCACATTTCCCATTTCGGCAGCCGCTTCTGGTGGCGATCTGCCAGGCTTTGTCAATATATAGGAGGCTATGGTTAAACGCACCGTTTGTATACTAGCTTTCATGGCATCGACATTTCCTCACGAGACCAAACCAACGTGTGGTCACCTGGAGGTAGGAGAGGCACGTCATGGGCAGGTCCAGGGACGCGATGCTGTAGAGAAGGCTGCGGTCCTTGCGCGTGGTCACGTGCACGGTGCAGTTGAAGTCGTTCTCCAGGTAGTGCCGGGTCGCCCGCAACACCACCGCGGACTCCTGACCCGCGACGCCCACGTGTACCGTCGAGGCGTGCGACGAGGCGCAGAGATCGTCCATGTAGTCTGTGGATTAAACGAACGCCACGTGTCATTGCGGAGTCCTTGTTCCTTTCCACATATCATCATTTGCCTAAAGCCACAGTTCCAATGCTCGCACAGACACCAGGTGTGGGCACAGCGCGTGCGCAGAAACCGAATTCGCGGGAAGCGTCTGCGCATGCGCAGTGCCGTCGACAGCGCCACCGCAGCCGTGTGACGTCAGTGCCGCGCGTTGGTCTATACTACATCATGCAAAAGACACTGTGTTCACGGCAGACACGATGGCAAAATTACCTGCGGACACTCCTCAGTCATGTTCTAAGCATGTTTTCTTCGCACATTTGCATGCTTCCAACATGTCCAGACAATTTGTGTATGATCAATGTGACGGGACGCTTATAGAAGGAAGAAGCACGCCTCGAACAGTGTTTGCAGACTATCTTTGTGTAAAGAGTTAGCCGTGCGACCGCGGATATGTACACACTAACGCGCGCCTTTGACGTCACTCCGCTACAGTGACCCACGCTGTTGGCGCGGCGCATATACGCTCACAAGTTTCACTTTACGCAAATCAGGTTTCTGCGCTCACCCAGTGCCCACCCTAGGTGTGGGCAAACACTGCCTTGTTTGTAAACAGTGTGCAATACAACGCATTCGCCTTTAATAAAAACCGATATAAAGTTCTAAACATCATTATTGTACTGCATGCATCTTGTAGTAGGTGCTTTATAACTTTCAGTTGAATTAGATAAAGAGGCTGCCTATGCTCATACACAGGGGCTCTAGGCTGGACACACGGTAAAAAAAGTTGGCGAGATTTCTGACGGCCGCAATTGGCCAGCGCCAAGGTCAAGCGTGGCGCCAAATGTTCAATCCGATATTCTCGCCAAATGTCCATCTTAGGACACCAGGTTATTTAGGGCGTTAACCTGATTTATTTGCCTTATTTGTTGCCTGACATCGTGTCAGTGTTTTACTTGTTCCTTCCCCTTCTCTCTATTCCTTTCTTCGTAAAGGTTTTTGTTTGTTTATATAAACGAAAATCTCAAAACGTCATAAATTATTGATATTTCAGTGTTGCTGTACGATAAATAAGCATGCTGCGTTTCATCTGGACATGGACAGCCAGCAGCCAAGGCTGGATGCTAATACATGCTCAAAACAAGTCCCCATTTATCGTCCGCAATCTACGAAGGTGTGAGGTGCACCAAGTTTTGTGGCAACCGATCGTCACCCCGGGTTCGTCAACAACGGACGTGGCATTGCCTTTGCTGCGTTTTGCGTTAAAATCAGACTTGTGCGTGTCTCAAATACTATACTCAAGATACTGTATCTTAAATACTTATTTAAGTATCTTGTTATCTTGCAAATACTTTTGATCGAGAGGGTTTGATACTCTATTTTAATTGCAATTTCGAGTATCTTGCACTCATTATCTTAAATACATTTTTGACATTTCGCCATTTTTCGAGTTTTTCTGTATGAAGTGGCGTGGGCGTGGCACGAGCAAACGTGAATATTAATCTTTCCTTCAACCAAATCCTGTTGCTAGCTCCGATTAGCTTGACTTTGATTGAGCTCGTGAAAACATCGCTTTTTTGCCGATTGTGACTCATATTTCAGCCCAAAGTTCGTACAATGAAGGTTTTCCCCTCGCCTTCCCAAAGGCGCCTTTTGTTTCCTAGAGTTTCCCCCCAAAAATCCTCAAGCAAAAGGGGTGGTTTTGCGGAAGTGAAGATGGCCACACTGAGGCGCAACACAGACCGGGAAACAACCCCCGACAACAATGCAGACTTAAGTGTCAAGAAAATAACAAATAGAAGAAAGTGAGAAGCGGACACATACAAAAAAAACATTTTTGTTTTGTTTGTTGTATATTTGACCACGCTACGACAAAACGTCGAGGTTCTTTTTTTTTTTTTTGTCTTTAGTTTGTCATTTATTTCTCTCGCGAACTCTGTAAGCGAACATTGATAAGCAGAGAACAGGTCAAGAAACGAACCACGAGCTCGATGACCTCTCAAAATGCCAACAAAGCGTCCCCCAACGTTGAGTGCCCTTTTGAACGCAACTTACTTGAAGAAGGTGCGACCACTGCCGCGGCTATTATGTGGGTTCTCTTTTTTATCGATTCTCTCATATCCGTATCCCAAGTTCGTTTATAGTCCGCTGAATATCGCGCCGCAGGACGTGATATTAGGCGATGTCACTATAGATAAATCTACCTCTTTCGTTTTGTCCCAGAAATATTTTGCAACATGTACCAGTGATATTGCCACACGTGTTGCCGCGCGAGCGCGTGGCCGAATGGTTACCGCACTTGGCTCTCGCGCGGAGGCTCCGGGTTCGATTCCAGGGGTCAAACTCCTCTTTTATTTATTCTTTCAACTTGACATTCTCGTAAGTTAGAGAACCTTGTCGTCTGATCGAGTTACGAATGTTCTACGGGTCGAAAGTTCTACGTTGAATGTTTCAGAAACCCACGCGGGTACAAAAGGTGTCCGCGTGGCGGTCCGGAGTCTGTCTCGTCCCAGTGCTTGATCCCGCTGTTCCGCCGACATCGACGCCTGCGACGCTAGCCTTTCTTTTAGAGCGCAGCTCTTAGGGGCCCGTTCCCGGCTTGAGCGGCGTCGGCGTCGGCGTCGGCGTCGCCGTCGGCGTAACCGCAACCCTCGTAACCCTCGTGAGGGTTACGAGGGTTACGATGGTTAATCTCAGGAGGGTTACCCTCACAAGGGCCACGAGGGTTACTTACCCTCGTAACCCTCACGAGGGCTACGAGGGTTAGTTACCCTCAAAAGGGTTACCTTCACGAGGGTTACCCTCACGAGGGTTACTAACCCTCGTGAGGGTTACGAGGGTAAGTAACCCTCGTGAGGGTTACCTTCACGAGGGTTACCCTCAAGAGGGTTACTTACCCTCGTAACCCTCACGAGGGTTACGAGGGTTAGTAACCCCCAAGAGGGTTACCTTCACGAGGGTTACCCTCACGAGGGTCACGAGGGTTATGAGAGTTACCCTCACGAGGGTCACGAGAGTTACCCTCACGAGAGTTACCCTCACGAGGGTTACTAGGGTTACCCTCACGAGGGTCACGATGGTTACCCAGGTCACGTGACCCCACCCCCGGGGTCACATGACCTGGGGATACCCCCGAGGTCACGTGACCCCCCGTTGACGTCGTAGCCACTGATGACGTCATCAGTGACGTCACTGATGACGTCACCGGCATCCGCATCGTCATCGTCATCATCACTGATGACGTCATCGGCATCGTCACGTGGCCCCAGGTCACGTGACCCCCCCCCCCGACGTCACGTGACGCCACAAGGTCACGTGACCCCCCGCCCCCCGAGGTCACTTGACCCACCCCCCAGTACCCTTCCCTCCTCCTCCTCAAGAGCTGCGCTCTAATTCGGCGTTACAGGGAGTTGTAAACGGCTTTCATTTTTTGTTTTGGGAACAAGTTCGCCCCATGAAACGTTTAGTTTCTTCAGTTATTCGCCGCCCCATCATTTGTCATTCGTGACAATATCCTGCTCCCTACAGTTGGACAACATTAAATAACCCTACGATGTTTTTTTTTTTGTTGTTGTTGTTTTTTTTGCGTGCTAATAAACAATTCTGGTAAACCAGATTTGTGCAACTGCATAATTGTCGTTGTTACTCACATCGATACAAATTACTCATTGCGGAGGTATCTTCAAAAGGAATTGAATTACATTTCTAAGTATTTATACTCTACTCAAGACACTTTACAGTGAAAGTAACTACAGTAGTATGCTAAATACTTTATGAAGCAGGTATTTAGTAACTTAACTTAAATACTTCTATCGAGTATTTTGCCCAACACTGATTAAAATGGGATTCGTGACCGGTGCACCTCACGTGCAAACATGTGTTGTGTGTACGCAAATGTGACCTTTGCGTGCTTAGGACTTTCGTTCCACCAGAGTCGCTACCAAGATGACAACGGCAGCAGGACGTCTCTTTCGAACGACCGGCCTCCAGCACGCGCTAGTTGCCTTCGGACGTGCTTTGACTGTGCGTGCACGCTCGAAGCTCACGGGACGCCGAAGCATCGTCAAAGGCAGGAAGCTCGCGCTGGAAACTGGACAACAAAAATTCCTCCCTGTGGTTCACATCTTAACTGTCGGTGACTAAGGACAGGACATCGAGAACAGCTAAAGACAATCAATGGAGATTTTGTGTTGTGTTCAACCCCTTCTGTGTTCCTGAGTCTCGGGTTTTTATTACCATGAATCACCGCCAGCTCGCTTGTGTTTTAAGTATTGCTGCAGACCTTCTGACACGACTAATGCGAGAAACAAACACGTCCACAATGTCTCTGTCAATTCAAGGGGGAGGGGGGGGGGGGGGGGGGGGGGGAGTGGAAGGAATGGAAACACAGCTGCCAACGCAGCCCGCATGCCGTTGTTTATGCTCGACGTTTGGCGCCTGTCCAAGTGTCCCAGTGGCGACGTTTTCTTGGAGGTCGTCTGCTTCTCAAATGCCTCAAACGAGGCAAGACCCAATGTTCGGATAAAAATCTTTTAACACACTGTATCCCCCCGTGGACAATATGAACTGCAACACAGAATCCGGCCTTAATTTTTTCTCCGTCTGCAATCCCCACAACTTTTCATTACTTGCAATAAAACTTGGGTTGGGTCTAATAGGTTCATATAATTTAAAAGGTTGAAAGGGCAAACTGAAACGCATACGAACCAAGAGATATGTACGACAAGGACGCTTGTCCTTATCGTACGTATTTCTTGTTTCGTCCGTGTTTCAGTTAGCGCTTTTAACCTTTCAAACTCTATCACTTCTCGAAGCGTCATAGAATGGAAAGAATTGGATTTAAACTTCGCGTTCCAATAAACTACTAAAACGCTAGTTTTTTTGTTTGTTTGTTTTTAATTTGTAGTGTACGCCGAGAAAGGATAGAGGACTGTTGCAACACAGATTATTCGCGATAGTATACTCACACATTTCCAGGTATCATTCGTTCCAAATTGAATAAGCCACACAAAAATCTCTTTCGATCACTGAAAGACGAAAAGGCGCTATCTTCTCGAGTCCATAAATTCAATAAAGGCTAGGGTGTTTTCCTTTGAGTCGTTTACATTAGAGATAGTAGCAGTCTCAGGATCAAACCACGAACAGTTGTCATGTTGCGCTTGCAAAACTCCTTATGCATAAAACTGCCATAGCAGTAGGAGGGCCACAATAGCGTTGTATTCGAACTTCATATCCCTTCAGCTCTCAGTGGAACATCTACACGTTTAAGCCGCAAGTAACCAATAAAAATCTTGACGTTAACACCGCGCAAATTTTACAAAACTATCGTTGCCAGAAACGCATCTAGAATCGCTCGTCTAAAGAAATATTGTCGCGCGCAGCTCAGCACCGTATCGGTAACCAAAAAACATATGGTTTAGATCTGGCGCGACTTACAGACAGTGGATTTTGTCGTCCTCTCGTTGTTCACAGCCACAACCGCCACAGCGCCGCACGAAAGGGCGACAAACACGGTCCAGACATCCAGGGCGTCCGACGCCACCATGTTTTGTTGTTACGTCAACACACAACCGAGTCTCTGTGTAGCATCAAGAACGCCGCAGCTTGACGCCCTTATCTCTCTTGCGAGACGGGTTCTGGGTTGATAGCGCGTACCGCTTACCCCTAGAAGAGATAACCCAATCCTCATCTCCAGCCGTATACCCTGGCGCCATACCCTGCGTCACCGTAACTTGGCAAACGGCAAAGGCTACGGTATTCCAGTAAACCAATCAGCGCATCGTAGTGAGACACGTGACTGAGTCTATCTCCCTAGTTGCGCGCAGCACTGTCGAAGCCACTGGCGGGAAAGAGAGGAAAGCCGTTTCTGCGCGAATTTCGAGTGACAGGCTCATCTCCGAGTGGGACCAAAATGACGTCCCGGACACATAAAAGAACGTCCGGGTAAGAGGACAGTTTTCCCCCTTTCCCGTCTTCTCCAAGTTACGTCACACCTTCACCCCTCTACCTTCGCTAAGGGATGTCACGTGCTTCGCGACCCGTCGCTCCGATTGGCTAGGGATGGGCCGTGGCATTTGCTCTTTGCCAAGTTTCGTTGAAAAAAAAAAAAAAAATGCTCCTGAAATGAAAATCCGATCGTCGAGTATTTATCAGTCAGAAGCCTACTACTGCAGGAAAGTACTTTTATCGCGATGGAGAAGAGGCGATAGGTGTGACAACCCGCGGGAGAGCTTTCATATCTATACGAAAGTGCACACACTTCTGCGATTGAGCGTGATCGTCCAGAGACCCGACGGAGTCTACCTGCGGATCAGTCCGAAAGGCCCGATAAAAAGCCAGAATGGCCGAGTAGGAAAGACAGGGGAATCGCCGATAAGCTCGCAGGGCTGTGAGACTGAACGAGCCGTAGTCGCGCTGTCCGTACATCATGCAAAAGACACGGAGTTTCTCCGCAGCCATGATGACGACATTATCTGCGGCCACGCCCGAAGCATCTTCCGACCATGTTTGCTTCGTACCTCTGTATGCTTGGAACATATGTCCGCAGACAGTTTATGTCTGACAAATGACGGTCAAACAAGGGAAGAAACACGTCTCAGGCAGCGTCTGCAGTCTGTCTATTGTACACTCTAAGAAATACCTGCGCGTTTACTTACTTGCAAAACACTCAAAGAGCTAATCTCTGCGATCTACGCAGTCAGCTCAGCGAATGATGAGGCGGAACATCTGTTTAGACCTAAAAATGAAGTCTGCGCTGTGGCATCACGCAACGCACAGCGTCATGCTTGCATTGCGTAATTCCACAGCGTAGACTTCACCTTAAGGTCTAAAAAAATATTCCGCCTCATCATTCGCTGAGCTGATTGCGTAGATCGCAGAGATTGGCTCTTTGAGTGTTTTGCGAGTAAGTAGACGCGCAGGTATTTCTTAGAGTGTATGTTGCATCAGCGGTACAGACAGCAGCTGCAATTTGTACCCCATAGTGTGTCGAAGAGTCCCAAGTTTTGCTTCGTGATTGTGTGGCGCAGACTCGCAGCACTGCAATCGATTGCCACAAAATGGAGTGACGAAAGTGCATTTAATTGCATTATAATAACAAAATGGAGACCCATGCAATGGGGATATCTGCGAATGGGTCGGTGCTCTTTTTTCGCGATGTGCTCAAGTTTTTTCCATTTTATCACAACCACTAGGGTCACTTTCTCGAGCAGTTTCAGCTTTCTGTGAAGACTATTTATGCGGGTTAAAAAGCAGGGTTTACCTTTCACGATCGGACCATGTAGATTAAGCACTACTTGTTACAGAGAAGCTTGAGCGTACACCAACATTCGGATCACTTTCCAACCGGGCGCGATTCATCGCGTGTAAACGTTTTATCCGTATGCGCTCTGTTCTTTCTTCTCTCATCTACCGGATAGCCGACATCAGCCAATCAGAAAGCTCGATTGGTTCAATTCTCTAGTTCGAGCGGACATTAAGAAATGCGGTACTTTCGAAAATTGTGTTACACTGCAGTAGCTTTGCGCCATATATAGTAACCTCGTTATCCACTCCGAAACTGCATCCCCAGTCTTGTATTGTTCGCTTGTTTTTTTGTTTTTTTTTTTCGTTTATGTTTAAACGTTTTTTAGCTGGGTCACACTACTTATACATCGCAACAAAAGACAGTCTGCATAGAGATTCAAACGCGAGTCCCCGCGAGATCGTGCTTCGAATGCCGCCTGGCAATGAGTTCAAGGAGGAAACTTGGCAAGCGGCATTCAAACCACGAACATTGCGGTGACTCGTGTTTGTAGACTCTTTTTTGTGCCATGTATGAGCAGCGTGACCCCGGTTTCAGTGGAACACGGTGACCCAGACGGTCAGCCTTTTACAAGCTCTACTGAAATAATTTTTAGCGAACATAACAACCTCATGTAAAGGCACGAGGTTTCTTTAGTCACCGTGATTTGCTTACTCCCAAATGCAAATAAAAAATAACTGAGTTGGTTCAGGCTGAACACGGGTACTTAAACAATGGAGGTCGAAAAAGGGAACGTTTAAGTTCCGTGGGGCTCGCTTTGTTGGTTGCGCAAAACTATACTACATCTCAAAAACATCTACAGTCCAGAAAAAGGCATGGGCACAAGCGCGTGGCTTTGGAAAGTACCTCCTATGCACGAGTACTCGTACAGACAAGAGCGTTCTGCTCAGAGTCGGTTCACGCGCACGTGTGTTTGCCTTTGCTGCTGACATTGCTGACAGTGCGGTGGCAGCTACATGCTCGCTGGACCAATCAACAGCCTCCTTTTCGACACGCGACCCTGTACTCTGGAGATGGGCGGGAGCGTGATCACGTGTCGAAACGCGTTTCACTGGTCCAACAAGCACGTAGCTTTTTTCGCACTCTAGCTTAGATGTGAACGTAGCATGAAGTAATAAAATGTCTTTATACAAAAACAAAATCTTTCTTTCTGTGTGTGTGTGTGTTTTTTTTTTTTGGGGGGGGGGGGGGGGGGAGAGTGGGGTGGAGATGCGTTGTGGTTATGACACAATTGTTTTTGGCAGAGAAAAAGAGCGTGATGTGTCTTTGTATCTCATCGTGCTAGTGGGCCTCTGCGAAAATACGTAGGTGCCGAAATGCCGTCTGTCATCCAGATGTTTGCACCAGACCTGTTGGAGAATATTTTGGTGGGTCCAGACGAAAAACGAATGAGGTTTGGAAGCCACGGAGGCGATTCCTCTGATCGGAAAACGTATGGACCTGAAACCCGTTCACCTGTGAGATGCCAATCGGGGTTGTCGGTATTTTAACGTTAATATGGTTTTCCCTTTTCTTCCTGTAACAGCTTGCCATTACATGAAAAAAAAAAAAGAACTCAGTTGTATACTATTAGACTTAAATATAAATGTCCCTGTCTCAACCTACTGTTTTGCCGGAACATTACTTCTCGACACGGAGTGTCATCGGTGATCATATGCAACTGAAGAATTAACATCACGTTTGCGGTTTTACGTCGCCGAAATAGCTCAGTTGGGAGAGCGTTAGACTGAAGAACTAAAGGTCCCTGGTTCGATCCCGGGTTTCGGCAGTTCTTCTTTTATTGCCGTGCGGGGTGTGCGGAGACATCTCCATTCGAAGGGTCGACTATATGTCATGAAAACACCCCGAAGCCCTCTCCAATAAGATTATATTGACTTACAAATAAATTGCTTTAACGCTGATATTTTAAGGTTCCGCGTTTCCGGAGTTTGTTTTTCATAACATTCGAAGGGTATTTTTCCGAGTTTATTTTTTCGCCAAATACTCGAGGGTAATCAAAGTTTATTTTTGCTAGATTCCCGATTCTCCGAAATTCGGTGTTTACTTTTTTTGTGTGTTTCAGGAATTTCGAAAATTTGAAATGAATACTAATAATCCCCAAACAGAAATATACCCTAAATTAACTGTGTCGAATGATATTTCAATTCTCCCCTACATGACGGTCAAAGTATAAATTTTTGAAGTATACCGTTGGCATAGAAGGCAACGAGAAGACCGCCAAGCTTCCAGGATATCCAAGGAACCTTCTTCAACCGTGTGCTTGTTTACCTTATCAGAGAGTAAAGACGTCGTCTTTTCGTTGTTGGCGATTTGAATGTGACATGAAGTGTAAAAACAAGCTCCATGTTACTAAGCCTACTTTTGGGGTCTTGGGGACAATAAGGTTTTATGCTCTCATGAAACCAGGAGCGGACCCAGAACGCCATTTTGGGGGGTGGAAGGGGGGGGGGGATTTTTAAGGATACTATTCTCTATTTTCCCATTCTTTCTTGAGCACCGGGATACAGTTGTAACCGGGGGGCCCATGATCCATCCATGTCAAATTGCCCTCCAAGAAGGGAAAAGGGGGGGGGGGGGGGGGGGGGAGACGTTGTTCGGGGGTGGGGCGGCCGCCCCCGTCACCAACCCCCCCCCTCCTTGGATTATCCGCCTCCGCATGAAACCTTACTGTGCCGTCTGGGAATTGGACATGTTTTATTATTTATAAGTATACCTGTTTTGGGGGGAAGATCCTCGGCTCTGTGATCAGTGTGGTGACACCCTGACTATTTTATACATCTTGTAATCCTGCCCCGGTCTAGAGCCAAAACGTCGCGTTCATTTTTCTTAGATTCTTGAGCGCAGCTCTTGCGCCCGTTTCCGAGTATACCGGCATCACGGTAGGCGTAACCGCGCCCTTTGCATTATGGGACATCACAGACTTATACACCAATTTAATTTCCCACCAAGTTTAGGGGGGAAACTTAATTGGTGTTAAGGTCATGTGAGCTTTGAGCTCCCCAAAATCAACTTTTTTTTTAAAAATAAAATCATTGATGTACACCAGACGAAAGTTTAGTTTTTCGTGACACAGCAAATATTGGGTCAACAAACTAGACCTGGGCGACGTTTCGGCCGTAACGTCATATCTCAGCAGACTCCCCCCACAGGCCTGATCCATAAATCCGCCCCTGGTACAGACTGGAAACCAGAACACTGACTTTTGTCGTCACCCACAAGTGCAATGACTAATTGTCGTGAACAATCCTTTTCGTCCCCTTTTCGTCAAAAGTTCCAGATTTGAAAGTAAGGTGGCCTCTTTTCGGGACCACTAGCCCTGTGCTCTGACCGAATTTATCGTACTTTTTCGTTTTTATTTTGCCTTCGTACTTCTCTTTTTTTGAAAATTTAATGATTAAACCTTTTAGCTGTGAAATCGTTTTCGGATTTATTTGAAAACACAGAACCCTAAATTTTCACGAAAGAATTACACATAAAGGACAGAACACGGACACAAACGCGCTCTCTAAAATACAGTACACAGAACCTTACTGGTCACTGGCCATTATTATGGTCACGAACAGGACGAAAACGGCGGGGCGTTTCTTTCAACATCATCCCACTACGACTAGCAGTCGCTGCACGACTAAACACGGATTACGCCTGAACGTCGCAACGCGACCGTTAGGCCCCTTATAACTAAAAGTGGATTACGTTGGAGTGTTGAAACGCTGCTGACCGCTTCCGATAACTCCGAAGCGTCACCCGACCTTCCAGCACGCGGCGCTTGTTGCCCTTTATCGTGCTTTGGTTGCCGCCGAAGCGTTATCGAAGGTTGGATTGGAAGCTTGAGCTGGAGGAGGAACAGCTGAAAAACCTCCCTGCCCTTCTCGTCGTGTCAGTGACTATTGCATCTAGTTTTATGTGTCACTGAACTTCGATTCTGAACATGTGTGCTTTTGAAAGTCTTACCTCGCGCAATCTCAGTAAAACAAAGAAAGAAAGAAAATACATTTTTTGGTAGCAAAGACAATCAGGGATGTGTTTCCTTGTTTACATACTTGTACATACGGAGGTGCCAAAATGCCGTCTGACATCCGAATATTTACGCCAGGCCTGTTGGAGAATATTTTGGTGAGTCCAAACGAAACGTGGATGAGGTGTGGAAGCTACGAAGGCGATTCCTGTGATCGGAAAACGTACCCATGAACCTGAAACCCTTTCAAGATTCTAAGCGCGGTTGTCTGTATTTTAACGTTAATGTAGTTATTTATTGCTCCCTGTCACAGTTTGCCAATAAATTTAAAAAAAAGACCTCAGTAGGATACTATTACACTAAAATTTAAATGTCCCTGTCTGAATCTCCGGTTTTGGTGGAACATTACTGCTCGACACGAAATGTCGTCAGTGATTCCATGAAACCGACGAGGTAACATCCCGTTGGTCGATGAATATCGCCGAAATAGCTCAGTTGGGAGAGCGTTAGACTGAAGATCTAAAGGTCCCTGGTTCGATCCCGGGTTTCGGCAGTTCTTCTTTTATTGCCGTGCGAGGTGTGCGAACATGTCTCCCTCCAAAGAGCCTGACTGGTTTTTTCTGTCTTGGAAACACCCCAAAGCCCCGCCTAATAAGATTATATTGATTTGGCAACAAATAAAATGCATAAACACTGATATTTTAAGGTTCCGCGTTTCCGGAGTTTGTTTTTCATAACATTCGAAAGGTTTTTTTTTTTTTTTTTTTTTTTTTTTAGTTTTTTTTTTCGCTAAATATTCGAAGATAATCGAAGTTTATGTTTGCTAGATTAACAACTCTCGGAAATTCGGGGTTTAATTTTTTTTTTTTTTTTTTTTTTTTTTTGTATTTTAGGAATTTTTGAAATTTAAAATAAATACAAATAATCCCCCAAACAACCCTAAAATGCGAAATGTAGAGCGCCATCTAGTAGCGTGCCGAGAACTACGTCCACCATCTTGGTAGCGGCAAGAACACGAAACCAGTGACCCGCCCGGCAAATACTCCATGTAAACCAGCGACCGCGCTTCGTGCGAGAGATGCGATGCCAACGCGTTACCGCGCTCGGTAACGCTCGGTACACGAAGTTGTACCAAGTTTGTTTCTAAACTTTTTTCTTTTATGTACGTTCTAGTCTCGGCCTGCTTTTTTCTTGATTCGTAACAATAAGCAGCTCAATGTATGCGGACGAGGCAAAAGATGATAGTTTTATTCATCTACGCCACCAACCATAATGGAAGATGCCTATGGCTAACAGTAAACAATTAAAGATTGGCACCACAGAACTCTCATTTTAATGTCATATATTAAAAAAAACTAATTACTTTGGAAGGCCAGAAACAATCTTATTGTCTTGCAGCAATTTCTAGACACTTGATCTGGCGTCGGTAAACGAGGTTTATAAAACATCTCTAAAACTAAGCAGGAGAGTTTTTCGACCCTCCAGCACACCCTTGTAGTCTTTTATCAATTGGTTGCCGCTGAAGCGTTATCAAAGGTTGAATTCAAGTTACTAAAACTTTCAGTTGGGAAACTCACCCTTGAAACCTGAACCGCTGGCGTCCACCGAGACCGAGCTAAATACAATAACAGCGCCACCCTTTAGCGACAAGTTGAAACATGAAAGTTGCTTTACGTAGCTACTGCGAGATTGCCCTACGAGATGGCGCCACCGGCCCTTGCCCGACACAATGTACAGCCGTGCAGTTCCCGGAATGGATGCTGCGGAAGAAATGGCGGCGTTGCGATCGCCATTAGCTCGGTCCTCGAGTACGGATTGGAGCCACTTTTTCAAAGCAGGCTCTATGGCAGTTTCCCAACTGAGGGGTTCTAGTAACGTTGGTTGGATTGGAAGCTTGAGCTGGTGGAGGGACAGCTGAAAAACCTCCCTGCCCTTCTCGCCGTGTCAGTGACTATTGCATCTAGTTTTATGTATCATCTGAACTTTGATTCCGAACATATGTGCTTTTGACAGTCCTACTGCGCGCAATCTCAGTAAAACAAAGAAAGAAAATACATTTTTGGTAGCAAAAACCATCAGGGATGTGGTATGTTAAATCTCTTTCCTTGTTTTCATACTTGTGCGTACATGCTCCACTTGCGAGGCAGAGTACCGCAATGGCACTTCAGGGGTGGCCTTGTTGGATCCAAGCTGCATTGCGGGAGGGGACCGGAATGGCGGATGGTGTGGGTGTGAGGCGGTGTTCTGCAGAGTGTGTCGTTTCAGCATATGTCCCATATCTCTCTAAGCCCTAGATAGAATGTAGTAGTCGGCGAAAACGTCGTCCCTTTGCAAGTCATAGCTGCTGGTTGTTGTCTGGTCCAAAGTGCGCCACAGCCAAAGTTACTAGATTACCTCAGTTGTGGAACTCCCACGGAAGGGTGTACCCCCCCCCCCACTCACTTCAGTTCGCCTCCCGTCGTTCGAAGCCCCATCTAGATTTTCACGTATGAACTGTGTTCCATAGGGTGGGGAGAAACACCATCTAAACGCTGTGTTTCGAAACATATTTTTCTACATTCTTTAATAAAGGCGAGTGGTACACACATATATTATGGCATATAACTGAACACGGCAGAATAATAATAATGCTCTTTATTAGCGAAAAGATGAGATACTCTGGGTGCCTCGCAAGGCTAGGCAGGCTTGCTAGCCAGCAATCCATCCATCCAGAGCTAACATTAGTAATGTATATGTCTACGTTGCACCAGAGCCGTATATGTAGAGTTTGGTCAATGGGAGGCGCGGGCCGAGTCAGGGCGTGCGGCAGAGTCGGAAAGAGGGCTTGGCATGCTTTCTTGACCAACCAGAAGCCGAAAAGAATCCCCTAGCGGTGGTAGCGGCAAACAGTTCTGATCAAAAGTCTATGTTCGTATATGCTTTTAATAAGCGCGTAAGAGTGAAGTGTAGTAACTCTTCGTGGTTAAAAATAGGGTGCCCGTGTTGTTTTGATCATGATCATGCAGAAAGATGTAAGAAACGAATACGCCGCGCAACTCTGTTCTGCGTGGACAGTGTGTGACCGTTCGGACGGCAGATTCCCGGCCCTGGACGCTTGGAGTACGGATCATGTCAATCATTCCCCTAGTCGCACTCTTCCACCATCATTTCGGATGAGCGTGATTGAAACATCACGTGTACCATATTTTCAGCCATCGAGAGTTACTCCAATGCAGTTATCAGGTTTGTTTTTCGCAACCACCGCCAGGGTATTATTTCTGGCTTCTGGTTGGTCACATTCGAATTTCTGAAGACGCCCTGGAACCCGTCCAGCCCGCTTTGGGCCAATGGCGCCTCCTCATTTGTCCCCTATACTTCTCAACGAATGGCCAAACTCTCTACATTTGCGGCACTGCGTTGCACCAAGACAAAATAGCAACATTGTTCAAGCTTGAAACATAGCTTTGTGCGATTTACCTGCACCGAAATAGAAAAGTGTAGGACAGTGTACTTTCGATGTATCTACTCAGATACGACCGGAAATTCACTAACCTATAAACTTTCTGCACCGTGCAAATTTGGACGAAGCTAATAAGTCGAAGACGTTGCAACACTAATGAACCGCCAAGATCAAAAACAGCCACACCTGGCACCTGGCACAGGCTCGTCGCTGGCAGAGGTGCTCTGGCCCAATCTCAAAAGGAGCACCTGGACCACCTGGTAGGAACTACACAAAGTGCCTCCTACCTTTTCCACAATTCCTGTTGTACTGCACTGTAGCATAACCACACGTGTTTACTGGAGAACTTTTGAGATTTGATGTTCATCCCTCCCTTCTTGTCAGCCTTGGGGGTTTTAGTGAAATGTTTCACCACCAGCTCCCCATTTACACCCCAACCTTATGTGAAGTGTATTGAACTCTCCAAATTTCTTGCAATGCCCTCACTTACATGGAACTGTGAAATACAGACAAGCTCAATGATACTCATCCCAGAAGAATAAGGGACAAGTTCCCCTGCAATTTCTGACAAATACCCTGCAAGTATGGGTCACCAGTCATTTCTGACCAGAAGCAGGATTGTTGGGAGACCAGAGTTGCCTCTTCCAGGGAAAAAGAAAAAAAAAAACGGCACAAGAGAAGCACGAAGTCCAAAAAGGGATGCACTTTTAATGAGCTTTGCTCCTAGTAGAGGCGCTGGGGTGGGCCCATGGTGGATTTGATGTGCAGGGAGCGGATGTTCTGCCAATTCTTTTTCAGCAGGGACACCAGGTAGTTGATGGCCAGGTTGATGTTCTGGGCCAGCTCGTCTGGGCTCATCTTCACGTTGCCCACAGCCACAGCCAGGCAAAGCACCTGCAAGAAGCAACCATTCCTCCTCAGCACACATCCCACGGATTACCACCTTCAAGGAAGATCATCAAGATATCAGTGTTTGCACATGTAATCAGGCTGATTCATTGCCCAGTGCTAAATTCATCATGTAAGAGTACCATAGACTGGTCACTCGAGCCTAGAGGACACAGCCAATATACAGATACCCCTGCAGTCTAGACTCGCTATAACCTTAGCTTGAAGAAATATTTGAAACAGTGTGACCGTGACCTTCTAGACAACTTGGATTCAAGACTTCCTGTAAGGACGGACAGCTTGCAGAAACATGGGCTATACAAGGTCCATATCGCATCGATGCTTTTGGATAAGCCAAGACCTGGAGCAACATCGAAATGTGAAACCTAAAGGCATAAACCCACCTTCTTCATCTGGAACTTGATGGTAGCCTTGACTTCATCCAGCTTGGCCATCATGGACTCGTTGTGAGTCAGAAGGGTGGGGAATTTGCCAGCCTTGTTCAGGCCGGGACCCAGCAGACGGGGGATCTGCTTGATCAGCGACTCCGACGCCATGAAGGCGTCATACTTTTTGGCTGCAGGGACAAGAGAGGGAAACGTCACCCCCACCGCGAGCCCGACAAGCAGAACAGTACAGTGACCGAGAAACAATCAGGGTCGTGGCTTCTCTATCATGGCAGTTCAGGTAATACATGCAGTTTGAGATTTGTTCATCACACAGGGACATGTTGGCGCGAACGGGCAAGCCGAAAACTTACCGAGCTTTTTTACCAGTTTCTTGTTCTTGTTGAGCTTCTTGAGGGCCTCAGTGTCCATGCATGGCAGGTTGTTGGCCTTGGCCTCGTCGCAGTGCTGCTGGTCTCCCAAGACACACACCTGGAACTTTGGCCGAGGAATGTGCTTCAGCCTGGAAGGAGGTAAACGGGCGCAGTCAGAATGCTGCCTCAACACGTACTGACTAGCGTTCTACCAGTTACAAAAAGGACTAGACACAGACAATGCGAGGACGGCGGGGCATCTCTCTATCACCAGACTCCAGTGCACGCTCACTGTCTTCCACCGTTCTTCGACTGCACATGCATGCTTCAGGCTCACAAGAAGCTGAAGAGTCATTTATGGTAATGGAAGCACGCTGTAAGTGGCGCAACTGAACTGACATTATAATTCATACTTCCCTCTTGACTAGAGAAGTTGTTGCACCAAACCGCACGAAGCTCGCAAGGTAAAGTGACAAGAAAGCTAAGCGAATGTATGAGCAATCTATTAGTTTAGTCTACCTCGGCAACCCCGCAACGATCGGAGGAGATTGCCACTTATAGCAGCTTGTTCAATACAGAAAGCAATTCAAACTCCAAACAAATTTGAGCGCCCCACAGAACGGCAGTACATACGGTTCGTGCCGAGAACCAAGACGTCCTCTTCAGGCGCCAACCAAACTGCACTTAGTAATGGTGCTGCCGAAGCAAAACACCTCCCCAGTTGATTTTAAAGACCCTGGGTACGGGTCCGCCAGCCAGCAGCCGGCTTCCTGTCGTGCTCCAGGCTACGCCACAAGCCGTCCACAGATGCACAGTCCCGTCTGGCAAACGCCATCCCCAAAGCAACCTAACCCTCGCCGTTTCTCCATAAGCCTCCATCATATTGGGGCACCATAGCCCAGGGCTCAAGTCATTCCCACCGATCCATGTGCAAAGCAGCTAGCTCCGTTTTCAGTACGCTACGGGCGGGACTGTGCAATCCGACTTGGACCTTTCCTGCTAACAGTGGCAGAGCCTGTGCAGTTCAGGTGATTGTGGAGTGGGCGGTCACGGCGAGCGGGCAGGTGGTCAGGAGAGCCTACTTGACGGTGCCCGAGAAACGCTTGTCCTTCTGGGGGTCGTAGTTCTTGAGGGCAATCTGCAGTTCCACCGTCTCCAGAAAATGGCGGTGGCGCTTGGCCGAGCTCTCCAGCAGGGCGTTGACGCAGTCATAGAGCATGTCACGGCTCACCTTGGAGCTGCAGACGAGATCGGCGTGCAAGCATTCAAAACGAAAGTAAAGGTTACTGCACACACTACGGTAACCTTAGTTTTTCAGCGGATCTCAGAACTTTTTGACGAAAAATTGGATGAACGCGTGCACGGGTTCATCCAATACAATAACCGACCCGCACGAAAAAAATAATAAAGAGCACTAGCTGATGAATTTAAGCACACCTTAATCAAACTAATAGGCTGTGCAAATTTAAATATATATATATATATATATATATATATATTATCTTTCAGAGTCATGCGAAAATCGAGCAGCACTAACGCTAAGCCTCGCAACAAGAATTCGACCATTAAATCTGTAATCCTTCAATCGACAGCTTTAAAGATCTAGGAAAACACATTAGGAACTTCAAGCAGACACCGGAATATTCACACACAAGTCATGTTACTTGAACGAGGTGATAAAAACATCGTTCGAGGGTTGCAATCCCAGTGGTGCGGGCTGGTGTACGAAGTCATTTTAAGGACGAAACGTAAGATATGCATCAAACTACAAGTTCCCAAGGAATATACGGGCATCGAAGTACTCAATGAAATTTAAAATCCTAATTTTAATCGCTAAATATTCGAAGATTGCACTGGATACGAACCTCATGATGACTTCTCAGTTTGCCGCCGATCACACGAAAAGAACTGAAGCGAAAGAACGAAAAACGAAGAAAGCGAAGTCATGTGACTTTTTTGTGGTTGCCAGACGTGATTGTCGTATTGATATATGAAACGTAAAATTATATACAAAATGTATAAAAGAATACCTTTAGTTGTATTACTAAACAATATAAGCCCGTCGAAATAATTTCTAAAATATTAATTAACCCTCGGTAAATTATTAAAACCATCGCAGATGCACCTTGCCTGCACACGGCACGATGTGTTGCGCATCCCGATTGGCTCACAGACTCGATCTATGACGTAATTTCTCTTAGCTCACCAATCACGTGCCGGCTTATTTTCTTCCCTAAAACAGGCTGGTAGTTCGTCTCAGCAATGGCATCAACTGCTGGGAATATCATGCCTTGAGTTTCGGACAGTCAGCCTCGGCTAGGATACAACCGTTCCAAAAAAAAATAAGTATTACAAAGTCGCCGAAAACCGAGTTTGAGATGACGCCCGGAGAATCCGCGCAGCCTTTGCCGGACGAGGCAAGTGTTTTTCGGACCATTTCTCGCGCACCACGAAAGATCTCGACACAACGCAGCAGAGGCTGCGAGCGTAGTGCTCGCCTAGGCATTTTATGCGGCCCTTGAGCTCTTGACATCTCACTCAAACGCTTACTTTGGACATTTAGACTTACCCGCACGGGTTGGACGTGCTCGTGTAACCGAATACGGGCTCAGCTAGACGCTGTAACGTCTGGATAGCGCCGTCATCGGTTATACAACTCTAGCTGGACTTGGCTGCTATGTTTAGGTTATGGAAACCCCATTCGTAGTTTTTTCCTCCTGTTTATTTTGAGTGTGGTCTCCCGGTTTGTGAACGGCGGCGTAAACGATAGCGATCCTAGGTTTGCGAACACCGTATTTAGAAAACCGATTGCGCCGAAAGTTTTATTTTTTTCGGAGTCCAGACACCTCGCCTGTACTGCGATGAATGAACAAGAATCTCGCGAGCTCGTATGCTCGTAGTGGATACCTCACGTGTCAGGAGGACGACACAGTACGAGTGCAACGTCTAAGGTGATTCGTATAAAAGATTGAGACACTTGTCGCTCTGAAATCTCCAACAAGCGACTAAAAGATCCCTCACCCCCATCTCGTACCCTTTCTCAGCCTGTGTGAGGTGGAAAGACTGCCAAAAATGGGACACCTCTGATATATTTTTAGCCGGTTTAAAAAGCTCCCCTCACTCACACCGAGTTGCATTCGAAAAGGTTTGAGAATGGGTGGGAGGAAGTCTTGAGAAACAGTGGGGGCGGCGAGGCACAGTGTGATAATATGTGGGAGCGCTTTCTTTCTTTTTATATTTTTTCTTCTTTTTTTTTCTTACTTGACTTACTCTTGTTGTGGTCTGAATCGCGCACTTGGCTTTTGTAACATTGCCAGGTGACGGAATGCAGTTCAGACCGAGCATTCAACGCCACTGAGGAGCTGGTGTTGCGTCGGTGGAGTAGAAACTTGCATTTACCTGTATAATAAGCTAAGCAGATATTATGGTTTTCATGTGAAGCATTTACCTACAAGTGTATAGTTAATTGTTACATTGCTCAGCATGTGACAGCTTCCTTGCAAAGGCTACAAAATGGTCTTCAAATATTTTTTGTCCTTCATACTAAACAGCTTGCGGTATCCTAAATGTAGTCGCCTTGCACATGACGTTATTGAGTCATTTTTACCGAATGTTTGCTTTGAAGCGCAAGTTGTTCGGTGTCAGATACATGCATAATGCTTGTAATTTCGGCACAAAAAAAATGTCACAGGTGATGCCCTTTCGAGACGAGGGACACCATCGCTACCGCCGAGTTTTGGTGATTGTATTTTAGCAGACGGTGCTTGCCTACTTATATGTGCTGCCAACGATTGGCACAACGCGAGGATGCCGCCACAGCGGCATGTCGACCGACCATCTCCGTACAATATATGGGCCACAACGGCACATAGGAATACAAGCTGACACAGCGCTCTGGGAAAGAAACTTTGACTACAAAAGCAAGCAAGTCAAAACATAAAAAGATTGGGCATTACAGAGACTCACATCACGCTAAAGGAAGCGTAATAAAAACTTTCTGAAGAATGCTAAAACGAAGACACAGCTTGGCGACCCCTGCGGGGAAGATCGTTGCATATCTTCGGCGGCTGGGGGAGGTAGGTGCTCACCGCCAATGTCGTACCGTTACGAAGTAGTTGAGGGGATTTGAGGACTTGTATGTTTTAGGTCGTTATCAGGTATATGGACCAGGTGGCTCGAATAGGTCATGAAGATGTGGTCACAATACCTTCGACAGATTTGTCATTTTTTTTAGTATCAAGTGCTCTTCCTTTTCACCCATGGAACCAGGAAGACATGTTGATCCTGTATAAGTAAATTTCGGGAGGTACCAGAGTTAGTCCTCGGCGGTGGGACTTTTTAAGTATGCATTACTCACTGCGTGTCCTCAGAACTCAGCAAAAACCGTGGCCAGCTAGAAGCAACATACTCCCCACAGAAGTTTGGTCATGTTTGTATTTACCTCTGCATACCCTGTGTAGGGTTACCATAATTCTTGGGGTACAAAATGGGACACTAGGGGGGGGGTGGGAAGGAGTGATGATGATAATGTAAAAGAAAAATTGTGCTGCTAGTCAATTAACCGTAGAAACACATATTGTTCCAGAGTCGGACAAATGACTTTCGTCGCCACTTTTACACACTGTTTCATCGTTAAAACCAAACTGCTCTTGGTAGTAACTAACATAATAAGTTCAGTAGCACCACAAGAAGTCTGAAAGATTTATGGGCAGGTGTAGCAAGGGAAAGAGCTCAAAATTGTGCTATATGGGAGGTGACATTTTCAAAGTACCGTAAAAATACCGGGGAGCATACATCCCACTTTCACTGAACACTGGGTTACTCTAGACATGGGTGCTTGTCTGGTCAGATTGGGTGCTTAAAGCGGGACCAGCAGAAATATTCTTCAACCTGGCGGAAAGTCCTCCTTGCCCTCTTTCTTTCTTGTATTGTGGCACGGCGAGGCGAGGGGAAAGGTCCCCTTTTGCGCCGGCTTCTTCTGAGAGGATAAGCCGAGAAAATCCCCTTTCTGAGCGACGGGCGATGGGTGCGGCAGCAGCGACCTCCTGACTTACAGGTATCTTCAGCTCCTATTGCGTAATCTGCCCTATTTTTTGGCTCTTGCCAAGCCTAGCCCCTCGGGGGTTGGTCTTAGGGAGCTGCAAGGCTGCGCCCTCGCAGTCACCGAATTTGAGCTGTCGAAGTTCTTTGGTTTAGCACGTGGCAAAGTAAACGCATACTTGGGAGCTGCGATGCATCCCCGCACACATTGAAGGAACGTTTCATAGATATTCTCGGTTGATCAAGGAGCTCTAAACACATGCGCGAGATGTGGTGACCTGAATATGTAAGGATGACTTACATCTTCACAAAACATTCCATCTTCAAAAAAACGACTTATCACCTCAAACTTGCCTCTAATTTGGATCGATGGAAAAGAAAAGGATCCATCACGCTTCTTGCTCAAATGAACAGGAGCATCTAACTTTTCGCTCCTCTTGGCCTTTGCGCGACTTTTAACAAGTTCTGAAACACACAAAGCAAAAGTGATTTAATTAGCTCAGGATTATAGGTTGTGAGAAATATTTATAAAGTTCGAGGTTCCCTAGAGTCATCTTTTGTATTAAATTCCCCCTCCCCTCACCATCACTTCCTTTCCACCAAATAAACAACATAGATTATTTTATGAACCACCAGTAATAGAGTGTACTCGCAAAATGTCTATTTAATGTAAGAAAGGCCTTGTTTAAATGTTCGAGCAATAAACTGGTCTTCTTACTGCGTGAAACAGCTAGCACGAACGAAATATTGGCATTTTTAAGCAAGGGCCATGCAGAATTTAGTGTATAAGAACAAATTGATGCCTCGTAAGTTGGTGCCCAGTGGAAGCACACTTTACGGAATTGCTTGTATAAAAATAACAACTTTTCAACCATAAAAACAAAACAAAATAACACCAGTTTTTGGAGGGCCACTAAATTTACTGATTCACTCAGTTAGCGTTGATTGTGCAGCGGTATGCATACATTACGCGACACTGCTAGCGCAAACACGACATCGGCGCTTTTTGCTATTTTCCCCGGCAATGTATTGGCTCGCACTAAAATCTACCGTTTAGGTGGGATACTCGCATTAACAGTTTCCTAAACATCATTCACTTCTAACAAGAAAAAAAAAGTGGGAAACACCGGCGATAGTTTGTTCGTGCTAACTGCGTGGCGTAGGGCAGCGGTGTAGACTTTCCATTTTACCGGGAGAGGGGGGGGGGGGGGAGTGCTGCGCATTAGCTTCTCGCCAGAACTGGAAATTGGAGCGAACGTAAGCACGCTGGGATTCTATTTCCCATGTACGGCTCCATAATCGTACATGGGAAATAACCGTACATAACCGTACATGGGTATATTGAATCCACCCTTGATGCCTTCTCACCTCAGGTGGTTGTTGGGAATGTGTAAATACGAATCTTATACATTTTGCTGGCCATCATGTTCTGTGAGTTAGGCACACAATTGGGCATTTTAGTAAATTGTTTTCAAAGGCCCGCTGCCACATCAGGTGCGCGCTTCAGAGAATGCATCGAAGTGGCGGCACGAGCTCCCGCTAAATATAGCCTGGCCTGAAAACATAGTCTGCTAAAGTTTTTCAATAATTTGTGCTTGCTGCTAGAAAACAAAGACCTTCTACAAGATGCCCGCACCTGGTACATCGTTTTCTTTTCTATCGATCCCAATTTGAGGCAGGTTTGAGCGTGATAAGTGCTTTTTTTTTTAAGATGGAATGTTTTGTGAAGATGTAAGTCATCCTTACATATTCAAGTCACCACATCTCGCGCATGTGTGCTGAGCTCCTTGATCAACCGAGAATATCTATGAAACGTTCCTTCAAGGGGTGCGGGGATGCATCGCCGCTCCCAACTATGCGTTTACTTTGCCACTGGCTAAACCAAAGAACTTCGACAGCTCGAAATTGGTGACTGCGAAGGCGCAGCCTTGCAGCTCCGTAAAACCTACACCCGAGGGGCTAGGCTTGGCGAGAGCCAAAAAATAGGGCAGATTACGCGATAGAAGCTGAAGATACCTGTAAGTCACAAGGTCGCTGCGGCCGCACCCATCGCCCGTCGCTCAGAAAGGGGATTTTCTTGGCTTATCCTCTCAGAAGAAGCCGGCGCAAAAGGGGACCTTTGCCCTCGCCTCGCCGTGCTACAATACAAGAAAGAAAGAGGGCGAGGAGGACTTTCTGCCAGGGGAAAAAATATTTCTGCTGGTCCCCCTTTAATGTATAATTTGCAGAATTTCCAAGTTTGGGAAATGTTAACAGTGGACGCTTGAACCAAGTGGGCACTTCGGCGTTATTTTACGGTATATTTATTCTTATAAAATTATGTCTCTAAAAAAAAAAAAAAACTTTCGATTTTCGTTTATTTGTTTCGTACTGATTTCGCAGCTGCACATTCCCACTAGAATTGGACATTAGGCTTTTTAATGCGAACGTCCCATGGAGCAAAGCCAGCGGCGTCTGTAAGCGCGAAAAAGTGCAAGAAATTCCCCTTCTCCCGATGGCGTCTGTAGCCGCAAAAGATGTCCAAGAAATTCCCAGCGAAACGGCTGCTAGATAGCCATTGGCCGCGACACGTCATAGTTCCAAGAAATGCCACCCCACAGAGAAGCCCTCTTCCTGGCACTGCGGCCCGCATGCCGGTAAAAAGGAGAGGGCGGAGCATGCTCAACCACTGCCAGGGCTGCCAACATGGAAAGTCAAAATTTCCCTTGCGGACGCCTGAAATTTCCCTATTTTTGCCGACATTTATCTCGCTGGCCCAAATAATTATATAAAACTAAATAATCCTTGTTTTCTACCTCACTGCCATTTTTACAATGAGAGATATGTTATGTAACCTTTATGCCTCACATGCGTTTCGCAAAAATGAGTTTATCGGACCAAAAGAGTGGTCAAAGCAAATCTAGCGAGGAAAAATGTTACCGTGATATTCAAACGGACGAATGAAACCCTATCTTCGCCTTAGATGTTATGCACGTCATTAGAACATGGTGCTGCTTTAATAACTTCTTTAGCGATTTTTTATAATAGGGAGTCCAAAACAAAGAAGTGTAACACAAGCTAGAGTTCTCAAACTCGAACATAACATATAGCAACATTTCGTGCACGGCACTTCACGAAATGTTATTAGCCATGGTAAGTCTGCACCTTTGTTGTATCTCCAGACATCGCAGTATCTCTTGTTGTACTCTCTTTCTTTTCCGAAAAGGCACAGCCGTGAGTTGACTGGTCCCTTCCTTTATAGCCACTAAAATTCAATGTTATCTCGAAAAAAAAATCATAATCGACCTATAAATTTACAGATATATACGATGCCCAAAATTTCCCTCAAACTCTCAAGATTTCCCTTATTCCCGCATATACCTGAATATTACCTTAATCTGGGAAAATTTCCCTTTGGTTAGCAGCCTTGGCCGCCGCTCTCGTGTCAGGCGTTGCCGGAAGAGGGGGGTTTGGTTTGCGGCCGCTTCTGTTCCTCTGGGCCCCAAGGAACATCGCGGTGTCTGAGGCATCTGTGTCGGCGGTGGCCGCAACCTCAGCAGTAGTGAAACGTGACCGTCTACGCCATTACACCGCAGATGAACTAAGGGAGCGGAAGAACGGCAGAAAAAAGACGTTCATGTTTTTGCATTCACAACTCATAATAAGTGCTTAAGTGTCCTCAGAATGTTTTGAGGCAGGGCGACGAGACGATGTAAATGAAGCTTTAAAATGGGACGTCTGGTCACCCTACAAGTAAACCTTTCCGGCTTTCTTTTTGCTTAACGAAGGCTCAAACCGTGCAGTGTCACCTCAAGGTCAAATGGAAAAGTTTTGGGCAGCATGTATTTTCTTTAATTGTTCTCTCAAATTGTTAAAGTAGCTCTTGGAACTGAACACCCTTTGAATAGGGTGGTGGGGTGTACACCGTCGAAGACACGAATAAAGAATTTGGGCAGAAAATGTTGCCTCAATGAAATGAAATGCCTGGCAGTCTAGTCTGATTCTTGCCTACCAATTTGCCTTGTTCTGCCCCATCATCACTAGACAACATCTGTTGCTCGCATGTTCTGTGAATTTCTACCGCAACATGACAGGAGCAATAGGTCAAGGGTGAGTTGCACGATCGCGAGCAGTGCACTATATGGAACCTCGTGGTTCCATGTTGTCACTCGTAGTATTCTAATGATAATAATAATAATAATAATGTGCAAGGCTGTGCACAAAGGTCAGAACCCTTACGCAATATTTCCAACCGAGAACTTGTGCCAAGGTGCGCTCACACGCAGCAACAGTTTGTCAAAACAGTGCTGGGGGTGTAAATACGGCTCCTTCTTGCAGAGCCTCAGTATTAGAAAGTCCCTCTGCGTCTTCTTTTTTTTTTTTTTTTTAACCGTGGTAGTTGTAAACTGCAAGAAACATAATTGCCTCCATTTGCAGTGAAAGTTTTTTTTTTTTTTTTTAACGTGGTTTTGGGCATTCCTTCTCCCTCCAATTCTGCAACTAACTATTTGAATATCTTAATATGCCACCACTATCAAAATCAACCTTCCCCTTCTCCTCCCTCTTCTTTCACTCCTGTCTCCCCATCCCGTGCGAGTCTTTCCCCCGGTATGGGTAGATAATATTTACGCATGGGCTTTTCCCATTTTCACAATTGTTATTACAACAACAAAATGCAGAATCTATGCTCTGGAAGGTGTGGAAAATATTTTGCGTTTTTGTTAATACACTCTTTGGATGTCGTGTATTACACCTCCATCACACGGGCAAATCATTGTCATATTCGGTACGTGCACTCAAGCTCATTGAATGTCATTTGCACTGCACAATACAAGACGTGTTATGTGGCGGCTATGGCAATGATGATGGGTAACCTTTTTAAATATTTTAGCATATTTCTTATATATTTTTGTCTCTACATTAAAAAAAAAAACAGTTTAGGAGCCATTGTTGCATTAGTTTACTGGCTTTACTTCAATTTGATGGCTTTAATTATGTATCACAAACATAATTCTACATTATGTTTGCAGAAAAGATGTAACACATATAACTACAATTTCATTAATTTTATGTAACTTTGTTTTTTTTTCTACTGTACTTTGGTTAGCCTTGAAACACCTGTTTTAGAGCTATGCACTCAGTCTACCAAACTATTTATTATTTATAAAAAAAAATTTAAAAAAAACTGCACCGTTGAAACTTCGGCATTTTTCACACTTACGCCATAAGTGTGAAAAATGCTTAGGATTCCGTGTTTTTGGAGTTTATTTCTTGTGAGATTCGGAGGGTGTTTTTCGAAGTTTATTTTTCTCTGGGGATTCAGAGTTTATCAGACTTTCTTTTTGTTAGATTCACAATTTCTTGAAATTCTAAGTTTATTTTGCTGCATAAAATTTAAAAATTCGAAAACAAAATAAGTAAGGTCTGGGTACCCTGACCCGTCGTCCTGAAGGAATCTGGACGTGCTAGAATGCAACCCCCTTTTTGTCAGTAGTTCCACATTTCGAAGGAAACTAAAGTGGAATCTTTTCAGGACCACGCACCTTGTGCTCTTATGAAGTTTAGTTGTTAAACACCATATTTTTTGCTGTTTATTTTGTCGCTGTAACCTCGAAATTCAGAGTTTTTCAAATAAATCCGAATTGAGGGAAAATTTCCCGACAAGTGTTTTTCGGATTTCGTTTAAAACACAGAACCCCACTTATGGTTTTGAAATCTATAGTATGTCTGTGTGTGCAACTGCATGGATACCTTTTATCTCGGTAAAACTGGACCTTTATCTTATCAGATTATACCCTAGCCGAGTGGGTTATTGCACACCAGCTCTGAGCACGTGGAGAAAAAGCTCACGCTGCAAATCCCAGGGATCCTGGATTCAATCCCCACCCCTGCCTGTTTCGATCTGGATGAGCATCCCACCGGTGTGCGGTCATGTATCACTACCGCGTGGTGCACGTTAAAGACCCCAACCTAGTGGTTGTACTGCACTGGCTAAATTGCTCGTCTACATCTGAGAGACAAGTCAGTAGCTGAGGCAGACTAACTTTAGGCTGCATTAACTGTTTGCAAGCACAATTGGAGTGTACCCTGAAGGAGTGCAAACTTTAACCATATAAGAATTTATTCATATTGCCATCATGTTCATTCTTGGCTGGGTTAAAGCAGTTTTAGACTGTCCTTTTATCAATCTAATGTAATCTAGCTACGAAGTATGAAAATGCACGAATTATTTGGATAAGAGTCCTGCCTCTAATCGATGCCATAATCTTTCTCTTCCTCACTCCGAGAATGGGAAGTCGCCTTCCTTTTCTTGGACAGAAAAGAGGAAAAGAGAGTAAAACTTTGGCTGCACATTTGACGTAGAAGTGGAATGAGTGTGCAGATAATTTCTGTATTTCTAGACCTGCCAAAGTTGGTTGAGACCTGTGTGCGTGTTGTCTGCTTTTGTCCCTAGTCTCGGGAGTTCAAGACGTCGAATGTTTGCCAGCTCGCCCTCATCTCCGTTATTTCTACATCAGGAGGTCGCGTTCGAGCCATAAAAAGACCAAGTCAAGAGCCGTCCAAGTCCACCTTCATTTAATTGCCGCTAAAAAATGACGCAAAGAAAAAAAAAAATGGATATGTAACCTTGGGTTTCTTTTTTTTTTTTTTCTCTCATTGCAGGCTCCCACAACGGACGAACCTCAGGCACTATGTATCGTCAGAGACATGACAACCAGCTCGGTATGATAACCAAGTTACCTTGATGCACAAATGTGTGCCACAACAATCAATTTTAACTTGTGCATACATCGAGATCGACTTTTTAATGGTTTTTGAAAGGTGACCGCTCTAAAGTAACGACCACATTTGAAGACTATGAAATGGCTACCATAGCTCCAACGTTGCAGGGGTAGCGACGGATCTAACGTTTTCCCAATTTTCTGGGCTTGGAGAAGTTAATGGGAACCCGACCTGGCGTTACCTTAGTTCTTTATTACACCGTTAAATTTTTGGATTGTTAAACTTGTGAATGTTGATTTTAGTGTAATTTTAGACTATGGCTTGTCCTTCCCAAACAACAGTAATACCACCCCGGGGGCTATCCCTGTCATAAAACTGTCCAATAGCGCTCTGCGCTAGCCTGCCACGCGAGTTAATTTTATCTCTGTCCAAGCGTTGTCTGTTCAAGCTTTGTCCGAGGGGTAGCAGGCTCTGCGTGCGATTGATCGACGAATCCAGCAGGATTGCACTTTTTTATCTGGTGTTTGTTTGACTTGACACTCGTGAGTTTGTTTGTGTGGCCAAATATATGTGTCGTGTCAATGCAAGGGTTTGCTTCAGGCACTGATCCTGACCTTGGCAAAAACAATATGAACCAAAAAAAATACTAACCCTGTGTTCTTACGAAACAAAACAAAAAATGTGCTTCAGGTATTTTTTCAGTATATTGCAGTATAAGGCTGTCAAAATCTGAAGTATACTTTTAATGCACAGGGTGTTTCTTCTAAGGTTCTACAGGTTGATTAAAAAAAGAAAAAAGACCTTCAAAGCTACTATGTTAATCTGTTTAGTGCAGGTGAGCTGTGCGGGCAGGGGGAAATAATATAGGGTGATAACCGTCACAATGAGTCGGATAATTAACTAAACCCCTTTAATTTACTTTTCAGTCAGGGAAAGTCAACATGTGGCTTCAATTAGAAACTTGCTAAGCATCATCAAAAACCACTGAATCAGTAAATTTCTGAAAGATTTGAAAGCATGTGTAAAACACGGTGGTGCGGTATAAAGGCTGGCAGTGTGAAAGCATGGAAGACAGACTTATCCACATTTTTGCATAAAAGACGCGGACAATAATCTTGTCCACGCTTTCACGCTGCTAGCCTCGCGGTTTGAGTAAACTGTGTAGCTTCGAGTGAGTGGATCGGCGGACATGCAGACCGCCACCTTGAAGGCGCTCCTGTCCGTGGCGGCTTCGACCAGCGCTTCGAAGCTGATGCAGCTGGTGGGGCGCCACTTCAGCTACAGCCCAGACTCCTTCGAGCTACTCCTTCAGTCGCATCACCAGGGAGAGGCCGTGAGTCAGGAGTTTCTGTTTATTTTCGAGACTTGGAAGAAGCCAGTGGTATGGCTTACAGGAGATATTGTGGAACCTCTATTATAAGAACTATTTCTTTTCTTTTAGAGTGCAGCTCTTAGGCGCCCGTTCCTGGCTTGAGTGGCGTCGCCGTTGCCGTCGGCGTAACCGTGCGGTGCAGTATGGGTAAAATTTCCCGAAGGAACCCGAGGTCCTTCAAGAGCACCTTGGGTACCTTCGGTGACCTCAAGAAGGGGGGGGGGGGGGGGGGGGGGGGGTCACGTGACCCCCCTTCAGTACCCTTCCCTACTCCTCCTCAAGAGCTGCGCTCTAATTCGGCATTACAGGGAGTTGTAAACGGCTTTCACTTTTTTTTAATGTTAGCTTCATCAATATCTTGAGTATCAGCCTCTGAAATGCTGGAAACGGTGCAGCCCATTCATAGAAAGCTCCAGAGTGATGTAAAATGGATTTGTTGTATCTGGAAATTTGTTTTATAAGGAGACGGACATTTACGTGTGGTAAGCCTTGCTTGAAATTTCCTTCGTATGCGTCTGTTAAAACAGATGTTTGTTATGAGTGGACCGCACAGACTGGTATTACAAACATGCTCCTACTTTTACTTAATAAATTCATAGATTTACTATGTGGGTATATTTTTCTTTTTACTGTACGGGAGTCATGCCTGGTGCTGCCACCCTTCACTCTTTTTTAATTTCTTGTTTTTAATTGAAGTTTATTTTTTGTCAGTGTCTATTCTCCTGGCAGCTGAGAGAATAATCCAAGGAAAAGACAAAAGGGAGAGCAGCAGAAAAGAAAAAACAGGCGATACGTTCCTTTCATTCGATGTCAGTCTGTCTGACGCCTCTGTTTTCCTACAAACTAATGCTAAAAAAGGTCAGGTACCGAGATTTTGCTGCCGCTTCCCATTGGTTAAAACCTTGCCAGTGGTCTGGGAAGGCCACGGGAGCTTTGGAATTCGGTGTCTGTCTCTGTGCCCTGTCGTTCTGAGGCGGCCAGGGCAGATGTTTTCCTCTTCACCTAATACAAGGTGCTTTTTTTTTCTAACTTTCCAGATTTTTTCATAAAAACTGTGAAAGCTACATTTTTGCGGTTAGTGCAAGTGAGATATACGGCCAGGGGGGCATAGTATGGGGGCTAATCATGATGATCAGTTGGCTAATTAGGTAAAATTTGTTAATTAACTTTCTCATTAGTGAAAAAAGACATATGGTTCCAATTAGAAACTTGCTGAGCGTCATCGAAAACCACTAAATCAGTAATTTTTAGAAATACTTTGAGTACGTCAGAAGCGTAGTGGTGAACTAAACTTACCACTCTTACAGTAGGTACAAGGCTGAGGCTACGATAAAAAAAAAAACTAAAACATGAATGGCATGGGCATGTTTTTGCATGGTAGCCTTGCTCTCCTGCTGCACGAGTGCCGACTTTAGCGCACTTCTCACATACTCAAAGTCTCTGAAAATGACTGATGTAGTAGTTTTTGATGTTTCTCAGCAAGTTTTTAATTGGAACCATATGTCTATTTTCACAAATTGAAAGATTAACAAGTTTTACTTAGCCGACTAATTGTTACGATTAGCCCTTGTACTATGTACTTCTTGCCGTATAACTCACCTGCACAAACCACTTAAGTGTAGCTTTCACAGCTTTTTCTTTTTTTTTTCAAAAACAAATCTGTCACGCTTAAGAAATAACCATAAAAAAACCTGTACATTGAGTTTTATGCCGCACACGTCCGACGTACCTTTAGACGCGGCGTTTTGTGTTGGTCTATTAACGTCTATTGTCTATCTAAGCCGTTTATGTTAGCTTATTTTGATGCTCTTTTAGATCTTCGGCATTAGGTACTGTGACAACGTGTTACTTTATGTCTGGCACGTCGGCATAATTTCAGCAGTCGTTTGCTTAGTCGACATACCTGAAAAATGAAAGGGGGGGGGCACATGCCCAAATCTAATAATATGTGCTCGGAACCACGCCAATATGATGTTCCCCTAGAACTATGTTCCTCAAACGGTCGCGTTTTATTGGTCTGGAGAATACGGCACTTTCTTTCTTATCCAGGAATGCAGACCAGCCGAATGAAACCAATCGAAGATCAGTTTGATCGGTTCCAACACTGCCTCTTATTCCAGGTCGCCATCCACGTGTGCGAGGATCAGACGATCGAGGAACTGGGCTTCTGTGTGGACGGAGTCAGTCGCAACATGCTAGTCATCTACGATCGCAACAGAGAACCACCCAAGAAGCTGATGGTAAGGGGGGGGCTCCACTGCCCAGCACTGAGAAATCGAAGCGCATCTATAAACGAGAGAAGCTAGAGTTACCCTCAGAAAGTGATTCAGTTAGAGTTACTCGTTAGCAGAACTGTGATTAAGTTTCGAATGCAGTTATTTTTCGACATAACCGTCTGGTTACAGCCGCAGCCACGCTGCGCAAACATCATGCAAAAGACACGGTGTTTGCTGCGGACATGATGACAGAATGATCTGGGGACAAGCCTCGGGAATGTTCAAAGCATGTTTGCCTCGTACAAATGTGTGCTTTGAACATGCCTGCAGACGACTTTTGCACGACTAATGTGACAGGACCGTCATGCAGGGAAGATGCGCGCCTCGGACAGTGTGTGCCGATGGCCTTTTGTTTTGACGTGTCGGCCAAGCGACCACGGCTTTAGGGTTACTCACGAAAAGTAACCAAGTTACCTTTAAAAATATTTCATAATTTCAATATTGGCACAGCACTGATTTCCAGTCTAAATCAGTGTGGATCTGTGCATCTGTTTACATAATTTCGAGGAGTAACTGTAACAAACTACATAAAAATACATCCAAAAATGTACCTCGGCTGCTGTTACAGTTGCTGAAATTTGGCTGCAGCTTTGGAAGTGCCACACGGTTGCGTGCATGGGCCACGCCCACCCATTATTAAACTGAAATTTATAAAAAGAAAAAAGATAGAAAGAATTTTTTTTTTAGCTATCATCAGCACCCTTTCAGCATACTCCGGGACATTATAGCTCGTTTCTGTATCAGTCCACCAGATGTAGCGCAAACTTTAATAGTTGGGAAGCAACGCTGTGTTTCAGGAATGGCCTCCTCCCTACAATCAGCCACAAGGAGGCTGAACAAATTGGAACTGTTTGCTCAGCCACTTTTGAGGCAAATAAGGAATCCGCCATTTCTCCGCTTGATTCTGAACATAGAGTGGCAATGAATGGCTTCTGTCGAATGAGAGCGGAGATGACCTCGACTCGACCAAAGGCTCCAGTGATAAAAGTGCAACCGATGCTGTGGAAGTCTCTTAAATTATGAACAAATCATGGGTTGTCAGACTGGCCTGTATCTTAAAATTGAAGTTTTTAATTGTTTTTTTTATAAGGGATTCTAACATTTTATATGTACATAGGAATTAACAGGTATTTAGGCAAATTAAGTTGCTCATACTGCAGGACCATTAAAAAATTTAAACTGGGTCGCTAGTACTTAATATGATAAAAAAAGAATAGCTTGAAACAATCGGGCTTAAAGGGGTGATGCAGCACTTTTCACACTTAGGCCAGTTAAGTGTGGATATTAATCTGTTTCACCCATAGAATGAAAAACAGAAAACCCTATAGTACTCTTGCACGTGCTAGCTTTTATATTAAGAAAGGAAACAAATCGAAGGTCAAAGTGCCGTTCAACTCTCGCGTCGTCTACCCCCAGCCGCTTCCTCCCCGATTGTCATCTTTCCAAGGATTAGCATCGTCGAAGGTTGTGGCGAGCGATCGACACAAAAGACAGTTTGTCAGGGGGCTGACAGCGAGTGTAGCAGCAGTTGGGGACAGGTTTTATTGACTTATGCGTGTTCCCCAGAGATGCGTCAATGCAGTTTCTGTACCCACCACACGCGGCTCCAGATCAGCAAATGATTAGTTTTTCCCTTTGCGATTACGCAGCGGAATATCACTCTTCAACGAAAGGTGACACATTTTTTTTGTCACTTCTGCCTAGATGAACAACATAAAAAAAAATACAAACTGCAAATTCTTTCAACTTTAAAATCGTTGCATTGTCTCTTTAAGAACTCCAGAATTTTTAAGCTTTTTTGCATAAAATATCTGGCAGCTAAGGTATTAACAGCAAGGCTAATGTTATTGGATCCGGCTGATCATTTGTTTAGACACACAACAAAACTCTTTGGAGCCAATGGTGGTAACACCATCTTAATTCTTCCAGTGTCAGGTACATGTGTCCAGGCATACATAACCCATACTGCCAGAGCAAAAAAAGTGTAAAATTCTGATTTCTCATCATAGGAGACAGCTTTTTTTACCTTTCTGGGTTTTGGGCATAGTGTATGTCTCGCAGGTTGTGAGACATTCTGTCCACGAACATGCAGACATTTTTCCATGCTTCATGCCGGTTTATGACTTTTTTTTAGGGACCGGAGCTGGAAGAAATGAGCCCATCAACGGCGACGGCGGAATGGGCCCACGGAGCCCGGAACTCCGGGGAAACCACCAAGTACTTCCACTCGGAAACTAGGGAAACAGGCAAGTGGCAATTGTTTCTGATTCCAACATAGGGAGGATGGAGGGGAAAAGCCAATACTGTCGGGTACTTGCACTCAGAAAGCTAGGAAAACGGACAAGCGACATTGTCTGGTTCCAGAGTAGGAAAAATGGAGAGAAAAGCAAAACTAGGGAAACAGGCAAGTGTCAATTGTCTCTTGCCTCAAAACGGGTAAGATAGACAGAAAGGAAAATTATTGTCAATTACACAACTCGGAAACGAGGGATACAGTCAAGGGCCAATTTTCTCTGGTTTCTAGATAGGGACATTGAGGGAAAAGCAAAAGTTGTCAGGTACTTCCACTCAGAAACTGGGGAAACAGGCTAGTGACAATTGTTTTGTGGTTCTAGAATAGGACACATAAAGAGAAATGCAAAGATTATCAGGTGGTTTCACTCAAACTAGGGAAACAGGCAAGTGGCAATGGCCTCTGGTTTCAAAGTAGGGAAAATGGAGGGAAATGCAAGTAGTGTCGGGTACCTTAAAGCTACCGAGCAAGCACCCACTCGAAATTAGGAGATAATCATAGGAAATCGGTGGGAGATGAGCGCATGTTACGTCCAAAAATGAAAATGCAGGGGGAGCAGACGGTTGAGCTCGGAAAAGCCATCGACGTCTGCAGAGGTAGCCGAGCACACCAAAGTGTGAAAACTGAGGTTTCATCATCTTTTTTGCCAAAGAAATAGAGGAAGCAGAAAAGAAGTCCAAAACAGAAAAGTGAAGTGGTACCAATCGGAGCATTGCACCCATCACCCTCTCCCCAGCGCTGACAAACTGACAGACACCGCTGGGTTTTCTTGAAAAGCGTTCTAATGATAACACACACGAAAACGCACTTTACAAGGCTCAACACAGTTTTCCCATCTGTGGCACTCGGCACAAAAACTGACGCGAACGCGACCTGGGGACTAGAGATGCGTCCGCGTTCAGCGTCCGAAAGGGCCCACAGGCCACGGCACGTTCATTTACATTAGCACAGTCGAATCTAGTTAATTCAAACACGAAGGTTACTGAAAATTTGTTTGAATAAAGGATAGTTTGAATTACCCGGAGTTTCCTCCCCGATGGGACCTGTATGTTAGTTTGAGTTATCTGCAAGTTTGAATTAGGAGAGTTTGGATTAACGAGATTTGATTGTATATCCGACGGACGAAATATGTGAGTCCAAGGGCTGGGCGATTTGTCAACCCAAACTTTGTTGGTCGTGCACGTCGTGCGGTTACCCTGTCGATCGCTTCCACAACTCCCCATCTGCACTCATAACTCGAGCGCATGTTCTGCCATGCTTGGCTTGGCTTGGCCTGCCTGCTCGGTGGCTTAATTTACTTGACGAATGCGTGGGAGAAGAGAAAATCAATACCGACGATTATGTTGTATAGAGTGCGTCCATTATACGAGTGAACGCATTACAAAAATTTTTAAAAAGTGACCGATTACGCACTTTTTAGTTGGTGTCACTGAAGCTGCTTTAGCAGTGCGATTGGTACTAGGCCTGTGCTGTTTGCCGGTCGTGGAGGCAATGGCTGCCCATGGCGACTGCGCTCTTGATGTGTTTTTCACATGTTTTTGAACTTTCTTAAAATAGGGGAGTGAGCACTTGCTATGTTCTTTGATGGTTTTTTTAAGTTTCTCAAGAGTAGGGGATGGGCGCTTACTCTTACATGGGCGCATGCTCGGTATTTTGCGGTACTTGGACTCAGAAAGTAGGGAGCGGGCAAGTGACGATTGTCTTTGGTTCCAGAATAGGTAAAATAGAGGGTAAAGAAAAAATCGTTAACTGCTTGCACTCTGAAACTATTCATTTTGCTAGTTGTACGAGTATGTACGCGCATTTAAGATCAGGGTTTTGTTAGTTTCAAACCCAAAGAGCACTTCGAACCCAAAGAGTGCCATTATTTTCCTCTGACCACCTAATCTTGTGCAGCACATCAGCCAGACACGAGGCTTGCCTTTTACTTGAGGTTGCAGTGAGCATAGGGAGAGAAGTAAGGGATGGTTGTCCCTTGCCAATCTCCTGATACTCGCTGCGACCTCCCTATACCCAACAAATGAGAGACATAGAGAGAGAAAAAAAAACACAAATTGTTACAAAACTCTTTGTGGGCCCACAAACGTTTTGGTACCGTTGAGAACTTTTGCACAGAAAGCAGTTGTAGTCTGAGAAACCTGACAAAGAAAATACAGCAAAAGTTGAAGATGTTGTTGTGGCCCATTTTTTGGTCGTGAACGAACGGAGTCACCGACAATGAGAAGAGTAGGGCGTGAAAGACGCCCCCCATCAACCACTGTCACGCACCTTGTATGCTTTTGCATTTTGGCCGTACCCGCGTGCTCGAGATGTGCAAGCTGCCAAAGCATTATCAATGCTAAAAAGCTTGTGCTGGAGGCAGGATAGCTAAGGTCCCCCCCCATTCCCCTGCCATTCTCAACTTGTGAGCGTCTATTGTTTCTTTGTTTCCTCTAGGGTATGTTGGCTTAGTGAACCAGGCGATGACCTGCTACCTGAACAGCCTCCTGCAGACACTCTATATGACACCGGAGTTTAGGAATGCTCTGTACAGGTGAGTGCTGGCCCGGTATGCCAGACTGGTAAATTGCCCTTTTCCCGGGTCCCTTTTTTTTCTTTTTTTTTCTTCATTTTGTGAGCTTGATTTTAAGCTTGATCTTGGGACGTTTTACATGTTTTGATTCTGGACTTAAAGCAGACCAAGTTAAGCCGGAAGTGTCAAGTAAAAAATTAAAAAGGCGTCCAGCAAAAAAAAATTTTTTTTTTTTTTTTTATTTTGGTTAAAAGGAAGTTTTTTTTAAACAATGCAATAAAAGGGTGATCTTAGTGGACTGGAACTGGGGATGTAGGACTTCAAATTTGACAATAACTTTTTAGGTTTAGGGCCTTGTAGATGTCTGGAACAATGCCTACTTGAATAAATCCATCTCACCTATGCTGTAATGCTCTGGCCTTAACATCTAGCTGACTGGTGTCAGTTATTGTGCTTAATCAGTGTACCTAGCTAATGGTCTGTACAGTTCATTCTACTCTGCCTTTGTTTTGCCGTCTTGCACTGCAATGCTTTTGTTCTGTTTGCTTAGCTCGTTGGTATACTGTGTCTCAGTTATTGTGTGTATCTTTACTACCCATTGACCTATATAGTTCATCGTGTTTTTTTCTTCGTTCTCTTCCCAACTCGAGGTGGGAATTTGACGGTTCTGAGCAGGACGCAGCCAAGAGCATCCCCTTCCAGCTACAGAAATTGTTTCTTCTTTTGCAGGTAAGGTGACAACGTAAATTCCTCTTTGACCTCGAACAAATGTTGTTAAAGGGGCCCTGCAATCCTATTTAAGCGTCTACCTTTCTTGCAGTTTCCAAGGTTCGCGCAACCCAGCGGGCAGGGAGAGAGTAACTAAATATCAGTGTGTCATATTTTAACCGGATAATGCGGAAACCTTCTCCTCCTACGGGGGCACCTCGTGGTGTCGAACGCGCGTGGCATGTGACGAAATCGTTACGTTGTTGGTTCTGGTCAGCCGAGGAGAGAGAGCGGCCCCGTTCCCAGACAGCTTTCTCTCCTCGGCCTCACCTCCTTTCCTCGTCTTCCCCTCCCTCGCCACATTCCTCAGTCACCGTGGTCCATTGGCACGGTAAAGGAAAACAGAGGACATGAGACATCATGAAGGAGGTTATTTTTGCTTTTTTTTTTTTTTTCTCATAATTTTAGCCTGTGTATAACTTTTAAAATAAAGCAGATTTCGAGAAAAGAAAAGTTACATTAAGTTACTATGTTCAGTGTGCTCAGGTTCGACGCAAATTAAAAAAAAACAGCAAAAAGTCCTTGCAAGGCCCCTTTAGGGGGCCTTGCAACGACATGAAACGTGGGACATGAAAATTAAACAGATAGATTATTAGATACAGGTAGATTATAGGTCACTCGGTATATACACTGAATTTCACGACTTTCGGAACTCTAGTAATTGCAACAATGAAGTTACGAATGTTGATCCTTTTCGTCTGGCAACGAGGCATCACTGCTCAAGGTCATCGTATCATGGTGTCCATGAACCACGTGATCATGATATTTAGTCGAACGCCCCCATGCTCGCCCGGGCACCCCCATTCGCCCCCATGCTCGCCCGAACTCGCCACGGTACGATCACATACTCTCGCTCTACTCTGCTACTCCAACGCTGCTTTCGCCCCTTTCCCCTCTGACCTTTCGCCCCGTAGGCAACGACGAGTTCGTCCGTGATGATCTCGTTGATGCCAGGGCCTATCGCCAGTGGCTCAGGTCAAGGTCAAAGTGACCAGCTTCCTACATCTCTTGATGGGATTCACTCCCATCACTGCTGCCATCAGTGCCAAAGAATCGCACAAAGCGAGCGAGGCTGTAGACGTCGTCGTCACAAAACCGCATGCTTGAAACACTGAAGGAAAACGAGAGTCGAATCGCGAAACGCCGAGAGAGCGAAGTCTGCGAGTGCGTGCAAGGGGACGCTGCGTGTCGGGTGAAGGACATCACCAACCCAACAAACATGGTGGCCTTCCCGAATAAAGTGGACGGGAGGGTCCCGCGCATAAATCTATTCATCCATGTAACTATTGCGCCATTTTCAGAACCAATTAAGCAAAAATATAGGAACATACATTGGTTCCAAGTGATAGAGTTATCTGACATTTCATTTGTGGTGCGTCCTAACGCCTTTAAGGAAGAAAGAATTACTTGAGGGGTGTGGCATTTCAAAAAGTGCATACATAAGAGCAGAGCTGTTTCGACAAAATCAAGCCTTAGTCTTGTTCGAATGATCCGTTGCCATCTTAAATAGTATCTCGGCGTTCTGACGTCTGCGCACGCTCTCGTGTTCCCCCGTCTCTCAGTTTCTTTGTGCATCGAAGGGTTTTGGTGAGAATCATACTTTTCCAAGTATAATAGCGACGGCTAAGCCCCGTTGAGTGCGCTTCTCTTGGACATCCGTACACTGTGGGGAAGCAATACCCCCGGAGCTCACATGCTCTCTGGTCTTTGCTTCCCCGCAGTGCACTGGTGCTCGGTGAAAAGTGCGCTCGAGGTGGCTAACTTGCCTCGATTGTGTGAGAGTATATGTTAGACAGCAGTGTCTCGACATCCCGCGTTCGTCACTTGTGTTCTTTCTTTTCTTTTTTTTTTTTTTTTTTTTTTTTTTTATTGTGAAAGCATTAATTAATTCATGGAGCGGAGCCAGCGGCATCTGTAACCGCAGAAGAAATGCCCATTTTCCGATTGGCTGAGTAAAATGGCCATTGGTGGCCGCTTCATGAGAGTGCGCGCTCAGCCGCCGCTCTCGTATCAGGTGTTGCAGGGGGGTGGGAGTGGGGGGCTGGGGCTGCGTCTGCTTCTGCTTTGGCGCCAAGGAGCATGGTGGTGCCAGAGGCATCTATATCGTCGGCGGCCACAACCTCAGCAGCAGTGAAACGTGGCCGTCCACGCCAGAACACCGCAGACGAACTGAGGAGGCGGAAGAACAGCATTCATGCTTTCGCATTCACAACTCATAAGAAGTGCTTAGATGTCCTCAAAATATTTTCGTAACAACTGGGGGGCTGGAGGCCTTGGGCCCCGGGTACCAGGCATCCCAGTCACATAGCCTCCCCTCTGTACCCTCCCCTTCTCCTCCTCAAGAGCTGCGCTCTAATTTCGCATTGCGGAGATTTGTAAACATCTTTCATTTTTTTTTTCATTTCTTTTTTTGCATCGGCAGACTTCCTCGAGGCCAGCCATTGGAACAACCGACCTCACAACAAGTTTTGGATGGGACAGCAGTGAAGGTGAGCCGAAGCTAACCAACACTGTACCATGATTACTACAGTCGTGTGGTGCTGTGGACGTTAGAATCGTACGTGCCTGGGAGATTTTGTTACAACCAGTCAAGCCCGCTTATACGGAAAGGCGCAGAAATCGTAAAATAGTTCAACGTAGCAAAAATGCAATATACAAAACGAAGCAAAAAAAACTCGCGTAAGGCCAATGCAGCCGACGCGGTCTCGAGCCACCTCTAAGCTTTTGCCAGCGTGCACTTCACAACTGATTGGAACACTTTCTTGAAAAAATGGTCATTCATTAAAGCGAGAAAAAAAAAATAAATAAATAAATAAACTTTGTAACTTTAGCTTGTTTCTTTGAACTCGTTACATACCTGGCGTTGGCCCGCTCCACGGCATCTAGACGGTTGACAAGCACAAATCCGCCGCCCTCGATGGCACCGCAGTAGCGGCGTAGCAGGGCCACGGTGCAGCGACGGCTTCGCTCCAGCTCGGAAGTGATACAGAGTCCTCAGCGTCTGTGGGACTTGGTCAACACTACCTAGACAGAAGGCCTCCACACGCGTCATCATAGTCAGATCGATCGAGGCGAGAGATTGGGCACGAGTGCTGTGTCAGTGTTCGGCTGCGGCTCGTGGCCAATCAGCGCGTCAAAGGTCGGGCTCGGGTCCAATAGCCGACCGAGCACGATCCGACTGTGATGACGTTTCATAGAGGAAGAGAAACCATGCGGAGGCCTTCTGTCTAGGTGGTGTTGACTTGGTTCGCTGCTTGCAACAGTCCGCTCCTAAAGAGGCTTGACGGTGTGAGAAAACGAACGTCGTCGTCACCGACATTCGTTTCTTCGTGCCGGCAGCGATCGCGACGGGGTAGAGACAAGCGAAACTAAGGCACCATAGCGAAACAACACGAACACAACAAAGTGACGAAATCGACAAGTGCGGGCAACAGGTGGCGCGGGCATGTGGATTGGCGACACCGCAGCGTCCCGCACACCGCTTCCAGATCCAACGGCACGCGCGCATGTGCCGCTGGTCGAGCGTTTTGGAGTTGCAAGCGCCCGCCGCACCACCGTCATGCGCCGATGCATTGCGGGCAAGCCTGTTGCATGCCTTTGGAGCACGCACGAACCGGTGTGAGAAAGTTTGATACGTCCATTATGAGCCCAATCACATTCGATATAAAAAGTTTCAAATGCTTAAAATCTTTATCAAAATTCGATGAAGGTTCGACATAGGCAACAATTCGACATACTTAGTGAAGAAAGGTAAAAAACACAGGCGAGCTGGTAAATGGTATCCATAATAACCCTGAGACGAAGGAAAAATAAAAAAACGGGCAGTACAGCGAAGTCTCTATAAAGACTTCGTTGTACTGTCCGTTTTTTTATTTTTCCTTTGTCTCAAGGTTATTATGGATACAATTCGACATACCCGTGTTCAATCTTGTCGGGTTTGACTGTACACCTCCGGTTAACTTTTTCAGCGACACAGTGCAAGGTGCCGGACTTCTTAAATGCGATAACATTTCCTCAGACGGCCTCTACCCCCCTCTCCCAGAAAAATTCAGATGTGCAATGTGAAATGCGCGCACACGTACGGGAGAGTGACGGGCGGATAAATTGAGAAGAAAGGAAATTCCAAATGTCCCCCAAAAAAATTTAACCGAGGACCCCAAGGTCTTGAGATTAACACTTGACCACTGCCAAGGGAGAGACTGAATTATCAGAAATCTGTGTAAATATGATGCAAGATAAATTAATGATTTGCCATATGAATGGCTGCACATGCAAAGCAGATATTTTGTTTCCTCTACTTAGGCAGTAGCGATAAGCAGGTATGCCACACACGAAACATTTGCAATACGCAAGACAAGTTTATTTATCTTCCAAAAAAGTTGTTGTGAACTGTTCAGACAGCACTTGACAACTCAAAACAAAATTAAGTTTTTTCATAAGGCCAAAAAGTTTATTGTCGACTCTGAGACATGAGAGATGAAAACGGGCACCGCGCGGCAGTTTTCGCAACATGTGACGAGGACGCCGTGACGTGGACCCTGGTGCCACGTCACAGCTTCCGCGCAAGTTGTTGTGGCAATTTCCGCTTAGTGCCCATCCTCAAGCTCGTGTGTGCCCTGCTTGAGCCCCGTTAAGTTTGCTTTTTACCGAGCACCGCAGAGAAGAAACACCTGCAGAAGCAAGCTCCGCTGACTTCTCTGCATTGCACCGGTGCTCGGAAAGAAGCGCACTCAGTATGTCTGCCAGAACGGAAAGTATGAATTGCATGAAAACACCGTTCGAATTAAATGCCTATGAATACATTAAAAAACATGGCGGGACAACCAACATTTTGAAATTTGTTTGAATTAACCAGAAGTATGAAATATCAGAGTTTCAATTATCGCGAGACTACTGTATGTGCTGTTCCCCTCATTGCACATATGTGTGGGTCACGTTTCGAGCCTCGCAAGGGGAAGGAGCGGGTCAAAAAGGAGATTGCTCTACAGAAGTGGAAATGCGACGATTACGACAACCTTTGCTGAACGAAAATGTGTGGACATTTTATTGGAGCGAAAAGAACTGCATAAGCATAGCCCGTCTCTTCGAACTCGTTGCATACCTGGTATCAGCCCGCTCCCCGGTGCCTAAACCTTCGACGAGCACAAATCCACACCTTCAACAAGGTTCTCCCCAACTTAATCAGCAGAATACGGCGGAAGGTTGAGGCACAAACAAGCTGGTGAAGATTAGATGTGACACAACCCCGAGACTGCAGGTAAGGTTACCTGCAGTCTTGGGGTTGTCTTACACGTAGGAACGTAGCCTTTGTACAATACAAGTGACGTATCTTGACGTAGTCTGGAGCAAAGCACCGCGGAAACACGGTCCCTTTTATTGGTCTTTTTGCTTCGTCACGCCTATTGCAATGCTGCCTGCTAGCAGTGTAGGTAACTTGCCTTTGTCTGCGTTGTTGCGCAGCATGGCAGCAGCATGACGTGCAGGAGTTGTGCCGGGTCATGTTTGACGCCCTGGAACACAAGTTCAAGAAGACGAACCAGGCCAACCTCATCTGCCAGCTTTACGAGGGCAAACTGAAGGACTACGTCCAGTGCTTGGAGGTGGGTCGCCCAGTGGGGGGGAATCCTGGGGGGACTGTCTGGACTAAAATGCTGACTGAACTAGAAAACTGCCCAGCAGAAAGTGCACAAGCTAGAAACTCTTTCAACTTGTCTAACCCAATAACTGACCAAACTAGAGACCCTACTAACTTGTCTCACCCAGGAAACTGTCCTAACTTGTCTAACCTGAGAAACTGTCCAAAGTCTAAAATTCCAATAATAGAACCGTTAAAAGTGGAACTTTCTAAACTAAAAAACTGTGCAAACTGGATTTTTTTTTTCTTTTTTTCAAACTGGAAAACTATACTGAAAACATTTTAAACTGTCCGAATTAAAAAAAAAAAAAAAAAAAGCTTTTGAAAGTGGAGCTGTTGAATCTAAGAAACTGTCCAAGCTTGAAAACTGCCTACGCTAGAAACTGTTCTAATTTGTCTAACCCGGGAAACTGTCCAAACATGAAAATTGCCCCAACTAGAAACTGTCCCAACTTGTCTAGCCCGAGAAACTGTCCAAATTGGAAAATTCCAGCGAGAAAACTGTTGAAAACTGGGACTTTGTTCAAACTAAAAACTCTCAACCAGTTTTTTTGTTTTTTTTAGCGGGAAAATTTTAAATTGGGAAAATTTAAAACTTTGAAATAAAACAAAAACGCGATATCGAGGCCTATAGACTCCCGCTCGTTCCCAAGCCATGCAAGCGTGCCTTGCGTGGCCTTGTCAATAGCGCGTCTGGCTCACAAACTAAGGGACGTGGGTTTGAATCCCGGCCAAAATTCTCCCCATTTTTCTTTAAAGGGCAACTCCGCTTCAACTTTGTTTAAAAAAAACCAACAAAAAAACAATGTAGTCCTCCTCAGTGTCACCAAGGAACACCACACGTGAAATATTAAGACGTAGTTCTGTCTTAATTTTTCTTAAATGGCCCGGCAAGCTTCGCAAAGTGCCAAGTTACCGAAGTCGGCTGACTCTAACGGGCAAATGGAGACGCAGCCAACAGCGCAGTCAAGGGTACGGCACGTGCGTAGCCAACATTGAGCTAAACGTCATCACCGTTGCCCTTTTTTGTTTGTTTTTACTTCTCCCGGCAAGTGTAACAGCTGACGTCAGCAACGTTTAATCTCGGCACTCAGTGGTTTTCACTTGATTGTCGTGATGCGCCTGTGCAGCACACTTCTTGGGAGCAGTCCGGCTGTCCCGCCATTACCGCCATCTCCCGTGCCACAATTGCCGTCGTCGTCGTCGTCGTCTCATCGTTTGTGATTATTGTCTCTCGGAATTTCGTTCAGACTGTAGAAACTACTACGTACGCAGACTTACGCCGCAGTTGTGCAGACGTCGTCAAACGTCGTTGACACCAAAACGTAATGAAGAGGGCAGTGCAGACGACACTTGCGCCTGGCACACCCCCAGCCTATATCCTGCCCTTCGTTGCGTAGAAGATCGTGTGACATCTCGTGCCACGTGATAGCCATGTTCTTGGTGGCCTGAGGTCAATGTTGCCAGACAGAGCCAAAGTTTCGGTTTAGATTTCTGCTCGTGTTTAAAGTAAGATTTAACAATATATATACTTTTTTTGCGAAGCAAATAACCTAGTGTTTTTTATTTTTTTTTAATGTGAAATCACTGATTATCCAGAATCTCTGGAATTGAGCGGAGTTGCCTTTTAAGGCAAATCAGTGACTTTATAGAGTGAAATTATTTAAGACATGCGGCGACCTTTAATTCGCATTTCATGTCATGTTTTTTTATTCACTTCCATTCCACACGCGATGCCACGTTCCACATGAACTTTGCGGGTTTGACATTCCTACGCAAGGTGATGTGGCTGTGATGGGGCGGGATTTTCGCGGCACGCCACCCACGACGACAAATTTTCTGCCACGCCACCAATTTCTGCGACACAAGCTTCCTAATGCTATCGCTTGAAAACTGCCGAAGCTAGAAACTCTCTAAACTTGTCTAACTCAGGACACTGTCCAAACTAGCAACTTTCCGAAGTGGAAAATTTTAGGTAGAAAACTCTTGAAAGTGGAACCGTCTAAACTGGAAAACTGTTCAATCTATAAACTGTTTTTTTTTTTTTTTAATGTTTCTTCAAACTGTAAAGTTGTTTAAAGTGCGAAAGGGACTGGACAGAGTGCAAGCACTCCCACACCGTCTCCCCGCATCCGCAGTGCGGTTCGGAGAGCGCACGGGAGGACACCTTCCTGGACGTCCCGCTGGTGGTGCGCCCCTTCGGGTCGAGCCAGGCGTACGGCAGCGTGGAGGAGGCCCTGCGTGCTTTCGTGACCCCGGAGACCCTAGAGGGGTCGAACCAGTACTCGTGCGACAAGTGCGGCAAGAAGTGCGACGCCCACAAGGGCCTCAAGTTCGTCCGCTTCCCCTACCTGCTCACCCTGCAGCTCAAGCGCTTCGACTTTGACCCCGTCACCATGCACCGCATCAAGCTCAACGACAAGTGAGTTCGAAAGTGGCCGCGTCTAGTTAATCTGGACACCACCGTAGCCTCCCCCACTCTCCTTTTAAAATCGTCCGTCGTGTGAGCTGTTCATAATAACGAGACCAAAATGCACATATTTGCCCCGTTTGTGCCTGGAAATATTTTCACCTTACCGCGAAAGATAACTCACTCCTAATTTTGACATGATTTCCTGTTGTTTTTAAGAACACCGAAAGATAGTTTATTTTTAGTAACTGTAAAGGCCTGTTCAATGGTGACCTCGGCCAAAATGAGGGTTGGTTACCTATGGCGGGAGATAAGCAAACATTGCTGACTGGGAAGGGTCTATGCTCCATTGCCCTCGATGTGAAAACGAGCTTGGCAGATCACAAAATTCAAAAATAGAATTTTTCTTTCTTTGATTACACATTGAAAGTTAGCTTACTCTTCATTTTTACCCGATTTGCTCTCGCTTTTAGGTGGGCTATCTCTCGGGACGTTACGGGATATGGAGGGGTATCTCTGTTAACAAGATCTGTACTAGCGACACTCATCCCTTCCTCTGCAAGTGCCCACTCTTCTGGAGATCGCATAAAGTTCACATCAGGCGCTCATTTCCTCGAAAGTGTCGTAAATGGACAAACTATTTCCACATTTGCTGCTCCTGCTGGAGTTTACAAATGAAAGGAAGAAGCACAGAAACCCACTGCCTCTTTTGTTGGGGGTTCAAAATTCTACCCCTGTGTCACTCCTTCCACTTGTTTTACAGTTTTCAAAATGCACCTCTGCAAAAAAGAAATATAAATGAATAAATGCTTTTGGCCGTTGTTGTGCAATCGTGGAGTGAGTGCATGATTAAACAACTTTTTCTTTTTTCTTTCTTGTCGCACCATTTATTTTTTGGGAAGTCTATTATATTTTCAAGCCTCCTCCAGCTTATAAAGCAGTTTTTTTTTTGTTTCTTTTTTTTTTTTTTTTTGTTTTGTGAAATTGATTTGATTTGCATTAAAGAGGGAGGGAGGAAGAGAGGAGGGAGGGACGTGACAATTGAAAGCAAAAAAAATTGTGAAAAAGTTAATTCTTGAAAACCGCTTTTTTTGATTGTATGTTCCAGAAGTTACCTCCTTTGTCATTATCAGCACCTAATTCACTGAAAAAATATGTTTAAAATATATTTACGAGGTTCCAGCAGCTTCCAAATCGTGCTAAAAACTCAAAATCGAGCCAAGCACCGAGTGATTCCCACTCGCTTTCAATTTAGAGGACGGCCATCGTCTCGGTCTTGTTTTGAAACAGAGTTCTTTTGTCTTCTTTTTGCCGCCCTTAGAAATAGCATCCGCAACATAGTTCTGATGTTATCAACGTTTTCCCGCCTCGCAATTGCGAAGCAGTGTTTGGTCAGAGAGCCCACACAAGGAAGCGCACGACTACGATTGGTCGCGACGTTTGTTCTCCTTCCATTGCTATGGCTACCACGCCGCCGGGATGCGTCTCGCCAGTCTCGCCGCCTCGCGTCGTCTGCTTGTACCTGTGCTTTGTCGACTTCACTTCGCTTTTCGCCATCTTTTTGATTGTTTGCAGCCCTTTGTTTTTGGTAGTTTTGCATACGTTGCCCGCTTGTTCCGGGGTTGCACGAGATGTGGGGAACAAGTTAAGAGACGGTCCATGCAAGCTTCTTCGCATGGTGACCATCAAAAGCAGCCTAGCGAATTTGCGACCTATGCTTACCACGTCGCTAGCTCAGGTTGCGATGCTTCTTTCTATGCCATTGGCCGTCAACGATAAGTAAAAACAACAGCGGAACAAAAAAAAAGATTATGCAAGGACACTTCCAGCTATTCCGCAGGTAAAGCCACTTCACGAGGCACAATCCTGCGTGTGATTTTCATGATTTTCGGTTGCAACGTTGCTCGCTCCAGGAAAAACAAATGAATAAAAGCCATGGAAGGGTGACTTCTGTGCATGCGTACTGTCTTCACAAGCTCTTCGTCGCACGAGAACGAAAATCGCAAGCAGAATCGCACCACGTAAAACGGTCTCAATGCTGGAAATGTGTGTGCAACTTTGAAATGAAATTTGATGAGTCAGGATATGACCAACAACGTAAAATTCAATGTAGCGTAAAAACTTTTTTGAAAGGAAATTAATTGAAAGGGCTCTGTCATGCCCTGGGGTGCCTATCCAGGAATGCTTATAACAAATTTCTTATTCCAAATGTTTTTCTATTTCTTGAGGTTCGGGATAAAGGAAGCAAGTGAATCATACTGAAAAACTCTAATAGCCCCTTCCCCTGGCAAATGCCGAGCACTCCGCGCCAGCGGTCGTCGAGCGGTCGGCCTCCGTGAGCGATCGGTCACGTGATCCATCCCAGTGGCACGCGCTGCGGAGCAAATTGAGCGTAATGCTCCCAGCGCCACCGCTTCTAGAGCGTCTGCTCTAGCTTTTGAACAGTTGCGGCTCCCATTGCTATCTTGCTGAAAGCAAGTTCTGATCGGAACTTTATGCTTTGACAAAAAAATTGATTGTTTACTACTTGATTAACGGTGACCCCGACTTTAAGACAATTTATTTTTCCTCACAGTTATAAAAGCCCGATGAAGACAGCTAGAAGTACTTGCACGAGCCGTAGGATGCGAATAAGCAATACCAAACATGTATGCATCACTAAAAAATAGCGCAAGGACGACGGTGACGTTTACCTAACTAGCCCACCAAGTGGTTTTAATGCAAACACGTATGTCGTAAAGCGGTCGTCATCTTTGAGGGCGACTTCCATCTGCAGAGTATTTGGCGTGTTGTCTTCTAATTGTTCCAATTACATTACAGAGACCACAAAACAAACAAACGACATAGCTAGCTCTTCATCCAAATAGGCGCGCACAACGCCTTCGACGTAACGCGTTATCTTGGGCCTCTTCGCTGGCCAGGCAAACGACTCAGCAAACACTTCGCTGAGAACGTGCTGTCTCGTCGTCACTCGAGCTGGAGCTAAGCTAATATCTCCGTAGCCGTCACTGCATTTTATTAGACCTCCTGAAATTAACTGCAACGATGTCATCGCCGAGGGGAACGAAAGCCAGCACAGCAAGGGAGCCCACCCAGCAATCGAAACAAAAAACCCGCGAAACTCCTTCACTCCCCGCGAAAATGTCAATAACGAAACTGAATTGTTGCGAGAGATGACTACAGATCGTACTCCTCCGAAAAAGGCTGCATGGAGAACTACTCCAGACCGCTCGACGCGCTCCGCCACTTTTCCATGGAGCGGTTGGAGCTGCTCGGCGAGTGCCCCACTGGCTCCAGATCTACAAGCGGCAAATGGAGAGATTGCTCTCATCTCGCGAGGGGAACGAGAATCCGCTCGGCGAGCTCTCGCTATTTGCCAGGGGAAGGGGCTATAATTTAAAGGGCCCATGAAACGAATTTCGGGCTGGGATAAATCAATTTAGATTGGGATTTTACTAATAGCACATTGTTCAGTGGGCCAAAAGAAAAAAAAAGAAATGGAAGAAAGTCAAAAGCTTGACTTTCGGTACGAAAATTCGAAAACACAGCGGACTATTTCGTACCTCCTTCTCTTCGTAAGCTCTCTGCCTTTTCACTGTGATACGTCCGCGATCCCCGCAGCGCGTCACCGGGTCCAAACCAAGTCACACAACATCGGACCTCACTTATTCCCTTCACCCCTAAGCTGACATTGTGGTGGAAGCTACGCACTTGCCGGTCCAGTCAGCCGCCTCCCTTTCATCACCTGACCTCATTCTTTGCGCCAGATATGCGCGAGAGAGCGTCATCACGTGGCAAAAGCGTGGCTGGCCCAACGAGCACGTAGTTTCTACAGCACTGTCAGCTTCGGTGTGAATGAAGTGGGGAAAGCAACTTTTGTCTGAATGTTGAGCGACGGGCTAATCTTCTAAGGGGACAATGGCTATGTCCGGGTACACAAACGAGAGCCCGAGCAAGAGGGGAGTCCCCCCTTTCCGTCGTCTTGAACTGTTTGGTAGAATGCGCGATTTATGAGCTGAGGAGGAAAGCTAAACAGGAAAAAGTTGGAAAATTGTTTCATGACTCCTTTAAGAACCCATGGGCAGAGCTTTATGAAACGTAGCAGTTACTCTTATATATGTGCTATGAATGTACCCTGAATATTTCATACATATAGCTCTAGAAATAAAGATTAGGCTCAATGCCAGCCTTCCCCCTTAATTTTACCCTGTTCAAAGGTCCTTGCAGAAAGCCTATACATTTCTATGGAAAATATACTCATTATTTCAGTCGTGGAATGAAAAATATTGGTTAATTCGATCTACAGAGAACCAGCGGTGGGCAAATTCAAAGCATGATTCGCCGTGCATCATGCACAAAAACAGGACTTCCTTTTTTCCCAATTGCGCGGTGGGCAAGTTTACGTCGTCAAACGTAAACTTACGTCGGCAAAAACACCCGTTTTCAAATTTTGAAGCGCATGACGAATTTCAAAGGGTGAAAAGGAGAGCACATATTCAGATATGGGACAACTAATTGAGCCATTGAGAGACGGGACAACAAAAAGCAACCATTGCCGGCACGCATAACCGAAACAAACATTGCAACACTGCTGTAGTAAGCACCAGCCAGCGGTCACCGCTGCTGTCACCGCTCCGAACGCACGACGTTTGACGCGCCATCTCTGCGCGACGTAGAATTGTGCTCGATCGTTGCGCCTCTTCTATGTCGGCCCAGGGTCGCCTTCCCGGAGATCCTGGACCTGAACCAGTTCGTGCGCTTGGACAGCACCTCGGAAAACGTGTGCGACGACACGGACACGACAGACAGCGGCTCGGCGCTGGACGAGGAGGTGCCGGCCAACTCGGCGGCAGCCGCCGGCGCGAGGACGACCAACGGGCCGTGCGAGGACACGGGCAGCGACGACGAGGGCATCGACATGGGGGGCATGGAGACTGCCGCGGCGAACTCTCGCAACTGCCGGCGGGCCATCGAGAAGGCAAGCGCCACCAATTTCGGCCGCAAGAAGCGCCAGATTCGCTTTGGTCGTTTTGCGCGACTGCGAGCGAGGTGAAAACATAATTGGCGGTTTCTTGGACATTTCTCGAAGGTGTTCTAAATTCTTAGCATTTATGCTTTGGCGGCCACCTTTTGCAAACGAAGGTGGCCACTAGGGGGCGCGGTGTCACATGAAATCACGACATTTCTTGACGTCGTACACGCGACATCATAGTGTCACGTGTCGAAGAGTGTAACAGTGTCATGTGACATCATAGTGCTGCCTGACATCATAATGTGACTCTGTCATGTGACATTGTTGCGTCTAGTTTCTTTACGTGTGTCATGGTGTCGTCTGACGTTGTGGTATCACATAGAGTCACGGAAACTCTGTACTGCTATGCATTTAGATTGAGGTCACCATGTCACGTGACACTGTGAAGTCATCGAGGCTACATGTAGGGACAGGAAATTCCTAAAGGCCCGTTCACACACTTGCGTTTGCTTAGGACCGAGCTGTCAGGGTTTCTTATGATCGGAGGATGGCGCCATTTGTCAGGTGACTTCAGAACTGCATTACACTAGAGTGGAGATTTTGCCATATCAGCGAGATCAAATGTGCGGACCATTTATGAAAGACGGTCATTCACGACGTTGTGAAAAGCATTTGCAAGCCGAAAAAGAATGATGCGCGAGAAAAATATAGGAAGATGCGTATTGCTGACATATTTAATAAACCTTTAGACGAAAATATTTTATAAGATTTGACCTGTGAAATCAATTTGCCTGAAACTTGTTGCAAAACAGCTATTGTGTTTTTTTTAATCGGTTTCTTTTTGCAAATTGTGAAGCTGCCACAAAACAATTGCGGGACTCCCCTTTTAAAGATGCCGGTAAAGTTGGGTTGTCCGTAACGCCGCCGTATCTGGCAGTCGCGGGCCATTATCGACCGTCGCTCTTGCCTTGCAGGGTCCCTACGTGTACGAGCTGTTTTCCATCATGGTGCACTCCGGCAGTGCCAACGGCGGCCATTACTACGCCTACGTCAAGTGAGTCGCCTACCCCCCCGATTCTCTTTCAACGAAGGGCTTTGCAATTTTGCGTTTAAAGTCTAAAGCCACGACGATTTGCCCCTACTTACGCACGTAGCAAGTGGACTCACCGGTCTTCTTTGTGAACAGAGACGTGGTACACCGCCAGCGAAGTCCAGTACGGTTGCCGACTAATTTTTTGGACGACGATAGTTCGAGCTTGTTCTATATTTCGGGCCCAACGGAGGAATTGCTGCCTACCCAACACAAAGGGTGCACATTCATGACCGATGTTTCAGACAGCTTGAAGTCTAAAAGTTCAGTTTTTTGGACAAGATCATCGCAAGCGATCGGCGGGAAACAGCCCCGTGAAGCCGCCATTTTAGATTCTGTATTGGCTGCACATGGATTGGCTTGGTTTGTCTGCGCCACTTGAGTGCGGCCAAGTCCTACTGTTAATGGCGCATGCTACGACTTTTTTTCTCTCTAGCTGCACGTCATTATCATCGCCATTGTTACCATTTTGCTTTGTTTGTTTGCTTTGTTCGTGGTCTTGCGCCTCTCATCTTGTCTCGATGAATCGTGTTTTCGGACTGCGCTGGCTTGGACGTCATGGCCCAATCTGTTCTTTCGTTGCCACGAATATTTGCTAAGAAGCGCGGAAAGTACTCGATCACAACTCTAGAACAGAAGGCAGTGATTTTCAAGCTATAAGAAAGTGTCCAAACGCAAGTGGAGACACTATTCACGGCTTTTTTCAGCCCGCTTAGGTGTAATACAGGCAAGTTTTATAATCTGCTAATTTTTCCGACTGCTCTTTTATTTGGGTGCTTTTTCGGTCCCTGCAAAGTCCGAAAAATTGGTTGGCGACAGTATTAACCAGCCGAGGAATTCTCAAACTTTTCTATCTCGGCATTGATGCAGTAAGGCAGTGCGAAATTCTATGGCCCTTGTAAACAATAAAGCACGTACTAAGCCTTTTGCCTATAGTTGTGCATCAATGAACGGTTCAGATCTGCTAAAATAGCGCTTAAACTTGAAAAACATCGCATTTATAAGCAGGGATGGTTGAGGAAATTCGTGAGTTTGGGGAACCGACAAGGAAACTCTGGAGAACTCCCGGCTCCCTAGGAACTCAGTCTGAGAACTCGTGTACTAAAACCGAACCAACTAACCGGAGCGGCACACGAACGTTGTCGAGACGAATTCTAACGCTCTCCGTCGTCTCCGAAGGTTGTTTTGAGTGCTCGGTGGTCGGGAGTGACGGGCTGGCGGGGGCGGCTTCGTGGCGCAGGTCTTTCACGGAGAACCAGTGGTTCTGCTTCAACGATGCCCAAGTGTCGAGGGTCTCCTACGAGGAGATAAGGAAGACCTACGGCGGAGGCCCCAGCAGAAGCGGATACTACATCAGCGCCTACTCAAGGTGGGCACGGCCTCTCATGCCAGCTTTGCGTCTGTCCGAACCGGAGCCTGTTCGACACCGCCTGTAGCTGCGCTTAAGGTCATCACGGTACGATGGCGCCAACTTGGCTTGGCCCCGAGACTGGACGTCCTTCGGCGCTTTGATTGGACGCGATGCCCGACCGAACGCTGGCGCGGCTCTCGTGTCCGATTTGTATCTGTGCTTGGCCTCACTGTGGTGACGTCGGAATGCTAGCGTATGAGGTTTCGATTGTTCTATGCGGTGTTGACCTACTCATTTAAAATTGACCCTCGCGTAATGACCGAACGGGCCTCGAGGTAAATGGTGATGATGAAAACATAGGCATTGCAAGTGCTGAGCTTGCTATTAGCATGCTGAAGTTGGCTACGAGTTACAAACGGGAACTAGAACAAAGGGTTTTTGTAGTGTCGATAACTTGTAGGTATTTATATTTACGGGCATGCTTGCAATCTTGGGTCTTAAGGCGTCCTCGTACTCACTTTAAAAGCATTCTTTATGAGTTGTGAATGCGAAAGCATGTACATCATACTTGCTTACGCGTGTTGGCGCGCTGACTGGTGCTGACCTGGTACTGCGTGTTTGGCTAATGGGAGCCTGGTCGGCACGCTCTAGCCAATGGGATCGAAGCGATGTAAAAGGTGCCATGGCTAACCGGCGAATGGGAGCCGGCTTGACTTGGAGAAGGATTTTAAAGCCGTTTGGCGTGGTTTCAAAACCGATGACGTCGGCTCGCTCCATGAGGACAGTTAATGCTTTCGCATTCAAAACGCAGTCAAACTCCCTCCCCCTTCTCTCCTTCGCCGATGTAGGCTGTGGAATTTCCGGAAGAAATAATTGTAGTAAACGGTCAGAGTTCAATGTGACACATCTGTTTCTATCCAGATAGGCATCAGACCAGCCTGCAATCGTGTAGTCACCACTGCGCAGTGTGTGATAATAAAGAACACTACCCCCAAAACAAAACAAAAAAATTCTGCAAAAAAAAAAAAATTTGATTTTGAAAAATTACATATTTGTATCCACCACTATCTCGAAAGTATTCTCAGAAAGTTTCATTTGTTTACATTGCATAGTTATTTTTTATAAATTATTTTTGGTCCATTGATGCTAAAGAAAAGGTAGAAGTTCAAACCCTTTGAATGTGTTTTTTTTTTCCATTCCACATTTTGGCATAATTTTAACTCTAGGAAAACTATCGTTTGGCAGCGTGACAAAGGGGAAGGCTCATTGATTCTTTTTCTTAACTGAAATTTAATGGTCAATGCGACTGTGGCATTGTTTTTTTTTTTTTTTACTTTGCGGATATTTTTTTATAAAAGACATTAAGATTTTGTCGACAATGCATAAAAGGCAAAAAGTTTCTTTGATTTTTCAGCACAATGTTGGCATAAAATAAATTACTTTTTGGGAAATTTTGTTTTCACAGTTGCAATTTCCAGGCATTCTATGGCATATCTAGTGAATAAAAATGTTGGGTATTACATTAGCTTTCTAAATATGGTTTTCCTAAACAGTGTTGGTGTGTTTCTGATAACAACAGCTACATTGCTTTCACAATGGATGTACACAGATGAAATTATATTTTTTTTTCTGCGCTGATAAAGTCGACAATCTAGGACGAAGAAGGACGACACTTTCTTTACTCACGCACGAAAGGTGCAACTAACAACTGTCCTAGATTTTAAACTTCAGCAGCGCAGAACAAAAAATAATGAAAACCTACTATCCCAGACCCAAGCTTTATTGAACACAGATAGAACTTTGCACTGCATTCTGCCTCGCAACCTCCAGTATATAGACTCTTTCAGGCAGCTGTGCATGGGCGGCGCCATAACCGACCTTCAGTTTTTGTTCCATCTTATTCCATTTATTTCACTTCATCATTGCCACATCAGGTCAGCTTACTGCCACTTTAGGTGCTACTGTGTTCTTCTTCCCGGCATAGGCCTTTGTGGAGGTTTGTCAGCGCCTGCTTCAATGGCTCGACATGTCGGTAAGACAAGTGAAGGTCGGCAATGGCGGCTCAACCTGGCGCGGGTTTAAAGCGTCTATACTGTAAATTTCATTCATATTAAGCCCAAGATTGAAAAGTTGACCCTTTTGGGTAGTGTCCTTCCTTAAAGACACAAGGTTTGCAGTCTTCTGCATCGGCTACGTTTGTTATCTATTTTGTGAGCCAGTGTTGCCGTACGTCAAAGTAGCCCAACCTCTCGCTGTCTAAACATATAGGGGGTCTAATCTGTGAGTTTCCAACACATCCACTGTGGTTTCCCGCAGCTCCACGAACGCGTACATGCTGATGTACCGCAAGGTGGACAAGGAGTCCAATGCGGAGCCTATGAGTCCCGAGGAATTCCCGGAGCACCTCAAGGCCCTCCTGAAGAGCATGCAGGAGGCCGAGGAGCGGGAGCGGCAGCAGAAGGAGCTGGAGCGCTCCATGGTCAAGGTTGGGCGGAGCAGAACCTTGTCAATCACGCAGTCGCCTTTGTCCGAGCTCATTGTTCTATTAGCGTCTGCTCTGCCATTGTATTGTGCAGACATGTTGGAATACCACTCGATGTAGCATGCAAGGCGAGAGTCGTGTGGGCCCAGTGTAGGTTATGCGTGATTAAGAAGTGACCAAGTTGGCCTGTCAACCTGGAACCCCAGTCAAGGTCACCTGGACTGTGTCCTGTAGAATGTCCTTGACCAGTTGCCTTATGAGACGACCTACGGGAACAGGCTGTGTAACGTGGGCCCAGGGTAGGCTATGTAAGATTTGGGTGTGATCTAATGAGCTCATCCACTTCCCCCACTCAAGGTCACCTTGGAATTTGACTTTAAAGATTGACTTTGACTTTTTACCTTGTAAGATGACGTATGCGGCCACAGGATGGGGAGCAAGGACCCAGCATAGACTATTTTAGGTTTGTATTTGGCCTGTTGGGCCCATGCACCTGGGACGCCCAGTCTAGGTCACCTCTGACTGTGGCCTCGAAGACAGCTTGAACTAGTGTCACGGTCATTCTTGTCAAGGATCGTTCTTGAGATAGGTAGGAGACATTAGAAAAAAATGTCTAGGAAATTTCGCTATGCAGCTGTGGTAGGCGTTCCGAAAGTGGTGCCACCGGTCGGCAGTGGTTTTAACGCCGCCGTGCCGGCTTCCGGTCACGGGTGTCTTGCAGATCAAGCTCTTCTGCCTGATCCCCGGCCGACACACGATGCAGGAGATGAGGCTCAAGGTGCACAAGGACTCGTCCCTGGCCGAGGCAACGCAGACCGCACATCAGGTACGTTCGTCGAGTTTTCATGTACCTTCTATGGGGAGAATTGGCCGCCTCTGGCACTTTCCAAAGGCGTTTCGGATGCGTAGCATTTGGAACCCTTTCCTCGCATCTACCCAAAACAAGGGTCAGTTGCTCACAATATGTGCCACACCGAACGGATTGCCTTTGAACTGGCGCTCTGATTGGCTTCCTGTCGCTGCTGTGTCCGGTGCTCTACTTTTGTACCTGCAAACCTGGCCCCTCCCTCTTCACCTCGCTGCACTCAACGTCGTCGCTCCTGCACCACTCTGGTGATGCACAGAGTCGGCAAGCAAGAGCCTTTCTCATGCCATGTTTTCCAGACTGTAGTCCTTGTGCAGACTACCGTATTTGCACGAATATAACGCGACCACGAATATAACGCGAGGGCAGGTTTTGATGCCCTCAAAAAGAAAAAAAAATATTATTACTATTATAACGCAAGCCGAGGCCGCGTCAACTTGTCGCACTCGGGGGCATAGCAGATGTGAAAAGTCAATGGAAATAGAAGAAATATCAGTTTATGTTTTGACAGCACTCATCCTCACTGCTCAGGTCCTTCCGTTTACAATCCACTTGGCGACTACGCAGATAAGCAGCAGCACGGCAGCTGCTTGTCTGGTAGTTCCTTTTTCTTCCGTGCGAGCTCCTCGACAGCCCACAATCCAAACTAGGCACGAAGCAGGAGCACCTACACACAAACACCAGATCACTCTCCAGCAGAAACTAAACCATGCGCAGGCAGAAAAAAGACTGCTGAATCCGATACACGATCACACTTCTTGTTCTGGTCCCTCTGCATAAACAAATGCCCCGTGTTGCACGATTGCGTAAACGCGGTCGGTGGTCTTGGCTTGGCTTGTGTTGACTTGACTTGGCCCGGCTTGGCTCGGCTCGAATTGGCCAGTGCCCGCATTCCCGCATGGCGCGCACGCGCGCTGAGTTTCTGCAGCGTGCGCGCGTTGTACAAACACAAAAGCGATAAAAATGCTTTATGTTTTCTATTGTCCCCTTCACGTGGCCTAATAGCTAATAAATTTTCTCCCACACCCCAATTTATTTTCCCACCCAATCTCCTGCATTGAGCCGGAGGGATGTCTTTCTCCTCTGGCTTTCTCCAGACTTGCGCGCCTCGTGGCTGAACTCGCTTCCGAATATAACGCGAGGTGCATTTTGGAGCACGTAATTTCGAAAAAAAAACTCGCGTTATATTCGTGCAAATACGGTATGTAAGATTTTTCTTAAATGGTCTTCACCCGGTGCATCGTTGGCACGTAAAAACTTCTCGTACACAGCACACCTTGACAAATGCCTGCTGCATAAGGTCACAAAGAAGCTAGTATGATACATAAATCATCATTAACATACTCTGTCATTCACAAAATCCGTCATATCTCGTCATAATGCACAATCTTAAAAAAAAAAAAATAATAATTTTCGCATTGTCTAAACTTGTAGATAGTCCCCACCTCATAAAATTTCAGCCTTCAAACGTGCGAAGTCTGCAGACTACGATTTGGAAAATGGAGTACGCGTAGAACGCTTCGCTGCCAAGCCCACGCCGAGGAAAGCCCCCGCTCCGAGAGCTATCGCCAATTGCACGCTATATCAAGCCTACATCTCAGTCTCTGACCAGAAAGTGCCAAGTGCCGGCCCCGTAAATGCTGCGCATTTAAAGGGAATTTGCCACGTCTCCTCCAGATCATGGGCTTGGAAGGAGTGGTGCCACTGGAGCGCTGCCGTCTGGTTATGTACGACGACTGCTCGGAGTCCCTGGAGTGCTCCCTCGAGGACCAGGAGGACCAGACGATCGGCGAGATCCTCGGAGGAGTGAAGTCTACCTACCACTGCGACCTGCTGCTGGAGATACGCGGGCCGCACGAGACCTTCCAGCCCTACAAGAAAGGCGGTGAGCGAGGGCAGGTTAGCCGACGCAGGCCGGGTTTCCGGGATTGCGGTGCGGAGACGATGGGTCTCTGCGGCTGGGTTCTCATACGACGGCACCTGGGGCACGTCTCGGACTGGCATGTTACCACTAACGTTGGTAGTGGAATCTTGTTAATTCAAACTTGCGGTTGATTCAGACTAACATGTCCTGTGTGTTTTCTGAAAGGAAATTTTGGGTAATTCAAACTTTGCATTATTCGAACAGAGTTCTGGTCCCCCTCGGGCTCAAATGACCGACGTTCCACTGTATAGGATGGTATAGGACGCTAAGCAGACGGGTCGAAGTCGTGTCTCGGGCGCCGTACAAGGTGTCGCCCCGGGACGCTCTTGCAGGGACGACGGTGAAGGTGCACGTGGTGGTGCTGGAGAGCCAGGAGATTGCCCGTCCCGTGGTGGTGCGGGGACTCAAGTCGCAGACGGTGGCAGAGTTCAAGGCTCAGGTGGCGCAGCAGTTGGCCCTGCCCTCGGCCGAGATGCGCATGGTGCACCAGCGCTTCCACACCGACCTCACCCTCCTCAGCTGTCCGACCCGGCTGCTCAAGCACGAGGACTTCGGCAAGAGCAACACAGTGAGTAGCGCGCGGCTTTTTACGGCGTTGGCTGTCACGAGGACTTTCCAGCCGCTTTCGCAGCGTTGGCGTTGCCTCGTGGCGGAAAACTCTGGGGCCTTAAAGGATAACTGCAAAGATAAAAGTTTTTTTTTTTAAACAGCCTAATTGGGACAAGCACGCCAGAAACTTGGTTTAGCGCTAGTTGTTTAGCACCACTGGAGCTAAACCAGGAATGTTTCACGTAGCAGCACAATTGCAGGGCAATTTGTGACACGTTTTTTTTTTCTCCTTGAATTGTGGAACATGAGGGACAGCGCAGTGGAATCTCGCTAATTTAATAACCGTCTTACTTCGAGGATGATTTGTTTTGGTACAATGTTTTTCGACAACTAGCGCCATTCATCCAGGGTTTGGCAACAAAAACAATATTTGAAACCATTATTATTACTGTATTTACTTGCATAATGAACGCACCCTCCACAGCAGGCATCAACATTTTGACTTATTTATTTTACTTGCATAATGAACACACCTCAAATTTTCGACTCCTCGAGTCTCAAACTGTCCCCTTGTGGCAACTCAGCCAGCCACCAAGCCCATTGAGCATTGATGTCAACAAACACGCCGTCGTCTGTGGTCCGCTTTTGGACAGTGAAATCGTGAAAGGGGTTAGGCCTAAGAATGGTCGTGTTGCTCTTCTTGCTGAGTGAGTTTCACAAGGTGCTCTTCCTTTGGCAAAGCATTTTTTGGGGGGAGAATGCCATTAAAAAGATTCACAATTTATAGAGCATGGTGACTGTGGCGTGCCCACAACCAGCTGTGGGTGCACCTTCGTCTGTGGAGATGTGCCACTGTACCCTCCCGTGCCATATCGGCTGCTAAAACGATGTTTGTGCAAAGTGTGTAAATGTGAATTGTTAATCCCCAAATATGTGTCATTCTGTTGAGGGAAAAAAAATGCATTCATTATACGAGCAAACACAGTATGCATTAACAATGAGAGGTTGCCCTAGTCACGATGTCTACCCTTCCATGCAGGTGTACATAGAGTTCCTTGACCGGGAAGACGCCAAAAAGCCTTTCAAGGAGTCCCTGTTCTTCGAGATCCTCGACCGGCACGTGAACACCATCGTCATCTATGTCCACCTCCCGCCCATCGACAAAGGTGGGCCTCAAAGGTGGAGGTTGGCAATGCGCGACAACAAAAGCGGCACGCTTAGCAATGTGCCAGAACTTTCGTAGAAACTGTCGCCGAGCTGCTGTAACCTATTCCGGATTTCTCGGTTCGGTCCAACTTTTTCGTCCACACTTTACTCTGGCGCGTCGTAAAGCCGGCGGCGCCATTGCACTGAGATTGCCGTGGTTGCAAGTAGCTTTCTAGTGTGGACCATTTGGGTGTAGCAGACGAGGTCGTTGAGGACGTCCTACTGACAAATGCCGAGCATGCACCCATGTTGCCAAAAATGCTCACCTTTACTTTTGAAACGTCTGAAATATGAGCGAAGGACATAGCAAGCGCCCACCTCAGCAGGCTTCCGATGTCGCCGAGCTGACCGATGTGCTCCTCCGTGTCGGCTGCTTTTGTGAGAATCGGGTGCGAGGAAAGCTTCAAGCGCATGTTTTGATGCAAAGCAGCGAAGCTCGACGCGAAAGTGCAGGCACGAAGCAGATTTGACGAGATAGCTGCGAAGGCTTTAACGATTGGGGGTTTCTCTAGACTGCTGTGCCGCTCCCAGAGCGTTCCATTGGGTCGAACAAGAGCCTACCCTATCGTGTGACCCTGCTGCATTTCTGCTGTCGTACCTACCAAGCACCCATGCCCATATTTTTCCGATTACGATATCCAGTTTCTGGGTGGGTCCCTGCTCGGTATTTCATGGTACTTAAAGGGACCATGAAGGCAATTTATCGTTTTTTGTTTTTTTTTGTAAAGAAGGTGTTTTCGAAAGCATTGGGGTCCTGGCATGCCACACAATTGTTTCTAGAACGTTGTGACTCTTATTTCTGTACCTGCAAATAAATTTTCGAAACCGAAACAAACATTCAGATTTCTTCCCTTTTTCGCCTCTGGAAAGAGAAGTGACGTCAGGGAGCACTGTCGGCATCGGTAGCATTTAGTGCACACTCAGTGTGGTTCCCGTGGTTCGCTCTAGTGCACGGCGGTCTGTGAAGAAAACCTGGAAGAAATGGACGACTACGCCGCGCTCGGAAACGAGTTTGAGCTCCCGTTCAGCGACCTCACGCCGACTGAACGGGAGATGCTGCTAAGGACGCGGAACTCTGGATTGGCGCTTTACGAGGGCGATGCAGCAATGCTGCGCATTGCTGCATCGGTCGGCAGTTTATACAAACTAACGTCGCCCGATCGACCGCACGTCGTTAGCCGACCTTTCGCGCAACCTACTACTGCACATAAACGCGGCATGATTGGTAAGACACCAGTTCGCAGAGCGAACACGAGACGACGCACGAAACCAAAGCCAAAAGTCCGCCGCCCCCGGCGCTCGCACCTCTTTTTCTTTTTTTTCTTTTTTTGTCCATGGTTCACGGGCTTGAGGTAGCAGTGCGGGATGCGTTCCACCAGTGACAAACGGAGGGATCGCTTCAGATTATGCTTTTATACACGGTATGAAACCTATTAATTCCCAACTACAACTTCAAAATATTATCTAACGTTCAAATAAACTTTTTTCATTACATCTCACTACCGAAATCGAAACCAAGAGCGCGTCTATCGTTTGAACCAATCGCCAGACGAGGAGCCCGTTGTCGTCACGCTTCGGCGCACTTTAGTTCACCTTTCTGCCGCCTCCTCGGTGGGGTCTCAGGCATCGTTCTCGGCGCTATTATTACCGCGCCTGTTTGCTCGATTGGTGCGGCACCCAAACTTCTGTTCGGGCTAGAACTTGGTCAACAGTATCTGAGACGTGCCTGACATCCATTTCAATCGTCGAATAAAACTTCGAAACTGCCTTCATGGTCCCTTTAAGTGATGCTTGTTTTGTTGGAGTTGCAGTTCTACATATCTTGGTTGTTGTAGTTGGTAGGTATAGTCAGTTTACAGAAATAAATGAATCTGTACTACACGAGATTGACAGGTCACTACCTCAAACGCACGTATCAGCATTGCGGGGATCCCTTAATTTTACTTCACTTGAGAGAAAAAGTTTCATAAGCTCGCTCTACTGATATATTAATAAGAATAATCGGGAATTACAGATTCTGTTTTAACATATATTTGGATATAAGGCACTATATTAGGGAGTTTCTAAGTAGTTCACGATTCCGTTATTGCAGACCCTTCAGAGGCAGTCATTATTTCAGACGTCACGCTGCTTTGGTCCGGCAGCGGTGGCATCCATTTTGCAAACTCGTGCAATCGCGCTCGGCGCCTCACGAGTACAGCTTAATAAAAAATTGCTACTACCTTTTCAAAGTTCACAAGTTTTCATAAAGCAACTCTCTTCTAATGTCCACTAACATTTTGTCAGGTGTCACTGGTTAGAACAGACTGCAGTCGTAATCCACCTCAAAAGTCTGTAGTAAAAGTGTCTGTTATAATAAGTTTCTTCTGAATATTAATAGTGTAGAGGTAAGGTCGAAACAATCCTGGAGGCATTTGGATCACTGACTAGTGTATTGAACCTTTAAGATTGACTTTACCGTAGAGAAGCTCTGCCATTACTTGATTCATTTTGTATACTCCTCCGCCTTACGCAGTGCTGATGGAGAAGCAGTGCATGCCGGCCAACGGGGAGCAGCGGGTCTGCAACATAGAAGACGAGGGAGGCACAAGCGGTGAGTGGGCACGCAGTCGTCTAAAACGGTCAGGAGCGCAAAAGGGCGATCTGGACAGCCAAATTACGGTAGATGCCAAGAGTGATTTGATTGCAAGGTCTTGTACGGCAGTCTGCGCACTGTACTGCGTATGCCTTCGCCCGCAAGTTAACTGGCGTCCACGGTGGTGCAATGCCCGGGAAATGCCTTTGACTAAGGTCGGCTACGGGTCAAGAGTGAAGTGGAAACTCCTCCCAGCTCTTTCCACTTTAGCAGAGCGAGCGCTGGAGACGAGGTCACCTCCGCCCAGGCGTTTGCTCTGCTAAAGTGGAAAGAGGAGGGAGAAGCTTCCCCTGAACTCTGGACCATTCACCGACTGTGACGTGTTTACTGTGTCACTCTTTTGTACCCTCGGTGTAAGGCCGGGGACGTTGTTGTTGTGTAATGTCGCAAATAACTGCAATCCTAGTGGCGGCACGGCGACAAAGGTGGGTACGACCGACATCCGTTCTGCTTTGTTGCACGCGCAAACGGAGGAGAACACGGAGAAGGGGACGCGGACAAGCGCTACCAGATATTGATCTTTTGGGCCTCAGCACCGTGCCGAACTACAGTGTAGACCGCATATAACGTATGTCGCGGGAGTCGCGAAAATCCGCACTGTAAGCGGTACCGCACTACAACAAAAACATCAATTTTTCAGGCCAAAATACATGCCATGAGACAACTTAACCATTGTAAAAGAATTTATTTTATGTTAGATGAAAAATAAAGCTTAGTTTGAGGAAAGTCTTTATTTCACCGGACTAGTACACTTCTCTCTCAAGTGTGTCACACATTTTGAAAGAAATGAGCGACTTTTGCCGTCGCGGGTTGCGGACGGACGTTGCGAGCGTTCAGGATTGCTAACCCTAATCACTTTTCTCCGGTGATGAAAACGCGTGAAAATTCGAATCCTTTATACGCTACGCGCCAGTAATACCTTCAACTTGAGCACAGGCATGAAATGCTGCAAATAAGAAATCTGGGCGATGTTTGAAAACACAAATGCTTAGAAAGCACCACTGTAGTCGAGGTAAACAAATACGACGACACGGGCGTTTCTGCCGTCTTGAGAGTGCCACCACGAGATCGCCGCACGAGTAGGTGGATCTTCCCTCCTAGTACGTGCTGGGTTATCATAGCGACACGCAACGAAAATTCACAGTCAAGGATAGCGCTTTTACGCAGAACGAACGCCGTCTACGTTGACGATCACAACCGACGCCATGTTTGCGGATAGAAGCCGGCCTGCGACCGGCAGACCGGCATGCAACGCGCGCAAACACTTCTCCTCGACCTGCAATTGGTCTGTCGTTGCGGTTGTTTCCAACACGACCAACTCTGGTCGTGGTTTCCAGCGCAGCGGAGGGACGCACGCACGTGAACGACACGTGCGTGCGTCCCTCCGTTGCTATGGCAACTGAAGCCTCTCTCATCGCTCCTTGCCCCGCGAGTGCCGCTTGCAGCCATCGCCATGGCGCCGTTAGGCGCCGTTATCTAGTGTCGCACAGGGAAGCGTGCTCGCTGCGCCGGTCGGTGGGCTGTTCCAGAAACCGCACTATAACCGTTATTTCCCTTCGCGCGCCTGCATATTAAGCGGTATGCAATTACATGGAGTTCTATGGGAGGCGAACCGGTGGTTTAAAAAAGCCGCGTTATACCCGGTCCTGCACTATAAGCGGTTACGTTGTAAGTGGTCTATACTGTAGCATAGCAAGAAGTCTCGTCAAACCATGTCTGCTCTGCTGCAGCTCGCCACGCAGTAGGTTGGTCAGCTGAAACTACAGCTGCCACGGATTGAGACACTCCGACGGCAGTGACACTTGTCTCCGTTCACCTTTTTTGCTGGTGCTTTAACAATCAAAATTCGGGGTCACAGCAGCACGTACCGTGGCATGCCGGTTCTTCCGACGTATTTTGTGGCCACTTCGGATTACTGCGGTGCTCGGGTGATGTAGGATGCCATGCAGCAGCCGGAGATGCGTTCCGGGGTCACCACATCAGTGGCGTATGTGCTTTGTAATTGAGTTTGCCTTCCGCAGTGGGGTGTCAAGGTTTCTGTAGACCTTTTCATCCTCCTCCGCATGGGCGCTGCCATCTTGGAATCGCGTGACGCGGCAGCCATTAGTTTGCTTCAACTTGCTGCTCCGCTCTCCCCTCTGCGCCTTGGCGGATGCGTCATATTCGTGTTTTTCGTCGCATTTCACCGCGCTTTCTTGCCTTACTTCGGAAACTCTAGTCCGATACGTCTACCAACGACGACGACATCACAAGGGTTCGAAGGTCCTTATGACAACTGAAGGTTGTAACTAATAGTGACGGAACATTCTCAATAAGAAGCGCGTATATTTATATTGCACATTTAGGATCGGAAGGCGTCAAGAATAGTCAGCGCAAGGAGTCTATCTGTATTTCCTGAAATTATGGTTATTTGTATTCATAATATATCGAAAACAGTTTCTTTTGATTATGGGAGGAAACTCGCAAAGGAGATAGACAACGAACGTTTAACTTGTATTTTATCTGAGGCTAAAAGTAATGGTACAACAACATCAGGCGATTTGTTTGTTCATAATATTACACATACTTGTATTTGAGGTTCTCAATTTATTTTTGCGACGTAAACATTCAGTTGGCCGGTTTACTTATGAAGTTTAAAAAGTGTATATTGTGCTCGCTCCCATTTCGATGGTCATTTAAATGATTTATTGGTTATATTTAGATAACCAGTGCCATCCACTTAATTAATCTTAGCACAAAGGTTGAGACTATCCGCGTAAGAAACTAGTACCACAGACACTTAACATGGCGAGTTTTAGAACAGCGTGCACAAATAAATGACATTGTTTCCATTTGCAAATTTGAAACGCGGTTTGGGTTTGGCGAATGCGCAATAGCAATGGCGCCTTTTCTTTCTTTTTCTTTTTTTTTTTTGCGTTCGCTGTTTTATTTTTTGTTTGTATCTGGAATCAGCAATAATTGATGCCGAAAAAAAACTGCATAACAATTGTTTCTGTCCAGGATTGTCGATGGCTAATAGAGGTTTCCTTTTTGTGGCTGGCGACGCCGAAATTTACAAAGCGAATCTGTTCAAACAAATAAATATTTGTTCACACAGGTCCGTGAAATGGTGCCTAGCGCTAGAATTCAGCCAAACTTTCCGAGGTATTTCTCCTCCTGTGCCCTTTAATTTTATTTGGCCAATTTTACGGAAGGCAAATGCCAGGTTTAATGTGACGGGCCTGTCACTTATATCTTGAGTAAGCAAATGTTCATATAAAAATAATTTATTTCCTAAGGCCAATATCGCGAAATGCTGCTTATGATTACTTTAGCAAGGTTGATAATTTAAGAAATTTCCTACTCGGCTTGTCAAAACATGCTCGAATACTGAATAAAAAATAAAAAAAGACCGAGATTATACTACTTGGTTATGTCAATTATCTGCGTCATCACACAATACTTTTTTAGTCTGCAAAGTTCACTTAATGTTGGGTGCCCACGAAAACCAAACAGCGAGTAGTAGACTCGCGAGTTTACCTGTTCTGGCTGATTCAGCACATTGCTAATCAAACAGTCGATATGCTTCTTTACATTCATGTGTTAGCCTATTCATTAGTTTGTTTTACTGGAAACTGGTGTCATCGGGCACGGCCGCAGACGATGGTAACTTCCCTGTACATCAGTCAGGCGTTTCGCAACCGACCATAATCAGATATATCAAAGTAGTTGGTAAAAAGAGCCCGCAATTTAGGCTAAAGTACACCTCGTAGTCCTCAAAGTGGCTAAATACTACCACTACTTCATTGGTTGTGTGCTACCAAGGAAAATAATTGTTTCACAAAATTAAGCAAAAACAACGTAAAACAGCAAACCGAAACTGACCATATTGAAGCAACCTAATGGCGCCGAGTGTGTCAGCGCCCTCTATCCGCCGGTGAGGCAACTACTAAAATGAAAAGGTCCAGAGTGTAGTTGCTGACCGATTTTTCGGACGCCGATAATTCGGATGTGTTCTATATTTCAGACCTAAAGGAGGAACCGTGACCTACACGATATAAATAATTAGGGGTGTGCGAATATTCGAGGTTTTGAATACGAATAGAATATTTTTCTTATTTGATTCGTGAATCGCATATTCGGAAATTTCCGAATATTTGGTCATGGCCGTATATTCAGGCAACGTATGAATATTCGGATAAATAGCGAAAAATCCACGCATGGGACATGCCCTTAACATTCAGACTTCCTTAAAAGCTGTGTTTTGTCATCGAAAATTGCAGATGCTGTAGCCATTTTTCTATATACCCCTGCCATTTACATTAAGTGTACAGTGCAACTATATCATGTTTGCACTATCTAACATGCCCCCAAAGGTAACATGCACGCCAACAGAAAAATAAATATTGTACACCAGTCACCGTTGTCAAAGTTCGACGATGGTTCTTCTTTGTCCGTTAGAGGTAATCCTTGCTTTTATGTAAAGCGTTTTAGGTGCCACACTTCTCACGCTTGTACGAGCGCGCGACGATCGCCTCTGGTAGGGTCGTCTTCCGAAACAACTTTGCAAGCTCGTCGGGTTGCTGGGAGTGCAAGGCCACACAGTGCTACTCCGTTGTTATTTTTTCCAGCCAGCGTGTTGTCCTTTCGTTTAAACAAAGCCTCCTAAGGGATTTTTTTTTTTTTTTTCATCTTAAGCAACACTGACATGAGTCTGTGGACGCGAGAAAATTCGTCTGGTATGGTTACCAATATGGCTAAGGACGGTTGTACTCTTTATATCGGACGGCTGCATTTGTGGCTGCATTGACGGGGGACGTCAAAATAATAAAGACACTATTTTGTTGTGTTATGAAAGTGACGTCAAAGACGTCAAAATAACCTTTAGATATTTTGACGGTTGACGTTAAAATAGTCACTCAATTACTTTTTCGTAAAATTGCAAAAAGAAAATAAAAGAAAAAAACAGTAAATCTTCTCCCCCAGACAAGTTTATTACAGAAAGTGCAAGTAGAGGTTATGCAAAACAAACATGGCACTCAAAATGTTGGAGGACATCATTTTTCTAGATTGTACTCGTCCAATAATATCTTAATGCCGAAGAAACAGTGAGAAGTAATAACGAGAGTATTGTTGTTACTCTCGTCGTTACTTTAGAAAAAGAAATAGAACTGGTTACGAGTCACATTTCGAAAATATGGTGCGTCACAGGAAAAAGTGACTAAAAGAATCATTCAGCCTTTCCACTCAAGTGAAGAAGGAAGACCAGTGGAGCTGTACTCGATACACTGTGTGCTTTTTCGTCATCGTCGTCTGTTTTTTGCGCTTTTTCCTACGATGATTCCCACCAACGCGCGCCCAACTATTCATTTTTCTATGATACCTGGAAAGGTTGGCGCCGTCTACAAGCGACGGCGGAAACCATACTGATTGTGTGCTTGCCGCCATCGCTTATAGATGGCGGTAGCTGTCCAGGTAGGTTTGTGACATACACGGACACGATCCTGGGGAACCTAGCCCTTCACAGCTCCGCTGTAAAAATAATGAATGTGCAGTAACGCGTCACTCACGCGACGTTACCACCCATGACCGGTAGATCCTCAGCCGTGGGGGCTTCTCTTCCGCAGTGGGGTGCCTCCTCCGACAGGGTTTCTCGTCTGCAATGGGGTGTGCGTCCTGCAAAGGGATATGTCGTCTGCTCTCCACAGCCCTGTCGTCCGCCGGCGGGACGCCCAAGGGCCACGTGCCGGGCACGTCCCACGAGGCAGCCGGGTCGGACTACGACAGCGACCTGTGCGACTCGTCCTCGTCTGGTTGCCACGGCACCGGCGGCGACCAATCGGAGGACTCAAGCCTGACGGACAGCGAGCGCACGCTCGTCGGGGACGACCTCTCGCCTCGTAACAACTCACCGGACCTCGCGGAAGCAGATGGGGCGGAGGCCAGTTTGGGGCCGGCGTCGGAGTTTGTGCCTTCTGTCGGTGAGTCGTCCGTTCCCCCACTGTGCATTCTTTTAAATGCTCGGCATTGTGCGGATAGTTTGGGTTCTTGCATCTACACGGGAACATAGACTTGATGGTGTCACGTGACATGGTGGTGTTGTCCGAAAATTGCTTCAAATGCTGCGGAGATGGCATTCTTTTATGTCCGGGGGCCGGTGTTAAAAGGCAGCTTGATGCCCTTCCTTCCATGCTGCCAACAGCTACCAGCAAGTGCGGTAACCGCGCCGGGTTCGTTTTCGTCATGCCAACAACGATGGTTCCGGTATCCAAGGGTGTCTATTGGATGTGAGGATCGCCAACAAGACGCTGCAGTCGAGCGAGCCCCAGATACAGGGGCCGACCATGCTCTCCGTCCCGAGAGCCATGGGGATCGCAAAAGGGGTCATTGTCAGTCGGACAAGCTTGCACTGTTACCTGTCATCGCAGGAGCTTGATGCAGAACTCTCTGCAGATGGCTGTTTACTCGGACGAGGGAACGCCGACTATCTCCCGTGCAATCTGTGGCGGGTCTCCCAAAACGGGAGACGCGCGAAGGGGTGCGAGGGGGAGTGGGCCAGCAAAGTGGCGAACTCTCCCCAGCACGATACGAAACGCGCAGGCTAGAAGGCAAGTGACTCTGGCTGTCATATCCGCAGCTTACACTTGCTCAGGGTAGGGAACCAGTTGCTCCCACAATGCATAGCATCTATGGGTCCTCTGTGACATCACATGACATCATGATGTCACGTGACACTGCGGCATCACCTGACACGATGGTGTCACATGACGTGAGTGACATCATGATCTGACATCATGCCACCATATCATGTTACACCGTGACATGATGTCGCATAATACTGTGGTGTAATGATCTCAGGGAACACCATGGCTTGGCATTAGGATGCCACATCATACGACATGATGTCACATGACATCACATAATACTGCGGTGCCATGATGTCAGGTGACACCATGACTTGACATCATGGTGCCACATGAAGTGACATGATATGATGTCACATAATACTGTGCTGTCATAATGTCAGGCAACACCATTACAAGACATTGTGATGCCACGTCATGCGACACGGTGATGTCATGTGATAAAATGACGTCATGTTACAATGCAACGGCTTTATATTGTTGGCAACACATGCGGCAATACTTCCCATAACCCTTGTAGTGTGGCCTCCTCACTGTTCCCGCAAAAGGAGGGGTTCTATAAATGCTACCCATTTATAACGCCTTTTGGAAATGCCGAACAAAGATTTTTTTCGAGGCAGCAAGTGCCACTCTGAAGTTGGTACGTTTTTCGTCTGTGACGCAGAACTGGCCCAGAAGATGGGCGAGAACTTCCGCAACTGCTTCGGGCTCCAGCACGAGGACAGTGCCGTGTCTCCGGAAGAAGGCCCCCGCTCGGAAGACGCAGCAGTGTTGGCGAGTGGCGACGCCGCCTCTACAGCCGTGAGCACACGACATCATCCACTCTCTCTGTAGTCCCCGACAGAATGAAAATGTCAGGGAGGATTTTCAGTTGTACCGTCTTCAGCGCGAGCTCCTTGTTTCTGGCTGTGCTTCGGCATCTCTCGAGCCTCCAGTGTGCATCAGTAACAAGAGACGTCCACATTATAAGGGCACTTTGAAAACGCACTAAACCGAGGCAGCAGTCACTTTGTTGTCAAATAGCTCCATTGTCTATCGCATGAATTAAGCATTGAGGCATCTTTGCTTGAAGAGGTTGTTTCTTTTTCTAAACACTGGCCATTTGCTCCAACATTATAATGATGGTTGTATTTTTAAAATTTATTTGGAGTCTACCGAATGCAAGTTAGTGCAGCGACTGAAATTTCGGTCGGAGGACTTTTCCTGCTGTATGTTCGCCTCTTATTCTAGTAGTTGGTTTATCCACTTTTTGACATTTTATGAGCTTAACCATCCTTTTTTTTGCTTTTCTGTCATGTTTCTTTTCCTTTTGATGATGGCATTTAATCCTATCACGGGCTGCACAACGAGGCAATGTATTTTCTTGTTCATATTACCGTCGACATTCACTGCCTATGCCTCTTTGTCCGCTGCCTGCCCAGGCCACATCTGGCATACCCAAAGAGGAGCCAAAGAGGTACTTCCGCGCTTGGCCCTTCAAGGACACGGACAACAGTCGCGGTGAGTCATTGTGACTTGTAGGTCTTCTTCCTTTAGCTGGGTGTCTGAATAGGGCTGCCTCTGATTGCTTTGCATGCCGGTAGTCCTGAATAAAGTTGATATTTATGGTGATTCCAGGTAGCAGCTAGGTACACTTGGTATCTAGTGTATGTAACAGTAAGACGACAGGTTGCTTTGTGCAACTTCGGCGCTTCAAAGGCTCGAGGCTCGTTTATACTCCAACGTAGAGTGCAGCAAACGTGGCGTAGCAATCCACGCATGGCTTTCATTAGCCTACGAGCACGAGCTCGATATTTGAGGGTTAAACATCTGTGTGCACTGCGAATGGCACGCGTTCGCATGCACCCACGCGACATCATACTCTATTTGAGCGTTTGCTTTAAATGAGAACTTGCATAGCTCCATCCATTAAAATTCTGAGCAGACTAGGTTCTAATGTCTTAAATCCAGGGTGTTGAAAGAAATGACATAGGCTAATGTATGAAGTTGTACGGATGCACATCTTTTCGGACTGTTTCTGCGCTACTTTATGTTCCGCCTCTTTCTTTTTAGGTTCCTATCTTTTGTTTTAAAATGCTGGAAGCTAGTCCGTCTTCAGTTTTATTGGATGGAGGGCTGCATATTGTTGCAGATGAAGGAGGCTCCACGAGCGTAAACTGAAAATAAAGGTTTATTCGGCAAACTCGTGCCAGAAGCAAAAGAAAGGACAAGCGTCGAAACACCAGCAGGGAACGTCGCGGCGCCGGCGTTACGGCTGGCTAGCGCAAAAGCGACGAGAGCGTGGGTTGGCAAGGCCACGCCCAGCTCCTTATCTAGCACGCTCGATATCTCGAACATTTGGCGTAGAATGTTCGAGGGCGAGCTGATGAGTTCTCAGTCACACACGCGACATTGTGCAAAGTGCAAGCCTGAAATAAGAGGCTTTTCTTGGCCGAGCCACGTTTTTGCACTCTCCACGTGCACCGCATTCGTTGGAACATTTCTCTCGCTTCAGCCGACCGGATCCGGTCTTTGCATGAGCGACCTCCGTTTTCACAGGCTTGCGGGTGTACGTCGACAAACGCATCACGTTTGGAGCACTGAAGAAGGAGCTGGAGGTCTACGTCGGCATCGATTGCGCCTACTTCAAGGCGAGTGAAGTTCACGTGCCATAGATTCGCCGCTTGTCAGCGAGCGCCGACTACAATGCCTGGAACACGTCTTCGGCCGGTGTGTTAAACGTCCCGTTCCACCCGCGCGTCGAAACCGGTGCCGGGGCATTGCGGCGGGCGACGGCGCGACACTTGTGTAACGTCGTCGGGTAGAAATCGAGGGACCACGGATGGGAATCCGGTAAACACACCGGTCTAAGGAGTTTTCATGGGCTCGTCGGAATATGGTTACTTGTCTATCGTTTTTCGTCGCTGGTATGTACGTGCTTGATCGTGCGCTTTGTATCCAGGTCTTCCGGGCTTACTCCAACGGCCAGGAGTTCGAGTGCACTAAGCTGATGGACAACCTCACGTCCTATGCGGAGGACACCAAGGTAAGGGGACCGACCACCTTGTCCTTGACCGCGTCCTCGGCAGGATTCGTTGTCGGCCTCGCAAGGACTTTTGCAAAGAATTTTTCAAGAGGACGTTTAGGTTTAACGTTTGTGATCCTTGACCTTGATGATGCGTCAACCTTTGCGGGCTAACCGAAGTTTACGGCGAGGTCAGAAGATTGGCGGTCAGCCGTCACTATGTGTCGCACTTCCTCCGAGAAGTTTGAGGCTTCTTGGGTGTCGAATTTTTGTATCAATATTAGTAGGGTTGTGCGAATATTCGAAATTTCTAATAGTAGCTTCGAATTATACACTATTCGATATTCGCTTCGAAAAGAACTGCACTATTCGCGTTTTTCGAAGTGTTGATCACGGCGGGTTAGCCCCGTTGAGCGCGCTTGTTACCAAACACCGGTGAGCTGCGGAGAAGCAAAAGCCGTGGAAGTGAGCTCCGCCGGTGTTGCTTCTCCGCATGACATTGGTGCTCAGTAAGAAGCGCACTTAACGGGGTAACCCGCCGCGATAAACAATATCGTAATTGCGTGCTCGGAAGAAAAGCATACATTCAAAGCGGGATGGTACGCTGGTGCCGACTGTATTTGAAAATAAATGGAAGCTTTGTGAATGTGTATATCTACACTGTAGTAAAAGTTTCAAAATTAAACTTTTATGGAAGAGTATACTATGTCAGGCAGAGATACTTTTACAACCTGTGTTCATCACGCGCAACTCATTCTTTTTTAACTTGAGATTAAAGAAAGAATATTTTATATATCAAGATTTATAAATTCACTCAATTGCATAGTTGGCCATCTATATAGGATTCATTTTATGTCAAATCTGTCGTTTACTTGCCATCCCAAGACACCAGACCTTCTGAGATCACAGTTCATTAATATAGATAGGATAAGCTTAGCTTAATGATTGAAAAAGTGGAATAACCTTTATAGGTTTAGTTGGGTTTTCGTCTAAGCATTGTGCAATGGTAGTGAAAGGTGTGGAAAAACTATTCGATATTCGAATCGAAAATATTCGGCCAAAACCACTATTCGCTTCGAATTCGCTTCGGACTCAAAATCCACTATTCGCACAAGACTAAATATTAGGCATGTGCAAATAGGTGATGGTGAGTTTGAAGTGAAAAGTGGTTATGGCTAAATATCGTATTTACATGATTGTAAGTCGACTCGATTGTAAGTTGACCCCTCCCCCCCCCCACATTGCACATCTGCAAAAAAAAAAAAAGAAATCTTTCGATGCGCATTTTACTGCAGACACGTGAGAACGGCAAACTACTATCTGTTTCAAAAGCAGAGCCTCCAACATGCGATCGATGCCTTCTGGTGTGCTTTGGCTGCGCATGCACGCGAGAGGTGCATGAGATGGCCAGGCGTTATCGAAACTAGAAAGTTCACGCTGCAGGCGGGACAACTGAAGCTGCTCCCATTTCTCACTCCGTCCGCAACTAGACTACGACTCGTCCGCTCTGGTGATGTCAGTCCCGTCGTAATCACTGCCACGCTCTTGAAGCACGTCGTCGGAGTCGTCCAACGAAATCTCGCACTTCGCAAATGGCAGGATCAACCGCATCTTCCGCGCTTGCTCGGCGATAGCATTGGACGTCACGGGTAGGGACCGATTGCACACTTTTGCGTTGTATGTTGCAAGCCTGACCTCTAGCTCCGGAAGGCATCCCCACCTATCTAGACTGGGGCCTGAAAGCTGTTTGTCGGCACAGTTTAAGATCCCGCACCATTGCAGACCCCACTGGAGCATCACCGTCTTGACGAGTCGAACTTGCTTCCACCAACGCACTTGTTGGTTGCTTCTGAGTGAAGAATGGTCATAAATGAGCACCGAAAACCTAAACTGCCCGGATCACGCGTGTCAATACAAAATAAACGTAGTTAGCGCCCCAGCATGATCTCAACACTCGATCAAACGATGTGCAACTGTGAATCGCGCGAAAAACTGCGAAGTTGCGAGCTTATTCATTGTGGTCGTGAGTGGCTCCGGAGTGGCTCTTACAAGAAGTGCCGCCACCCCCCGGGATTCGGGGGCGCCGTGCGCTTTTTACCGCCATATATTCGGGTTAATTTGCGAATCGCTATCAATAATACTCGTTGGCGCAAATAAAAAAATAATTAATTTGTAAAATGAGCGCACAGAATAGTGCAATGCTAGAGGCACAGCTAGCTGAACTCTTAACAAGCTGAGGTGTTTATGATATCGCGATTATTTTGTTTTTGCCCACGGTGGAATGCTTTGGTTCGATTATAAGTCAATCCCCCGCTTCAGATTTTCAAAAATTAAAAAAAGGGTCGACCTACATTTGTGTAAATACGGTACCTTCGAATTGAAAATCAAATAGTTTCCCAAAGCCTCTTATCACTGCATCGTGCGAAAACCCAGCTGAACATGTGAAGGCTGTTCCCAATTTTTCCCTCGTTCATTTCTAAGCGAAGTTAATTGTGATCTAACCATATTTGTGGATCGAGGCCTCAGAAAGTATGCCTACATTGAAATGGCAAGTAAGCGACGCATTTGACTTTAAGTTAAACCTATGCGGAGAGCAAGTCGTCTGCTTCTTACGCAAGAGTTGTGGTGACGCCAGAACCACGGCGAGCTTAGATTTGATTGGCTCTGATTGAAGGATAGTGGGTAGACCTCAGAAGCAAGCTGCCTTGAGGTCTACCCACCATCCTTCATTCTGAACCTATCGTAGCTTGGAGTTCTGATGTGACCACAACCCCTGCAAAAGAAGGAGACGAGCTTGCGCTCCGCATAGATATGCCCAGCTATACCTAATCAAGGGGACTTATACATTTTTTATATATGCAAACAATCCAGGTTGTCGGGGCATTTCTGCCTAACATATTATTGCACAGTTTAATTTTATAAATGTTACTGCAATGTAGATACTTTCATTTGCAAATTTTTCCTTTTTTTTTGTGCTAGGCACAGATGTGCGTTATGCTGCTTTGAGGGTGTACTTTTCTAAAAAGCATGCGACAGTAATATTTTTTTTTTTTTTTTTCGAATTGTTGATTGCGGTGGGTTAGTTCTGTGGAGCTTCTTACCGAGCACCGATGCATTACAGAGAAACAACAACAATGAAAGTGAACTTCACTGGTGTTGAGTCTTGGCAGTGCGCCGGTGCTCGGTGAAGGGGTGTCCAAACAGGACGGGGCATGTGGCTTTCAGCAACACAGCACCGGCAAAGTTGCCGTATGCCCACCCGTTTTCACTTCGGACATCAATGAAGCGAACAGCGCGCTTCGCTCATGTCCACCTTTCATTTTTTGTCGCCGCTTTCCAACGGCGTCAGTGAGGTATTGTTGGGAATTGGCAAGAATGCCGACGAGGCTTCCAACGACGATGGCATGTCCACAAGTTCTTACAATAATTAAGGTTTTGGCATTGCACTGTGATTTTGCTGAGAGGGCTGTTTCTCTGGTTTGTTTCTTTTTTTTTGTGTGTTTTTTGCCTACACTTCTTTTTTTTATTTCTAGGAGAGTTTAATATATATAAAGGCATCGACAAACACTTAGAAAATTATGATTGTCGCAGTTCATCTTGAAGTGGATATCGAATAGTGTAATATTTGAAACTACTATTCTAAATTTCGAATATTCGCACGACCAGCCCATTTAGTGGTACTGTCGCCTCATTCTAGGAACATTTGTCAAGTGTTCACGTGGTGTGCGTTAAACCACTTGGTGAAGAGCCCCTTGAACGTGGGCGTCTGGCATCTGAAAACTCTGAGTATCGCTAAACATTTGCGATGCCAGAACGTTCCACGTATACAACACAATTGCCTAGCAATTTGCCATAAATTTTTGTTTATTTTTTCAGCTCCTGATCAAGCTGGGCAGGGCCCTGCAGTCAGGAGAGTACCGCATGAAGGTCTTCCTCCTGACACCCAACGCCCAAGAGGTGAGGATCGGTTGGGACGGTCTTTTGGCCCCGCGTGTCAGCAAAGACTGCACGATTTTTATGAAGCATACGCGCATACACATGTACTCTTGTAGCACGGGCCAAATCGCTCCTTTTGCATCTCGTAGGAGAAAAGTTGATGATCTATACAGCGTGCAAGTCGTCTGTTTCTTGCACAGGGGTTGCGATGATGTCACAACACCAAGCTCTCATTGGCTGATTGAAAAAATAAAAAATAGTGGGTAGGCCTCAAAGCATCCAGCATTGAGATCTACCCACTATCCTTCCACTCAAAGCCAATCAGAAGTCGGCGCCGTTCTGACGTCACCGCAACCCCTGCACAAGAAGCAGACGTCTTGCTTCCCGCATTGGTTTCTGCCAAGGGGCTTATTTGGGGAAATTAATGAAGTTATTTAATTAGTTACTTTGGCTGTCGGCTGTCACTATGCGTCGCGCTTCCTCCAGGAAGTCTGAGGCTACTAGCTTTCCGGGCGTTGAGTCTACTGTAATATCCCGGGAGATGCCCCACCCCCATTGGTAACCCACCCCTATTTTTGGCTTGCTTTGCTCTTGTGTTTTAAGCACCGAATGATAGCCCACCCCTAGTAATCATGGTGTTCGGATCGATGATGACCTCGTACGTAAATGCGGCTAGTTAGCTATGGCAGGGTGTAAGCAAACGTTGCTGGCTGGGAAGTACTGTCATCTTACCTTCATTGTCCCTTGCCGCGATACCATGTTTGGCAGGAAAACCTTACCTAAAAATAGCTTTCCTTCAACTTTTCTTTATTAAACACCAAAAGTTAGCCCACTCGTTTTCACCTGATTTTCTCTCCGTTTTACGTGGGCTATCTCTGGGGATATTGCTGTATGTATCAATATTACGGTAGGCATGTACGGATTGTGGATATTGAACTCAATGCGAATAGTGGTTATGGCTGAATATTTTGAAAGCGAATACTAAATAGTTCCCCTAAGCCTCTTACTACTGCACCATGCCAAAACCCAGCTGAAATCGTGAAGGTTGTTCCGAAGCTTCCACTTGTCCATTTTTAAGCTAAGTTAATTATCATCGTACAAGTTGCTAGCATCTTGTTATCATTGTATAAATTCCTTTCGTGTCCGCATTACTACTGTTGGTTTGAATGGCCAGGGGCCAGTCAAGCCTGTTTTCCCAGCTTTTTTTCTTGGTCACAACTTAAGTTAGTAAATTTAAAGGTACGGTTTCAGTTGGGAACTTGCTAGAAATAAAGCATGCGCAGCATTTTTGGGCTTTCCGAAAAAACACTTCATTTTTTCCCGTTTCTAGGTTCCGGTTTCTTGTCGGAGCGAATCTTTGATCGGCGACCTTTTCTTCCGTGCGATGCATGCTTTTGCAGGAGAGATTTGTGCCCGCATTTCAAGGGACCCCGTACACACAGAGTTTATGTTGAAGACGGAGTGCTTCAGCTTTATTTTATTTTTTTCACCCTTTTTAAAAATGTTTAGACGAGCAAGTTCCTGCTTGACTGGATCTTCACCAAGGGCGTGTCGGTGCTCAAGGTCAAGGAGGATCTGCTGCCGGAGATCAGGGAGCGCTGTGGGCTGGACATCCCTCTCAACAGGTCGGTCAAGTCGTGAACTTAAGGGGAGACCCTGGTCTTAAAAATTAACGCAAAAATTACGACAACAAAAAAAAAAAGTTATCTTTTGACTTCTTTTTTTTTTATGTTACAAACATATATGTATTACACCCAGGAAGTGCACATTCATATGGCTACATCGATTTAAAGTTTCATATCCAGGCTTGTTTGTAGACATGTTTCGAAAAGCTTTTCCAGTTTTTTTCAGAATTAATATTTTTCATCGCAACACAAAGTTTTGCTTCGGTGTCTTTGGATCCAGGACTTGAACCTGAATACTTTTTTCAAAGTTTAATTCCTCATAAATTGAGGAGTGCCACAAGACTGCTGTATTTCTGGAAAATGTTAAGTACGAAGTTTTCTGATTGTCAAACATTAATGACTTATTTTTAATTATCAACAAAAGCATTTCAACCCGTGATAACCTTTTCTAAAAGGAGGCCTAAATCATAAGAATTGCTTTGTTCAACTCTGTATTGTTTGTAGAACATGCTGACACACTTTGTGCCATATTTTGTTTATGGAGCTGCTGTAAAAAAAGTTGAGCAGAAACCTTTGTGATAAAGTTTAGGTTTTCTTGAAAACTATGATAGATAGGAAAAATTTAGCTTATTTTTAGACTTGGTGCAAGAACTTCGTAGACGTGAAAATGTAATATTGTCACGAATGAGCAGGCGAGGAAACAAAGAATAACTGGAGAAACAAACGTTTAATGGGGCAAACTTGTGCCCAAAAATAAAAATGAAACAGAAGATAACGGGAGAGTGTCGCTGGCATCGAAGTCGGTGAAACAGCAGAGCCGAAAGCTGGGGCGAGACTGACTGGCTCGCCATAAGAGCCCCTTATGTACATATGTTGGCTTCTGGAACAATGGGCGTAGAAGGTTCAGCGCATAGAGCATTCAGACCTCGAACAAGCGACGGGATTCTCGAATTTACCAGAACACTAAATTTCAAGAATAAATAAAAGACGCATCATTCCCAGGAATCGTACCCTGTCTCTTCGCCCGGGAGGCAAGCACGATAACTGTTATGCCATGGCCGCGCTGCCCACTTGGCCAGCTGCGCGCGCAGCAATACAAATTACATCAGAAATGACACAAAAAGGCTCAAGGTACACCTAAGCACTTCGTATTAGTTGTGAACGTGAAAGCATGAATGTCGTTCTTGGTCGCGTTCTCGTGAAGTGGCCGCGCCGCGCTCCGGAGTACGCTCGAGCGGGCTCTCTCCTTTTCCTGGCGCACTCTGGCATGGCTTTATCTGGCACGGGCCTGTGGCGCCATCGGGTGGCTCTCCTTGAAACTGACACGCCTCGGCCAATGGTAGGAGCCTCGTTCCTTGTAACTATGTGCACGCCAGCCAATGGGAGCCCTATGCTTAGATTTCGGCTTCACTTGGAGAGATGAATTTATTTGCCGTTTGGCTTGGCTTTATGTGCGGCTTCAAAGCTGGGATGCTTTGAATCCCGGCCTCACTTCGCTCCATTGGGAGAAGGGAATTTACCTGCCGTTTGGAGCAGCAACTGATGACGTCGGCTCGCTCCATGGCGCAGTCAATGCTTTCGCATTAAAAATTTTATTATAAAAAAAAAGAAAGAAAAACACTGTAGAGCACAGAAACACTCTAACGTCTGCCTTGGCATCGCCTTCGTTTGCCATTTTCTCCATACCTATTTTTTTTTCATATTAAAAAGATAATAAATAGCGTGCTGGGAAGGCTAGAGCCTGGATATACCGAAAATGTGCTTAGTTTGGAATTCCCAAAAAACGTTGTTTCTTCTTCTTTTTTTTTTTTTAACGAAAGTTTTTGTGTGTGTAGAGAGGTGTTGGGGCAGAGGTTCTGGATCTTAATGATATCGAGTAACTCATACCCACCTTGAAAGATGGTTGAGTGACAGCTTCTCTTCCTCTTTGCGATGTTCTCGCGATAGGACTTCATCCAGTGGATGTAGTTTGTTTTGCCAAGAGAAAGAGAGAGGAGAATTTTTTTCATGTGTGAAGAGGATTTTTAGGTACAATTTCAGCTTGCTCATAATAGCATCTCATGCTAGAAAGGGCAGCTAGCTTAAACCTGATTGTATCGTAAGAAACTTATTCAATCTTCTTTTGGCATGTCAGCTTTCATCTGGAAAACCAATGCACACCTATCGGGGATTAATGCCTTTATGCTAGAAGATGCTCGTTTAGATGCTAGAATCTCTTGGAAATGGAGTTATGGACATAAGGCGAAGCTGTTCCCCTTAAGGGGTGTCCAAACAGGACACTACAAAACGCACGACTCCGACAAATCGCGAAAATTGAAGCGGACGCTTTTATTTTTACGATTTGTCGGAGTCGTAAAAATTTTTGCAGGAGTCGTGAAAATTTTTACGATCACGGCTTCTCTCCTCGCCTCCTCCACTTTTCTCTGACGTCACACGCCACCTGCATCTGGCTCACCTCGCCAACGCCCTCGCGTACCGCCGTCGCCTCGGCTCGAAGGCCAAGGAGGTCCGGCTTCAGGTGGATTTGGGACATTCCTGCGTCGAAGGGTGCGTTTCGCCCGCCTCGGATCAGCTTTATTTGTCGAGATTCACTTTTGTCATGATGGCGTCCGACGCGGTTCCGTATTGTGAGCGGAGGCCTTGAGCGATTGACCGACAGCCAACAAAGCGTGTGAGTGGCGCTCCGGACCCACGTGATGAGCAGAGCAAGGCCGCCGTGGAGGAAGCGAGGGGGACATTTGTCGGAGGGAAGTTTCCCCCCGACGGCCGGAAGCGGAGCGCGGCACGATTTGCCGGAGTCGTGAGTTTTGTAGTATCTTGTTTGGACAGGCCTTTAGCAGAAAGTCCATCTAGAAGAACTCTCACTTGGCAGAAGTTCCACATAGCAGCAGTTCCACTTAGCGGAGGTTGTACTATGTGGAACTTCCACATATTGGAGGATCCTCGGTAGTACAACTTCCACAGAGCAGAAGTTCCACATCATGCCCACTCCGCTTAAAAAGATTTACCGTACCTGTGTTTCACTCTTTACCTTTGCATTGTTGCGCTTAATCGTATCGGGAACCTTTTTGTAGAAAAGAGGTAGAGGAAACCTGACGGAAACACCGCGCCTTTGTCGGGCAGGTGTCGGCTGAGGAAGAAGACCTCCGGCAACCCCGGCCCGGTGTACCTCGACTCGGCCAAGTTCGACGACGAAGTGCCGACGTTCCTTTCCTACGAGGTCTTCCTCGAAGTGCTTCCAGGTCAGAACCAACTTGCTTCTTCGGGTGACGAACGCGTAAAAACTGCACAAAAACAAGGGCTCAGGACTGACAAGAGACGCAATGGACGAGACGTTACGTCAGAGGTGTTCAAATGTCAAAATATTCGACCACGAACAACGTACCTCATTCGCTTTCAAAGCCGTTCCGTTTGACGCCTCTAACCAATACCACCTAGGGGACAAGGCCTAGAGAGATGTGGGCAGTCTCCGGGTGTGGTGTATCTAATGGAGTAACCCTTGATTCTCTCCCAGCCATCGAATTCCTTTTGTTGCGTCGACGCACCCAACGTTTTTGTTTTCTGACGGATGCGACAACAACGGCGTGCAGGACCCGAGAGGGTGGTGTCGTCGTCGAGCCTGGTGGTGTTTGTGCGGAGGTGGCGGCCGTCCTCCTTCACCTTCGACCCCCTGGACGAAGTAGTCCTCGAAGAACGCACCGTAGATGCCTTGAAAGACGCGGTGCGTGAGCTGTTTTGGTTTTTGTTTTCTCAACGATGTTGTTTAGCTGTGCTCATTTTTGTGTCTGGAAAAAAAGAGTTATGCAAAACATAATCGGAAGTTTATAGGAAGAACCTGAAAGGGAACCTCCTGAGATCCTCAGAGTTGCAGCCAACGGAAGCATAGCTTAGGTTAGGTTCTTACCTAAGACGGTTCCATGCTTTGTTTAGCAGGGAGGCTTGTGGGCGTGGCCTAGATTCCTTTCTCAGCTAAGATGCCAAAGAAACCCAGATGTGCGTCTCGAACAATAAAGTGTTGGTCGTTATTTTGAGGCTGCTGAAAAGACTGTTGCTTCGAACGGGTTTGTACTTAAAACTGCACTACCTGGCTGCACAAGTAATGAATACTACCTTGCAAATACTTTCTCTTTCAGGCCATTTAGACTGTGCTCAGTTTTGTTTGACCATTCTGCGAGGGAATGCCACCGTGTATTGTGTAGCAGACTTCACATTTACGCCTCTCTCGATTTTTCTAAAATGCAACGAAAGCTTGTTTTGTGTGTGGATTTGACTTGGCTAAATGCCAAGTCAAATCAAGTGCCTCATCAGTGGTCGTCTTGTGTTGCAGCTGTCTTCACTGAGCGGCTTGCCCCCGGACAACATTGAAGTTGCCAAGGTGTGTGGGACTGACGTTGTTCATGACTTTTGTTATCATGAAATTAAAATTCTTTATTTAGAAAGGGCTGGCTCCTGGGCCTAAAGTGGGGAGCGGGGAGGGAGGGGGAGATTTTGTTATCATATTCACTCATGCATCTTTTTTCTTTTTTTTTTTTGTGCGATGTGCGGATGTGCGAATAGAGATTCTTCAATATGAAGCGAATGGTTTCTTGTGCAAATAGTATAGGTTGTTTTAAGCGAGTCATCTGTCGTAAAACGAGCCAGAAAAATCGCCGCCTGTGCATAGAAAGCTCGAACTATCACCAAATGTGCACCGAGCAAGTCAGTCTTACCGTGTGTAATTTCAAAGCATAGTTCTCTTCCTGCAAACAATGAGAGCAAAAAAACTTGCCACAGTTAACGTTGGGCATGTCAAACGACCGAGTTAGCGACACTAATTACTCGTGGCGCCATCTCCAGATTGGCACAGCGAGCAGACAACGGGGTGCGTCGTCCACTTGCTGCGCCTATCGGGAGATGGCGCCACAAGTAAATGGCGTCGCTAACTCAATCATCTGCGAGCGTGCCCGACCTTGGACTTTGGCATGTTTTTTGCTCATTTTTTTACAAGAAGAGAACTGCACCCTGAAATTTCACACAATAAAAGTGACCTGCTCGTTGCACGTTTGGTGGAAGTTCAAACTTTCCATGTGCATGCGCCGATTTTTCTGGGTCATTTTACGGCGGTGGGTCCACTTGGGGGGCACGTCAAAATCGTTGTTCTCGAGTTCAAAAACTAGGTGCATGTTAGAATTGAGGCACTATGGTGCTGTTCATGCCTAATTAAGCTTATTGGTTCGTGACAATATTACTGACCAAACTAAATGTGGAGGTGCTTGGCCTCTACCATTGGGAAGGACTCAGCATCGCAAACTTGTTATACCAAACTTGGAAAAGCATGGAAATTTCTGGGGATGTGCGAATAGAGATTCTTCAATACGAAGCGAATGGTTTCATTGTACAAATAGTTTTTAATCTAATTGAATAATTTCAAAGCGAAGCGAATAGTTTGTGGCTGTAAATGCAGTCATGGTAGAGAATTATTGAGGCTGGGGAACAACAAGGATGACAAACACGACGAGGTTTGAAGAGTTCTTTACCATGATTGTTCACCAGCTTGCCTGCACAACCACTTCTAGTTCAATCAGTGATGTACCAACTTGTTTTTGAGTGGGGAGACAAACCAGACCTCCCCCTCCCCCCCCCCCCCCTTCCCCCGGGTTTTACCCTTGCCCCCACTCTGAGAAGTGGGGGGGGGGGGGGGGGGGGGGGGTGCAAGCGCGCCCCCCTTGCCCCCCCCCGGTTGGTACGCCCATGAGTTCAATGCAGTCATGTGTCTTTAATGTGGACACTTTCGTTGCCCAGAAAAATTGTCTGCAGTAGTGAATCAGATCACAAATAAGGAACAGGAAGGGTGTCCATAAGCGACATGGTTTATTTAGGGGAAAAAATGCTGATACTCATTTGCATAGACACTTTGGTGCTAGCTATTATAAATGTATTCTGCAATAGATTTAAGAGTGTAGACTTGTTCTTATTCTTATTGCTACTTATGTTCCAGCCTTGATTGGTGAACTCATTTCAAGTATGTACTGCATACTGTTTTCAATCCTTTATTTCAGTCTGAATTAATGTATACTTTGCAGCATTTCAAGCTTCGAAATGCTTAGAAAATTTTCAAACGTGCCGAATACAGCTATTTGAAGTTCGAATCGGATATGGCATTATTCGCTTCGATATTTAAAAGTTTTCAATATTTGCACAACCATAGAAATTTCTGTGCTCGCTCTCGAAAAAGTTTTGTATTGGCAAGGAGATTCAGTCGTCGCGCCCCTAGGACAAAATTGAGAATCAAGCCCACGGGCACAACAACAATGTGGATTATTTGCTCGGCTGAACGCATTTGTCGGCGTTTGGGTGGGTCTTGTGTTAAATCGGCGAAGACCAGTTGAACGCAACTCTTGATCGGACACTCCCATGCCACTGACGTCCAGTCCGTACCCCGTGCTCAATCCAAGAAGACAACTTGGAGAATCCAGCCTGTGAGCTTTGTGTGGTATCTGGTATCTGTGATAATACTGGTATCTGATAACACTGATGTCTTTGATAACACTGGTGTCTGTGTAAAACAAGCTGGACAAAGCGCCGCCTGTCATTTGATCTCCTAAGCAATACAAAACTTGTTCGTGGAGATTTTACGTCAAAGGGTTACCGACGTTGCTCTTGGTTTTCGGCACCCTTTTACCTGGGAAAGCGTACGGCGCGGGCTCGGGAAAGAGTTGCCGTATTTTCTGGAATGTAGTCTGCACCCGGTGTGTAGTCCACAAAAACAGTCCAGGTGAAAAGAATGAAAAGCTTTTTTTTGTGAGCCTACAGGTGTACTCCACACCCAGTGAATGAGCCACAGCAATGCCTAGTCCACTTGTAAAAGATTCTTGTACACAGCACACCTTGACAAGTGCCTACTTTATAATCATCATTGAAGGAGCTCTAAAGTACTTTTTGAGATCCTCGTTTTATTCTCATAACTAATTCTACAAACTCTAGTAATAAAAATAAAATTACATTCATGCGCTGCCGATTTGCGTATGGAAAAAGCGAATAAATATTCCGACAGTTGCCGTTAGTGCAGAACGACAGATGGCGGCACCGAACCTTGCTGAATATGGTCGAACGACAGACGGCGCTTGTTGGCCACTCGAGAGCAATGGGTACCCGCGTGGACGACTAGGACTGTGCAAATTGGCCATACATGAATGTAATTCTGAGCTTTTAGAATGCTTAAAGCTTGTAGATTGCATTATGACCATAAAACGAGGATCTCAAAAAGCACTTCAGTGCCCCTTTAACACTCTCTGCCATTCATAAATTTTGTCACATCTCATCACAACGAACGACTTAGAAAATGTGAATCCCCGTATGGTCCACACCCCTTGAAAGTTGGCACCGCGTAAAATTCAAGCTTTCAAATGCGTATAGTCTGCCGACTATAGTCTAGAATATATGGTAACTCGTTTCTGGAGATTTTATGTAAAATCTTTACTGGCATTACTCTTTAGCTTAACCCCTCTCCTACTCATTTCTTCCCCGAGGAACGTACAGCACAATTTTATTTTAAATGGCCGATTTGCATTAGAATAAGGCAAAAACATTTCCTCGACTTCCGCGTGTCATGTCTTGCTCTAAATCAAGACTTCTGGTCTGTGTCTCGCCGACGTGCAGACGCCGAAGTTGATGGAATGCTTGCAGGATTCACATCGTTTTCATCCCTCCTATCAAACTATTGTCCGATTCCTTGAAATCTGAAAGGCCGAAAGATTCGTCGTCACATATGCTTGAACATTAATCCCTTTCAAAAAGAAGGTTTTGTACCTCTTTGTCAGCTAGATCAAACTTCTGCGCCGAATTGTTTAGCGTAAACGCTCGCAAGCGACTGCTTTTTTTTTTTTTTTGGCTAAGTGGAACGTTTTTTTTTTCTGTCAAAAACCAAAACAAACAAGCAAACTGCCCAAGGTAAATGGAGCAACAGGGTTGGTTTTGCCATCTGCCCGAGAGTGCTTAACAAGCGCGGAAACCGAAATGCAAGTCACACTCAACGTCGGGTTTTATGCTCCATAACTCAGTATCAGTAGGCTAGGGGTTAAGACTTTTATCCTATGAAGCGTGCGACTCGTGCCCGGGAAAAAAATTAATGGAGTGTCGGTAACGTGGCAATGGACCCTTTCCGAAATCGTGGAATGATGCATAGGTTACGTGCAGCCGCCACTAGTTGGTCTCATCGCTTCCGGTGCGAAGCCCGTGATTGGTTCCGAGTTCGTGCCGAGCACTTGTGTTGAGTGCATTTCGATCCAAGTACACTCCGAACGCGGACGGAGCGCTCGTGTCCAACGTGTGCTCGTAGTGCGTGTCATACTTATGGCGGCAACGCATAATCTATGCATCATTTCGAAAAGGGTCACTTGATGGTTGGGGGCGTGATCTCTGACGCCAGTGCTTCGTGCCGCTCGCAGTGCCCCGGCCCGTTCCCGTGCGTGGTGTCGTCGTTGACGGTGCACGCCGAGATGGAATGGCACTCCTCGGCCTCCTCCCTGAGCTCCTGGCCCCTGTACATAAGCGAGGATGGGCTGGTGGTCCTCTACCGGTGGGTGCTGCTCTCTAGCAGGCGGCGTCGAATGCCGCCTGTTCGAATCGCTGCAGAGCTCGTAAACTCGGTTTCACGTCTTTGGTGTACGGGGCATTTCAATCAACTTAAGCCATAGCTAAAAAAGAAAAAAAAAAAAAAAAAACTGGTGCACATTAGTTGTGTTGAACGGGCGCAGTATTGTTCGCAGTACTTATTGAGCGAGTCGAGATATTAATTAGATCTGCTGAAATGACTGATCAACACGATTCAATTAACTTTCTCGAATATTCATTTGTGCGCAAACCCTTTGATACAGGGGTGTACAGCGTGTTGGAAAACATCCCATCTTGTCGTTTTCTTCGAGCTAGCCTATGTCTATTTTTTTTTTTTTTTAATTTTAAAGAAAGTGTGCAATATCTTAAACAAATTTTCACGTGATTGAGGGCACTTTGTGAGCACTTTGTTATATTGCACTTTGTCGTACTGCACTCTGTTAGCAACCATACTCGTTGTCACCTCAAGAACCATAGTAAAAGGAAGTCAAACCCTTTACAAAGAGTAGTGATTTCCCCTTGGTGTAGAGAATTAAGAATACACGTGCATTTTAGACTAGATACATCTTACCTTATGAAGACGTACACGTTTCAAACGCCAAAAGCATCGCTTATTCCTCCGACAATCAAATCTCGTAAGAACTACTTCGCGCAGTGTATAAACAATGCGCAAAACTTTCTTTTTTCTTAAAATGCAAACTACTATAGTCACAAAAAAAAAAAAAAATTTTAATGCTTGAAGAAAATTAGACACAAGGGCTACCTAGATGGGAGCGACGCAATGGGTGTTTCTTAATTAACACACTCTACAACTTTTGTATTGGAAGCTTTGCGCACAAACTAGTATTTCAAAAAGTTGGCTAGTCAATCCGCGTTAATTGACCGGTTCGGCGCGCCTCAAGAAATACCTCAACTTACTCAATAGGACTGCGAAGTCGTGGCACAAATTAGCCGAAACGACCCGTGCATAGGTAACCCCGAAAATTGAACGCCTAGCCGGTTTTATCAAAGCCTGGGTAAAAAAAAAAAAAATGAAAGACGTTTACAACACCCTGTAACGCCGAATTAGAGTGCAGCTCTTGAAGAAGAGAAGGGGAGGGTATACACTCCTCCTCACCTCCTTATTCTCCCCCTTACTCCTCTTCCTCTTCTCCTTCACCTCCTCCTTCTGCCCTCATCCTTCAGCCTCCTCCTTCCTCCCCCTTCTCCTCCTCCCCACGCGCTGCAGCATGGGAAATGTCCCATAATGCACCACGAGTCCCGCATTGCATTATGGGATATTTCCCATAATGCACGGCGCGGTTACGGCGACGCTGCTCAAGCCGGAAAAGGGTGCCTAAAAGCTGCGCTCTAAAAAGGAAAGACCCCTGATTGGAGCTCTCTCCGAGCAAGGTGAACCTAGACTTCATGGGGGAAAAAATGTTTATCTACAGCTTCATTTCGTGTCGCCCCGTAGCACAGCCTGCACCAAACTGTCTGTAAGGCTGCTTTGTTCTTTGTGAACTGCATCCCCATTGTTCCTTATTTCCGTTTCGGCGTCGCAAGTCTTCTAAGCGTTCGGATCGCACTCACATTCTCTAGAATTTGAAGAATTGGACGGTCAGGTCCCGGTTTCTCCATCGTGAGTGCCATTGTGTGCCAGTTCGTATGTCAGACATTGAGAGTAGGCATTGGAAAACATTGAATCTGGGGGGGAAAGAAAGTAAACCCCGAGAGAATACCCGTATTTTCAGGGAAAAGAAACCCCAAAAACAAGGAATTGTTTTTATAAAGCGCAGAAACTCATACTTTATGGCATGATCTGCTTGCAATACGCTAGGGAAATAGCAACGGGGTATGTTTGCTTGCATTGTGCCAATGACGTAGGATTACACTTGTTTATGGCATGCTAAATAATGTGGCAAAGATGTGTTGTGCTTGACAGTTACCATTTGCTGGAACTAGCTTAATAAGGAGTCAACAGTGGAGCTGAAAAACAATTTATTTTTAGAGATTTTAGCGGGGAGAGGAGAGGGAGTGGGGGGGTCTCTCTAAGAGTGTTTGCAGTTCACCAACTGTTTTCATGGTTCTGACCCTCCCATCAGGGGTTTATGACTAAATTTCGCTCAAAGGGTGTGACTTTGGTATTAGCTTCTTCAAAATCCTTGCTTTCTCTTTTCTCTCTTTTTCTTGGCATTAGGGATAAGACGGAACCCTTGAAGGAGCTCACGGAGGAAGAGAAACGGGAAATTTCTAACCGGGAGAATGTCAGGTAAGGGGACAGCAGTCCGACTTGTCGTTGGTATTCCGCCAACGCACTTTTGAGATTACTTGTCGACGTTTGCTATGTTTTCAATTGAGAAAACCCCATGCAAGGCTGCTCGTAGTGGAAGGACGTTTACCACACTCTAATTGGCTGCCCTCATAATTTTGCTAAAAAAACAAAAGGGGGCCAGCAGTCTTTACGCAGCAATCTCTAATCGATGCGACTGTTCCCACGTGAAGCGTGGTGGTTCCCGAAACCGATTGTGCTTCCAGCGCTAGAGGCATTGCGGTAGCTTGTTTCGCTTTACTTGTGGGCGAAGCCAAAGGACAAGCATTGTTGCCCCGAACGGCACTTGCACCGCACGAACACGCGTGATTGGCAGGGACGCCGAAAGCACGGAGCTTGCTCCTGCATCTTCTGCTGTGCTCGCACTCAAAGTGGAATGGAGTATGGCAGTTGCATTACAGCCGTCCCGTGGACGTGACTTTAGTTTTCCGTTTTAGTGTACTTTGTCGTCCGTTCAGGTCGGCGTGCCAAGATTGGCTCGCAACACACGAGTGATCCAACTGCGTTGTATGGGTGTTTTTTTTCGCGAATGGGTATTTTTATCAGCTGCATCCGGCATCTTAAAAATAATTGGTGCCCATCGTGGAGCTTGTACAACAGCTTTCAAGCGTCAAATTCTGTGTTTTAAGTTTTGGGTTGTTTATTAGGGTATATCCTTTTTGTTGAACCTTACTTCTGTTAAACACCAGTTATCTGTAATACGGCATTTAGGTTTTTATATTCATTAAGGACTTACCGTATTTATTCGAATATAGGTCGACCTTTTTTTTTCGGAAATGTTGTCAAAAATTAAGGGTCGACCTATAATCGTGACCAAAAAATTTCGACCTAATTCGCGACCAAAATTTGAAACCCTACAGAGGATATGGAGCTATCAATCACCTAGCCGGCATGGCGGTAGAGCCGCGCGGCTTCTTGTTTCAAAAAGCTTTTGATGCACAAAAACAACCGAACAGCAGCAGCCGACAGCCCGTGTCCACCGCCGGCTACGGCTCTCGCGCACATTCCCTCGGCGTCGGGTTTCGCCATCATGCCTGTAGCAGGTGTTGCCTGTAGCGTTCCCCTCGCTGGGCAAGGGGGAAGGGGAGAGAGAGGAACGCGATGCGCCATGCACTTTGCCCTCCTATGCGCTCCATTCCTCTCCCTTGCAAACGCGCACAAAAAAAAAAAAATCGGAGGTATTTTAGTTTTTTTTTTTTTTCGGCGGGTCGCGTGTTGCTCACGGGGCTCGCAGCGTTGCTCATGTCTTTGTATTTGGTCTTTCGTTGCTCGCCCGTCTCCACCTTCTTTCGTTTCTTCGTGTCGTCATTTTACGACGGTGTCAGTGAGGTATTGTTGCCAATTTGTGAGGATGTCTACCAAGCTGACGAAGCTTCGGACGATGATATGTCCGGAAGTTCTGATGATGAATAAGTTTTTGACATCGCCCTGTGATTTAGCTGAGAGTGCTGTAAATAAAGGTTTGTTTCTTTTGCCCTAACTTTCCCCTGTTCCTTAAAAAAAAAGAAAGGTCGACCTATATTTGAATTATTTTTTTTTTTATTCTCGGTGGGCTCAATAAATAGGGGTCGACCTATTTTCGTGGTCGACCTATTTTCGGGTAAATACGGTAACAAAAAATTGCCGCATTTCCTCGTGGTGAATGATATTGATTGGGGCGAAACTCTGGTAGTGCTTGTCTGCGTAGACGCTGAGCCGCAGCATGCCGAGCCTTTCGTTCGTTTTCATTCCTGTCAGAAAGGGAATGTGTGGTATGGAACGTGGTTATATACGCATTTGAGCATTTGACCGCAGCGCCCTCTCATCTATAAACGTTGAGCCAGTGCATGCAAAGTTTAACGCGATTATATACGCATTTGCGTCTATAATCGCTCAAAAGAGGGCACTGCATGACTGCAGCGCCCTCTTTTGTATAGACCGTTTTATCATGGGTAGCGCCATTTTGAGAGCGAGAGTGAAAAGGGGAGAGGGCTACCGGCGCTTTCCTCCTTTCTGATTGTGTAGAAAGAGTGAAAGTCCCGGATGAGAGGCTTGGCCGGTGTTGGGCGTCTGCAGTGCCCCAACTTCGTTGGCGCTTTCTTCCACGTTTCAAACTCCCGAACTTAATTAGAGCCGTGGTCTTCGATGGCGACAGTCCCCCGGTCATCGGGACACCATTGCTGGGTGATAGGGTGCACGAATAACGACAGAAAGCTTCGAATACTGTCCGAGGGCCTATGTAGCTTGCATAGAATCCGGCAAAGCAAATACGGCTGGAATGTTTTTAAGCTCAATTGCTTTCCGCATGACTGGAAATGATGAAACATTTATATATTTTTGCTTGCAATCGGTCTTTTTCAACGTAGCCGCTTTTAGTTGTAATCAACAAGCGACACACGAAACGGGAACCTCAATTAACTTTGTAAACGCCCGGAGCTGCTACGTATCGTCTTGCTGTGCTGTTTTTATCTTCGTGTCCCTGTTCTTATATCTCCTTGTGAATGAACGACGAAGACGCTCTAGGTGTACTTTTATCGAACCGCAGAAAGCCTCGAAGCAGCCACGAATTATTTTACTGTTTGATGCATTATTTTGAGTACTCACCTCCATTTTCTATCGCTGGCACGTTCGCTACCGCTGTTCCCCCCGTCGCCACACTGGCGGATGCCATGACTCAAACAAAGAAACGTGCACGCTGGGCTCGAAAACGCAGATCGCAACACACGAGACGTTTCTGCAGCGACTATCAAGCGCCTCAAAGCGCCTTAGTCAACGGAAACAACCCACCAGCGGCACGGCACGTTCGCTACCGCTGTTCCCCCCGTCGCCACACTGGCGGATGCCATGACTCAAACAAAGAAACGTGCACGCTGGGCTCGAAAACGCAGATCGCAACACACGAGACGTTCCTGCAGCGACTATCAAGCGCCTCAAAGCGCCTTAGTCAACGGAAACAACCCACCAGCGGCACGGCACGTTCGCTACCGCTGTTCCCCCCGTCGCCACACTGGCGGATGCCATGACTCAAACAAAGAAACGTGCACGCTGGGCTCGAAAACGCAGATCGCAACACACGAGACGTTCCTGCAGCGACTATCAAGCGCCTCAAAGCGCCTTAGTCAACGGAAACAACCCACCAGCGGCACTTCAAGGAGCGCTTTTGCCGTCTCTCTGGTATCGCGCAGGAGATCGCGATTAAAAAACAAACAAACAAACAACAATAGAACTACGTTTTCAACAATTTCCAGCCTCACCCGGAGGCGGAAATGAGCCTTCAACTAAGTGTTGTAGATGATAAAATCGAGTCAGTCAGCACTGCAAATTATCACTATTAAGATAAATTCAGTTACGAAATTTTACAAGCTGAAACAGCAGTTATCATGAGCAAATTCGCATGCACATTGCGAGCGTACCCCATGTTCATCGGCGGTACAGCGTTCGGTGCGCGCTCCATTCACGAAATGTTCCGAGCGAACTTGAGAGGATGGCGTTGAGGAAACGCCTTTTCGGTTTACGGACGCAATCCACTGCCGCCGGAGACAGGGGTCATGTGGAAAGCGGTGGAGCTCAAAGACATTGCAGCCGCTCTCGCCTTGCCGGGTTCCTTGCAAGCTACATGTCCTCGGACGGTATTCTATGCTTTCTGTTTTTATTCCTGCACCCTATGACCCAGCAATGGTGTCCCGATGACCGGGGAACTGTTGCCATCGAAGCCTCTGGCTCTAATTAAGTTTGCGAGTTTAAAACAGGAAAGAAAGCGCGAACAAAGTTCGGGCACAGCAGACATCCAACACCGGCCAAGCCTCTCATCCGGGGCTTTCACCCTTTCTACACAATCAGAAAGAAGGAAAGCGCCGGTAGCCCTTTCCCCTTTTCTCTCTCGCCCTCTTTCAGTAAAACGGTCTATAGACGTTGAGCGGCTACATGCAACGTTTCATCCATGAGATCCCCAGCTTTTGAGTTACTACCACATCTCAGAGCCCCCTACTCGGCCCGCAGTCATGGCCGAGTGGTTAAGGCGATGGACTAGAAATCCATTGGGGTCTCTCCGCACAAATTCAAGTCCTGTCAACTGCGCATTTTTTTTTTTTCCTATAGGGAGTATTTACTGGCGGCCATAGCTGTGTGCGCAACTGCAGAGCGCGTGCTGACGGCGAGCTTCCACAGTTCTTTTTCAGCGTGCATTCCACAACCATCAAGATTGCCGGTCTTAGCAGCCTATATGTGACCTCGCTCTGAACGTGCGCTAGAGCACCCACAAATATGGCGTCCAGTGAATACTCCCTATACGAGCATGTGAGCTCACGAGCACCAGCAAGATCGATATGAGCACGGACGCCGGACGGACAAGGCTAGACCCTAAGGAGCTTCGCCCCTAAACTTTTACCATTCTCTTAAACAGGCACGCGTTTTTTTAACCGGAATCCGAGTTGTAAACCATATCGAAAGATAAGCACTCGTGTTCCAAAACGTTTGGGCGCCTCAAACATTTTAGAAGCAACCAGATGTTTCCGAGAAATCTCATATCCACTTGCCAGAAAAAGACGCGCACGCATCGGGTAGGGTCATGCGCGTTTGTGCAGACAGAGTCTTAGCCTGACTCTTAGCGTTCCCCCCCGTCTTACGACCACCTGCTCGACGTTTCTTTCGGCCGCTGTGCCACGGCGCCGGGAACACGTCTTTGATGATCATTGCACTTGCCACGTCCTCAAACGTGGCCCATAGCGATTTCTGCCCAACAACACTGCACCGACTCCCGCGACCCCATCTGTCGGCACACTTTAGGACCACCTTTGACGTGCAGAGCGCGTTGGGTTAACGTTGGCATGCCCACTCGGCAGGGCGCACAAGAGCCTGCAGACGACGACGTCCGTGCGCAAGGAGCGGGCGCTCAAGATCTACACGGGGAGCCCCCCGAGCAACGCCTCCGGCGCCCTCTCCGACGCCAAGCCCAGCCTCCACTCTGTGCCTATCGACCTGGACTGAGCGTGAGTCGGTGCCTCTTGGCTGTACACCCTGTGGGAGTATGGGGTGCGGTGATATCGGCTGGCCTCGCGGCGTTCGGGGCGGGGTGGCACAATAAGCGTGCGGGGAGTCCCCTCAAGCCACGTTTCCTTTTGTCAAAGGGTAGCAGTCGTCATAGATCAGATCAGAGCAAAATTTCAAGGGCAGGGCTGACCCCACCCCACCCCACCCCACCCCACCCCACCCCACCCGACCCGACCCGACCCGACCCGACCCGACCCGACCCGACCCAACCCTGTCAGATCCGAAAATCAGGTCGGGTTTGGGTTTTCAAGCCTGCACAGATCTCTAGCAGTCTTTTTTCATAGTTTAGCACACCAAAGGAGCCCCATGCACGCTTTACCCCGTTTGCTGGCGCTGGACTGGATCGGACCAGCTCATATTGCCGCTGACTGTACATGTCTTTAGCTTTTGTCGGAGTTCGGCAGACGTTGCAACAATAGTACCACCATCCCAAGCAGCTTGAAGCAGGCAGTCGACCTGGAGCCCGTGCAAAGCCCGATATTGCACCTGTGAGAGTTTGTCTGTGTAGAAGGTTCAATGTTTTATCTTTATGGGTCACTTTTGAGTCTGTATATGTCAGTGTTGGGCCTGTCTGGCCCCATTGTTGGATCTATGTGTCCCAGTGTGGAGTTTATGCCTGCCAGAGTTGGGCCTAATGGACTGGATCGTCCAATCAAGACCAACATGGGTCTCATTTCCATATGTTGCTTGGAATTCGTGCCCCAGATCTTAACAGCGGGGGAAAGCCAAACAAAAAGTTAGGGCACAAGCAAGCTGGTGGAAGTTTAACAAAATTTTAGGCAAACCCCCGAGGCTAGGGAAAAGACGGAGGACAACACAACGCACAGACTCTCGGAGACACACGGACGAAGGACGACACAGACACTCTGTGTGTTGGGTCGTCCATCTTTTCCCCGGTCTCGGGGGTTTGTCTGAAATTATGGAAAAGCTGCAAAAAATGTTACCCGTTTGCATGCCATCTTCAACATGTGCATTCAGAAGAACTGAACCCATCTCAGTAATTCCGTCCACAGGCCGGGCATCTCAATTAGCATTCCGTAAATTCCGCTGGACGTTATGACACATTTGTGTAAATGTTGGCTTTCTCCATCTTTTCAGAAGCCTTGGGACAGTTTGCAAGTGCTCTTTTTTAAGAAACGATGAGGGTAGCAGGATCAGCACAAAGGAAAAAAAAAAGCCCGGAGGGATTCAAGGATTCTTGCCGTCAGCGACGACGGACCAGTACGTCGTTGAGCTTCAACCCACCCAACGCCGGCATCATGCCAACGTCAAGCTGAAGTCAGCAACACACAACGGGGTGGTGTTTAAATGTTTCTTCCGTTTATTTTTTTCTTTATGCTTGTTTTTTAATTGGTGACCTTTAAACCCCCAAACTGCAACATTGCCCTCCCAAATTGTATGGACAAGAAACGAAGACTTGGAACTTGGCACGTAGTGTCACTTTTGAAGTGAAGTGAAGAGAGGCTGGCGGCGACATCGTGACGTGGCTGCATACATTAAACGCGTTAGGTATTATGATGCCTGGAGTCGTTGCAACGCCGTCTGGAAGTCGGTCATATCCAGAGTCTCCCAGATTGGGTCTGGGACCGCTCTGGAGCGCTCCCAGTTCGAGCCCGGTTTCGGTTGCCTTAGATTGCGGTTCAGAGCGATGCACTGATCTTGACTCCCGGTCAGTTTGCGCAGCCTGTCACATGCGCAGCCGCCGTTTTACGCCAAGGAATAAACTTTACGCCAAGCTCCAACTTTCTGGCTTCGAGGAAACACCGCGATTGCTTTACGTCGTTGCTGTTTCGGTCAATATCCTTTTTTTTTTTTTTTTTACATTTGTGTTTGAAGTTTAGTCTTTCAGTAGCTGCAAACTGTATGTGTTTTTGCTACTTTTGTAACGCAACTGTGAGGAGAGTGTGCCTGATCACACTTCTCACCAGGGTGAGGATGGATGTCGACACGACTTATAATCGTGGAATGATGGCCAGAAGGTTTGGTACAGTTGAACGGTTTCGACGGAACTCTGAACTGAGCAGAAGCAGTGTTAACCGAACCGGACAGCTCAATTTGGTTTCTGGCTACACAAGCTTTTTTTAAGATATTGATCGAAGAGTTCGGGCTGTCTAGATAAAAAGGAGTGAGTGGCAATGTTTCGAGAAAACAGGAGATACCTCGTTTACTTCTTTCAATCTGGGGAAGGTACCTAGTCGACCCCAGGCAGCGATCCTCAAATGCAGCAACTTTTTCGGGAGTTGCGGATTGCGTTTCAATGCTTGCATCCTTCTCTTTCTGGTTTACGTCATCGATACCGCACGTCAAGAATTGCAGTGAGACGGCAAACTTGTCTCGTTTGAAGATGGTTGCCTCGGACGATTCAAATGCTTTCTACAGATTGAGCTGTCTAGGGGGTGCAGATTTCAAAAGCTCGCAGAGTAAGAGCAGAGGAAAGATTTGCGGGCAAACCAGAGTTAATATAATGTGAGTCTCTTCGAGTTTCATTCGAGGTTTCCACGAAAGCCGTACAGTTAAGCAAGAGGTAAGGCCGTGGCAGGTTTGTGCACATTGTCAAGACAAGGCAAGCGTTGAAAGTTTCACGGCGGGATTGGTGAGGTGCGGTTGTGATAGTTGGTACGGCAGAGTCCATAATGTTTTGGCGAAGCATTTCTGTGTGGGCAGAAATTTGACAGTTTTTCTTGTTTTGAGTTTAGAGAAAGTTGCTGCACCCACAAGGTCGGAGCTGTGAGCCTTCTGGCACCTTGAAGTTGCTTTGACTTTTGTTGCACACTCGACTGTTTGTCTGCAACCCTTGTCAGAAAATATGGCTGTCGGCTTTTAAAGCTGGGGTGGGGAGGGGTCTCGGTACCATCTGCCTGTAATTGTGTTGCCAAAGGTGTTCTTTTTATTTTTTTTTTAAATCTTTGCTAGTGCTTGTTTCCCCTTCCCTTTGTTTAGATCTCCCCGCCTCCTGCCGCGGTTGTAAGTTTAGTCTGTTGCCAGCATTGTATTTCGTACTTGTATTATTGCTATTATTATTATTATTAATATTATTACAATGTGAAGCGTGTTGTTTTCAATTGATGCCGACCCAGGCAAACAGCTTCTTGTCAGTTTTATTTATTGAATCGAGGGTTTATTACGACAAGGAATAAAAGTGACGGACTTTACCTGGTCGTGTCTGGGTGTTGTGATGTTTTTAAGGTTTTGGGCATTGGTTCTGTTTTTCATATACACTTGTACATAAATGAGAGATGTGCAATATAACTGCATTGAAACACCAGGCATAGTGCAACAAGCTCCACTGTTCATAGTAATTCATCAAAATAATTCACTCTGCAAATTTTCTTATTGGTTCTTTGTTTGACTTATGTGAAACCTGCAAGTGTGCGTGCATAGCTTTGCGACTTTTCACCAAATTCGCCCATGCAATAGACCTATTGCTATGTTACCCAAGCATCAAGGAGAATGCAAGAATTGGTGTTCCACGCGCCGCACGTGCTGGCGTCAGCGGTAACTTTTCTAAAGCAAATACCTAAAACATAGCCTCTTGCACGTGCGTTTGTCAATGCTTTATTTTGGTTATTTTACTTTGAGTCTTTTATACGGGGAAGGCATGCGCATGTGGCGCGTGGAACACCAATCCCTGCACTCTCCTTGATGCTTGGGTAATAAAGCAAATGGTCTATAGGGGCATGTTGGAAAGCTACGAGTCCATGACTCCCTACATATGCAGCATTCCAAAAGGCGCAAAGCAGTTTTCAGCTCTGAACTGCTCATTACTCTTTCCAAAAGGCAAAACCAATAAGACAATATAGGCAGTTATGTAAGCTGTGGCAAAGGTTATGTATGAGCTGCCAGTTATCAGTCAAGCATTTAAAGCATAGACTGCATGGAGATTCTGTATTTTTGCAGGAGACCAACAATGGTACAACAGTAACAACACTTTATTTGTATCACAGAAGCTTTCACACAAAGGACATGCACCTCAATTTCAGCTGGTATCCACTTAAGCTTGTACCTCTTGAACTTGCTAATAAGATAATGCCTCACAAATATCTGATTGGGTGAGGGAATGAGGGGGCAGCCAGCCTGATTTGGAGAATAAACTAATTTACCTTTACGTTGTGGGCACATTATAGTCCAATGACAAAACGCATAGGCTGTCTTGGACATACTTTGATCTTTGAGTGTTTTTCTGCCAAGGTACTGCATGTGTATATACCGCCTGCTGAAGGTACATTCACGTTGACCTAGTTTGTTTTTTTTGTCGGGCAGTCATGTTTGTACACCATCAAAGCCGAGATTGTTTGATGCGCTTCATTAGGCAATGGTTAAATGCACATCGAAAGCATGTTGCATGTGTGTGGACTCTTATCGTAGACATAGAATCTGTGGTCGTTCGCCTATCTCAAACCTTGTTGAGGACCTTTGTACAGGAATGTTGTTTAGGAGTTCATCGACCTTAGAAAGTGCACTGAATACATTTATAGCTGATGCCAGTGAAAAAAAAAAAAAAAAAAAAAAAGTTCAAGTTCCTTACCTCACATAACCCTAGTCTGGACAGCGGTAGGAAAAGCAAGAAGAGGTAACTTTGGTTCTGCGGCAATCGTACTGCGACCACAGCAAAAACACCCAGTTGACAGTTGTGTTCGACCTAGGACATGTTACGCCAGCCTATGTTGGAAGTATAGGAGCTGGCTGCCGGCACTTCCAAAGCGCAACCGCCATGAGCACACCTATTGCCAGAACAAGCGCCGCAGCCGTAATTCCCAGCCACAGGCCGTTGACGACGAAACTGCCGTCGTCTGCAAATGGAAGAGGCACGAGGGCAAGATGGCGTTACGCGGAGTTCGGAACGAGTGAAAATTCTAATTACTTCTTGGACTCGGATGTGCCTGATGGACGCACTGTGTTTCAGATACGTCGCATCAGAAGAAGAAAAAATGTCCACGTGACCTTTATAGTTTGTGCTGTTTTCAGGTTTGTACAGTGTTTACAAACATCGAGACATAAACACGGAGTTCTTTGGAATAACCGAAAACTTAACTTTTTTCTATTGTTTTGTTCGCAGAGAAGACATATCTGCTTTGTTGCACCAACAACCATGTAATGAAATTTCTGCTGTGTCACGTTACAAATCCTCCGCCACATTTGCTTGTGCATCCTATCGTTATCGGAGCTATTGGAACGATCTACTAAAACTCTGCCTAGCATCCACCGGGTTGTGCTACGTAATCACAGGGACTGCTGTGGAGGGCTTACCAAAGCAGCGATCCTCGTCCGAGTAGTCGCCGCAGTTGTTCCAGCGATCGCAGCGCCATCGTGCATCGATGCAGTGGCCATTGTTGCAAAGAAACCGTCCTTGGTCCTCCCCACAGGTCCAGTTGGCATCGTTTTCTGCAAACAGACTTTGCATAGACGCACTCGGACGTGCAGATCTCCCACAGAGTTTTGTGGATATGTATAGCTTCCTTTGTAATTTGATCATGGCGGACGGCTCGCATGCTGAGTACTTGTGTGCATAGCATATCTTCGACCAGATATCTACGCTCAGTGATGGGTATGTGTTGCCTCAGACCACCAGTGATTTCCCTACACACTCCCGAGGGGGGTGTACAACTTCCCCTGTTTTTCTGAAGGTCTCTATTCTCAATGCCCCCCCCCCCCCCCCCCCCTAATTTCAATCCTTGGGAAAACCCCTGCCTCAGACGCAGCATGATGCAAACAGGGAAACGACCAATACGCGTGCTAATAAATAAAAATTTCTGACCCTCATTTTTTTTATATATATTACTCACGCGTCCTGTAAAGTGTGTGTACATAGCTGAAGCGATACACGATAATCGACGTGTAGAAAATAAAAAAAACTCAGAAATGTTCAACTCTTACACTGTGCAAGCACAAGCTCCCATCTTTGGGAAGTGCTTCTGTTGCGCAGGTTTTTGTGCAGCCGAGTTACGTCCTAATACGAGGAAGTTGCGCTTGTAGCTTCGGGTGTTCTTGTTTTCCTTCTTTTTTCGTCTTTTTTTTTTTTTTTTTTGATTTGGTTAGATTTTTTTTTGTCAACGTCCTCACAAAAAAAAAAAAAGTATTCAGCGATAGAAGCGAAAAGTGCATATCACGCATACAGCACAACATTCGTTTCAATAAAAAAAAACAAGCACAAAACAAGCATCTACCTCATAATTGATGATGAGGCGCTCTTGATAAAAAAATTCCAAAGCACGTAGTGCTCACCGCATACGTTTCTCGGTAAACTTATTACTGTTGCGCAAGCTGCCGCGGCGATGGCAGCTTGCGACGTGGAGAGTGACGTCACTAGCCTTTCATACAAAGTTTCACAATAAAAAAAAATATCCTAAAATTAGTGTATTCATGGTAAAATGAAAATTTCCTTGGACTGCATTACTCGTGGTCGCGGACGTCAGGGAATGCGCGATATTTACTAATTAGATCGCTAATTACCTAAAATTACTAATCATTGTTTTATTTAGTGAAAGTAGTCATGGTTCCAATTAGAAACTTGCGTCGTCGAAAACCACTAAATCAGTCATTGGAAAGACTTTAAGCGCGTGAGAAGCGTAGTAGTGCACTAAAGTTACCACTCGTGGAGCAGGTACAAGGCTGGGGCTCTCATGAGACGAAAAAATCGCGCGAACGCCTTACTGCAATCGTCAGTCTTATATATATCCTGCTCCACGAGTGGCAACTTCAGTCCACTGCTACGCTTCTCATGCGCTCAAAGTCTTTGTGAAAATGACTGATGTAGGTGTTTTTGACGGCGCTCATCAAGTTTCTGATTAGGACCATGTGTCTATTTTCACTAACTAAAGAGTTAATTAGTCATTTCAGTTAATTAGCAAACTAACTAGTAAGTATCGCGCATTTTCTGGCGTCCGCCACCACGAGTTATGTGGTTCCGAGAAAACTATCCTTTTACCTCGAATGCACTAATTTTAGGAATTTTTGTCACTTTTACGTGAAACACCCTGTATATAAAAAGTTCTGGGTACAGCGCATTTACTTTTCTTTCGAGGTGATACCACAGCCTCGCTGTCCAACCACCTTTACAGCGTGGATTGGAACCCCGACTTTTTCGTTTGCATATTTTGTCCTGGAACTGTTATCCTTGAATAAAACGTAAATCACCGCTAGATAAGTTCGCACATAAGATGGTCGAGTTTGTTGCATGAAGGTTAGAGGAATGTTAGTGTTACGTTACTTCAACCCTGCTGTTACATTGCATTCGCAGAGGCCTAAAACCATCAAAATACGTTTTTCCTTTAATTATTATTATTTCGTTTAAGTTTTGAATTTACCTTTACGTTCGACAAAGGCGGTGAGGACCAGGTTAAAGCCTCGTCTGGCGGCCAAGCCCGTGAAGAAATTCCAGATGAAAATCAGCTGGTTATTGATGGACTCGAAGGCTCTCGGGTAAGTGTCCTCCAAGGAACCGCAAAAACGGCTCACCAGCGACCGGAGACCTTGGATCTAGGTGGAAAAACCATAGGGTTGTATCAATACTCGAAGACGTCACGTTAGTAGATCCCCGACCCGCCCTGAGCGGCAAACACCCCAAAGCTTGATGAGAGTAATACCCCTGTTACACGGGCACACTTAAAGGAGCTGTGCAACGATATTCAATTGGAATGTTTTTCTCTCTACACTAGCTTACTGGCACACCTCGGACTCAAGGATACTCACACGCAACACCATTGGCCAAGAAACTCCTTTGTTGTGGTGTAATTTCAAGGACAAAAGCGATCATTTTCATTCAATCTCTCCTTTGCAAAATTTGATGACGTAACTCGGGGATCGCAGTACACCCAAGTGACGATATTTGAATGCGGTTCACAGATTGGACCCGAGCAATGCGTGGGCACTCGACTTGGGCTCGTGACAATTGCTAGCTCGAGAAGCATTCGGGTTGTGACCCGTGTCCAATCGCTGCAACGACGACAACAGCCGAGCCATAACAATGTCTGGAACTCAGCGCGTGTCCTGCGCTTTGCCAACCCCTGCGCGTGGCTATGATCAACACTGGCGGCATATAATCGGCTCCAGATCACGTGGCCGCTTGTTCTGGCTGCGAGTTGAGGGGGTGAACGCCGCTCGTTTTTCTTAAATTTGTTTCTGGGACTTCTATTGCGTGGGGTGAAAAACGAACGCGTGTTTCATAGGTCATTAACGTTAGGGATCCGATTTAAGCGGTATTTGTGCACAGTACAAAAATTGTTGCATCGCTCCTTTAAAGGCGGCATCTGTGCTGCCAAGTTCTCACGTGGCAGCACAGATGCCGCACTATACCCTCGGACAGCTATTTCAAAAGAAGTGAAGAGAGCGCGTGCACTGCTTTGATGGGTGCTCAGGATGCTCAAGCGCACGTTCGCCCATAGCTCTGACTGCATCGCCGCAGAATGTTGTCGGCAAGTATTGTGCGCTAATTGTGGTTTAGCGTAACTGCAGTTAAGTGTGCCCGTGTAACAGGGGTATAACAGGGGTATTACATGGGCACCCTTAACCGCGGTTAACTCAGCGTTAACTGCTGTTATGCGGCACCACAGTTTCCGCACTATACTCTCGGACAGCTATTTCAGAAGTAGTGAAGAGCGCACGTGCACTGTTTTGATGGTTGCTCAAGATGCTCAAGCGCACGTTCTCACATAGCTTTGACTGCATAGCCGCAGAATGTTGTCCGCCAATATTGTGCGCTAACTGTGGCTTGTGTAACTGCAGTTAAGAATGCCCGTGTAACAAGGGTATAAGGGCCACGTTACAGCGTCGCATTCACTGGCGGCCATAGCTGCGTGCGCGACTGCTGAGCGCGAGCTGAGAGCGAGGCATGCGACACCATTAAGACTGTCCATCTTCGCAGTCTATTGATGTGAGCTCGTGCGACACCACCAAGATTGCCAGTCTCGTCAGCACCTGCTGACCGAGCACTAGTATTTTCATCAGTCATCTCCTATTCGCGACTCCAGCGACCTATAGGGGGCGCTCCCACCAAACAAACATGGCGGCTGAGTCCAGGTCGCGGCGGCTCGGCCGGGCCGCCTGAACAGGTGGCGCGTTCAATTTAACAGATTTTCTTTTCTTTAATGCCCAATTTTATAGGTATTTGAACTGAGACGGTTAAGTGTAGCCGGTGCAGATAAACTTGCAAAGCATAGTTTCGTTTTGCCGGTGTTTTTTTGTTCTTTTCGTGTCAAACTTTCGTTTCGGAGATTTCGTTCAAAACCGAAACTATGGGCTCCGGAGAGACGGTAATATACTTATCAGTTTTTATCATCTAGGGAAAGCGGCGATGACTATAGAATTGTTCCGCAGACAGTAACTTTTCAGCTAACTCGCATGCCTCGACCATGCGACTTATCTGTCCGCGAAATCGAGCTTTTGTGCGTGTCCGCGTTTACGAAACAGCTCCAGTCGTCTGCTCGGCCAACAACACAGGCTGCAGGAAAATTACAAAAGTTAAGCAACCGCTTCTTGAGCCAAGGACCATGTTAACCCGCCGGCGCCCCACTAAGCAGCTGATACTTGTACTCAATTCAGGTTTTAGTAGCAATCGAGAAGTCATTTTGACGAGCGGGTTATGTATTATATTACGTACTATGGGGGGGGGGGGGGGGGTCCCACTAAAGCGATATTAGTATATCCTTCGGGTTGAAATATGAGCTTAGTTGACTAGCTATTAGGTGAGCTGCTGAATAAAAGTATATTTTACAGACGGAGACATACTACTTAAACTTAGCCAAATGGTTCTATAGCCGGCAGCACGGGGACAAACTGAAGAGAGTCTTCATTGAAGATCCGCGCAGAACCTCTCTGCATTGAACGGAGAAAATTAGTATTTTTTTGTGGCCGGTCAACCTGACCAATGTAGACGTATATTGCTGCTGGCTTCGACGTCCTCGTAATATAAATATTGGAGGCGCGATAGGTCAAAATGCCGTGACAGCATCTAACGTTGCGAGACTCGTCCCCCACCTTTTGAAAACAGATAATTTCCCTCATTCATCATTTGCAATGAGCACGTTTTCCTGAATCAAGTAATTACGAAATAAGCCCAACTCCTTCAGTGTAGTCCAGAGGCTTTCTCGGCGAAAAGCAGCCAAGATGAATAGCCAACGCACCGACCGGCGTGGGTGGCTCAAACTTGAAGCTAACCGAACACAACCAAACTCAAGAAAAGCAGCTATCGAACTTCCCCATTCACTTGACTGCAACATTGATGTTCCCTCCAGTATCAGTTACCAAGCAGTCGTCACTTTGAATGTGATTCGAGACAGACAAGAAATCAAAAAGTTGTTCCGTGATTCCTCCCTATCCAAGAAATCGAAAGCACGTGACCGTGTGCTGTGGAGTAAACGGGCTTTCAAACACGTAATAGAAGAAAACAATCTACTCAGGCTTCACCACACTAATGATCACTCAGGCAAACTTAAGAAATATTCGGACCTTCGTCAAATTACATCGCTCGCCACCACGCCGACAACACGTCTCCGCGAAAGCCACCAGAGACGCGGAGGGGCGCGGAGCGACCTGGACCGGCTGGTTCCCGGTTTTCCCGCTTGGCGGCGTCCGTTTTGCTGGAGTCGCTCTATCCCATCGTCATCGCTAACTCCCCCCCCCCCCCCCCCCCTTTCCCCTCCCCCAAGCAACATGAGGCAAAGTATTTGATGAGGCCCAATAGGCCAGGGTATGGTTCACATAATAAACGTTTCAATCGATCAATGACCACTGAAGCAGACGATGATGCTCATCCGGGCCAGCTAGGGGGCGCTGAGGGGATCTACTAGTGACGACGTTTAGAGGAGGAAACGCGCAGGTCTTGCGTTCTAGCCTCTAGGTTGTATTGGTTGTATCCGATTTTCACGTAAGTGCTGAAAGGTATTTCCACCTGATGACTGTGGAAACCTTCTTACGTTATTGGCATATGACTACGTACGTGCACTCCACGCATAAGCAATCTAATAAACGTTAAAAATAGTTTTTTTTTTTTTTAATTGGTGAAGGAAGATTAGCGATTTCCTTTTCCGAAGTAACTTCCCGCCTAACTAACTATTTCTAAACTTGCCAATAAGTTGACTCCTCCATTCACCGGTGTCAATAAACGTCTTTTCACTCATTTACTCTAGATTAGCAAAGGTGTACTAAGGTGGGAACGAAGTAATGGCCGGCTGCAAATCGGCAAGCCGGAGTTGAAAGGCTGGAAAGATTGCCGCCGTCGCTCATGGATGGCGGTAGCTGTCCAGAGTTTTGTGTCATAATTTGTTTGCTCGCGGACACGATACTGGGGAAACTAGCCGTTAACAGCCCCGCTGTGAAAAACCTTTAATCACACGAAACTGCTCTGCTCCATTTATGTTCCCCCGTTGCGCTAAGAAAGAGAAACAAGCACGGAGGAACAGGGACCAAGAGTAGAATAACAACGACACAGGGCGCACTCTCAACTGAATTTATTAGGAAAAAAACAAACTTATATACCAACGGGAGCACACCATCAGACACAATACGTCACATCAGTCCCCGCCCAGCCCACGTTTCAAATATTCAAACTCATCCGTAGATAGAGCCAGAGAAGCATCGCTAATGCGTTTTTCACTCCTACTCCTAATCTCAAATGCCTCATAAAGCTCCCATGACACTTTGTTTTTGTACTTCGCCAAAATTTTAGTGCTGTCAAAGAACGGGGCGCAAGAGCATCTGTTGCAATGTACAGCCAAATGCCCTGACGGTGCGGTTCAAGTCGAAGTGGCGTGCTCGCGGACCCGATCATTGACAATTTCTCCAGCGCCTCATAATTTGACGAGCCTTGCGCGAAAAGCATGTTTTTTTGGCCATCCCGCGTCCTCTTTTTTTTACCCGTAACATGGGTCTAAACTTTAAAGTATCAAACTGCCGACACATTTTCCAGTTTGCCATACATGGCTTAAACCACACGTCATTGGGATTTCGTAAACGACGCCTTCTTTCCTTCTCCTCCTCGAGCATAGCACGACGCCAGACGAATCTGTACCCCCTGTGTCGTTGTTCTACTCTTGGTCCCTGATCCTTCGGCGCTTATTTCCCATGATGCACCAAATGGCCCATCTAAGCATTTTATTGTTAAGAAAGCCCTTTGATAAAATTAACGCACAAGCACCGCCAACTATTCTGGAAACGCGCAAGACACGTGTCACGAACGAGCGAGTGCTCCGCCGACTTCCGCTTCCAAGGGCGTCGTGCGCTCATTTCAGTGCTGCGCCGCGATTTGCTTCCAAGGGCCGCACCACGACGCACGGGCGTCGTGCACTGATTCATTTGACGCTACTTGCAAGACATACGCGAAAATTGAGGGGTCCTACTTTGTTTCCGTTGAGTCAACGTTCTCATAGAGAGGAACTTCAGACATTCAAAACGCCCGCCATAAGGACAAGGCCGACCGCGCGCGACCGCAGCGCCGATGTTTATAAGCGGCGACGTCCGGCGGAAAGGGAGCGATAGCGGCTGGCGAAACGAGTCCATTTTCGTTATCGCCTTAATTGCTCTATGTTACTCTTAATTTACGTGAATCTGAACGAACACCGGAGCACTCGCGCGGCTTTGTGAAGCGTGGAAACTTCAGCGTCCGACCGTACTAATCCTACGTCGAAGGCCCGCTAACTTTGTGGGTTTTTTTTAGAGCTGAACCGAAAGTTTTGACTAGTCATGTCACTCTACAGCTTTGCGACATCGAGCTGTGTGAGCATGAGCGAAGATCCTCAAGCAGAAATCCTCAAACAATATGTGAAGGACCTCAGTGCAAGTGGCTACAATTGGGTCGGCTACGTCGAATCGGATGAAGTTTTGAAGGAGCTTGAGAAAAGTCTGGCTGCTATGCGGGTCCAGTTTTCGACCACGACTTCGCGCAGTCACAAATCTGGAACGTGTGAGTATCCCTCTGTATCGTACCTCCGTAAGAAACGCTAGCTACGGCTTTGAGCTAGGTTAAGGGCAGCTGCCAGCGCTATGAGCTCTCGCTTGTAGCCTTCGCTGCGGTACGCGGTAGAACATAAGGTGAAACGGAGGTCTAGCAGTCTGGCATCAAGTAAATTAAGGTGCGTGTGTTTAGTTGTTTAGTTTTTTTTTGTTTTATTTTTCGATCTTCTAAAGATTATTCTGGCGATCTATGGAGTTAATATAATGCGCTAGAGGTTCAACTGGCGCTAGTGTCTATGCGACTTCCGCGAGGCTAATTGAAGCAGACAGCAACCACTCTACTTTTGCGGTGCTCCTGTGCATTCCTATGGGAAAATGCGCGTGCATTTTGTCTCGTCGCCGGAAAATAACATGGAGCATTTTTGTTATTTGGGTCGTACCGAATAGTATGTACCTTTATTAACATTGTAAAAGTGTAATTACTTTAGTTAGCGCATTCTACGAACTCATCTCTGTTACGTCACGGCGCGGTGGTGGCGCGTCGAGCGCACTTCCGGTCTGGGGTTGTGGGCAGAAGCCCCCATGTGAGACGTGTACTCCTGCGTTGTTTTGAAAGGAATTATACAAAAATTTGCCTTCTCGTCAAAAGCCGAGGCTGGGACTGTACTAAAACAGTCGAGAAAGGTTTGAAGGTCAGTTTTCATGTGCTCGGTTCCGCCGAGAACTTGGATATGTGAATGTAAAGCGCCGAATAAACAAGGACAAAGAAGGGGACAGAGACGAAGCGCACTCTCAACTAAAGGTTTATTGAAACATACAAAAAAAAAAATTGGGTTGTGTGTGTGCTTATACAGCCTAGAACTTGGTCTGCCTCACAGGGGCGACGAGTCTCCCAGCTGTAGATGAGAAATTTAGCCAGTGCGGTACAGCCGCTAGCCTGGGGTCTTTAACGTGCACCACGCAGTAGTGATACACGACCGCACGCCGGTACGATGCTCATCCAGATCGAAACGGGCAGGGGTGGGGCTCGAACCCAGGATCCCTGGGTTCTGCAGCGCGAGCTTTCGCTCCACGTGCTCCGAGCTGGTGTGCGCTAGACCACTCGGCCACCGATCCCCCCATTGAAACATACATTGGCTATTAGTACCGTCTATCTCGGTGTTGGCTCAAAAAGAAAAACTCTTTATCTGTTAAGTGCCGTGAAAAGGGAAAACCAGACGGGTTAAATTCACGGATACTAGTGGTCAATGCATTTATTTGTTTTGTTCCAACATGAACACAGGAAAACCGCCAAGTTGTACATACTACCTGCGGACAACGTTCAGTGCGTCTTCAAGTTCAAACAGCCGCCTGATTGTTCGAACTGTCGTCTGCTCTTCCAAACGTTTCTGCTTGTTGTCTGCTCTTTTAGACGACACGGGCCTGTGGGCCAAACGTTGGCCCGGTACTTGCGATAAGAAGTAAGTGCGGGCCTCAAAAGACTTGAGATTGAAGGTTGGTAAGCAGGCTCGATGTAAACAGTAGATGCAAGATGTTATCATTGTTACCAGTGGCCATCACAGACTTGTTATGCCTCATTCACTTGGTCCAATTCTGCTTGCGATTTTTGGTACCGACGTCGATTATCTCAGCTACGGTTCACGCTTTTGCAGCCCAAGCAACGTTGCGACTGAAAATTGCGAACGAAATCTCATCATGCGAATCAGGCTTTAGCATCCATTTTGCGGCGTCCACGCGGTATGAATCGCCGCATGTCACATTATTCACGCGAAGTTTTACTGTGTAACGAGCCTCGGTAATTTCGCTGACGCCGCTCAAGTAGTCAGACATTGCCAGGAAGACGTAGAATCAACAATTCGAACGCGAAAAAGGGCAGGGGGACTCATACCGACGCCGACAACATCTCATTTCCATGGTTTGTTTATGGGCGACGGCGAGCTTCTTGCCCACACCCCCATCGCGCATGCGCGGCGCTGGTGGCATCCGCTAGAGGGGCTCCGGTTTGTAAACATTAGTTGGTCTATAAACAATGTTTAACTTTGGTATACTTCAGGCCCAAACCTCTATTCCACAGCAGGTGTGAAAACAAGTGACGATTCTAAGCAAAATAACAACTGAAAGGAAGATAGAGTGTTTTCAAGGCTTGTCAGCAATCCGGTGACGCTTATGTATTGCTAATATGCCAGTCCTGTCATCATGCGCAGAGCCGTTTCTACTGAAAGAGTTTGGCCAATGGGCAAAGCTTGTTGCCCACTAGAACCAGCGGATTTCTCATTAACAGAAAATGGCGTTACTTCTTTGTCGTGTTTATTCCTGAGAAATCGCATAGAGTTCCTATGAGTCAGAGCCACAAAATTGCAGACGAAAGTAGTCATCCCCCGGTTGTCAGACTACGCTGCTGTGGTTGTAATGGCTGAACTCTATGGAACGAATTATGTGACGCATAACTGGCGAATGCCGCCCGACGGCACGCTTGCTTTGCGCGCGACGTAGCAGCCACTGTGTTCATTCCACGCGCAGAGAAAAAGCCGCCGGGCAAAATTCGTCGGTTATTCGCAGCATATTCTTCCCATGGAATTCAGCCTTAAGGCTGTCAAAATTTCCTTAAGAAGGCCAAACTTTCTCAGTATAAACGGCTCAGATTATGTCGAGCTCAAGTTTGTATTCTTGCACAGGGGATGCAGTAATGTCAGAACACTGAGCTCTTATTGCCTCATTGAAACAAATATTAAGTAAACCTCAATGCATCTAGCATTGAAGTCTACCCACTATCCTTCCAATCAAAGCCATTCAGAACTCGGCATCGTTCTAACATCACTGCAACCCCTGTGCAAGAAGCAGACGACTTGCTCTCCGCATACGAAAATGGCCCCATCTTGCATCTTTACAAGTGGTTAAAAATACTCAAAATGTTAAGAAGAAAGTATGTGGGCTATGAAAGGTGTCTTTTTTTATTATTCTCTATGCCAAGCAGCTTTTATCAGGCACTTGTTCTCGAAGATTTCGAGCATGCAGGTGATATTCTGAACATAGAGCAAGCATCTTCACGCAGAACAGAAAGAATAAAGCAGTACCTACTTATTGAAAATCTCACTATATTATGTGGCCTTCAATTTATTTTGATTGTGCATGCGCAGAGAGTTGCTGATCCAGTGTTACTGTGTAGTTCTTGCTGCTGTCTCCCTTGGTTTTCCAGATGCCCTTTGTTCGCACTTACCATAAAATATTGCGCATCCGCCCATACCACACTAAGTGCCCATACCCAACTTGTAAGATCAGAGAAAATATGCACAGTACATTGATGACTGGACAAGTGCCCATCCCCCATTTTTTAGCGATTATCTCTAAATTTTGAGTGGGCGCTTGCCCGGTATATTACGGTATACATGTTTGCAAGTCCGGCTTCAGGGCGCTGCCATCTTGCTTGGCTGGGGTGTGCTTGGACACGTCATAATCCAATTACGAAGCCTTGCCTTGATTACGAAGCGTAATCAAATCATGGCCGTGCCCACGAGAGCACCCCACTGAGCAAGATGGCGGCACCCTGAGGCCATACTTGAAAACGTGTATATCCCCCATGCTGAAAAGCGCCGACGTCATGTTCGCGCTAACAATGTCCGAGTATGCAGAAATACATATACGAAGCCGTTTTAGCACCATTTTAGAGCGCAGCTCTTAGGCGCCCGTTTCCGACTTGAGCGGCGTCGCCGTCGCCGTAACCGTGCATAACCCTCGTAACCCTTGTGAGGGTCACGAGGGTTACTCTCACGAGGGTTACCCTCACGAGGAACATGAGGGTTACCCTTGTGAGAGTAACCCTCGTAACCCTCACGAGGGTTACGAGGGTTAGTTACTCTTAAAAGGGCTACCCTCACGAAGGTCATAAGAGTTACCCTCACGGGGGTCATAAGAGTTACCCTCACGAGGGTCACGAGAGTTACCCTCGCAAGCGTTACCCTCACGGGGGTCATAAGAGTTACCCTCACGAGGGTCACCAGGGTTACCCTCACGAGGGTCATAAGAGTTACACTCACAAGGGTCACCAGGGTTACCCTCATGAGGGTCACCAGGGTTACCCTCACGAGGGTCATGAGGGTTACCCCCTGAGGTCACGTGACCCCTTCAGGTCAAGTGACCCCCCTGATGTCACGTGACCCCCGGAAGTCACGTGACCCCCTGAGGTCACGTGACTCCTTTAAGGCCACGTGACCCGCTGATGTCACGTGACCCCCGTCAGGTCACGTGATCTCCCTGAGGTCACGTGATTCACCTGAGGTCACGTGATCCGCCCTGAGGTGACGTGACCTCAGGGAGTCACCTATTCCTCAGTACCCTTCCGTCCTCCTCCTCAAGAGCTGCGCTCTAATCTGGCGTTACAGGGAGTTGTAAACGGCTTTCATTTTTTTCACTCCTTGAATTTAAAATAAAAACGCCGTAACTGACCGATTATTTCGTCTGGGTGACTGAGAAATGCTCCAATCTACCTGGTACGTACGAATTATTTGTGATATTTGCTCTTATAATGGAGCGCAGGGAGAAAATGCACTCACTTTTCCCCATAGAAATGCATTACCAGAAGTCAATTTTTGTCTGGTTGCTGTCTGCTTCAATTTGCGACAGTTCTCTTGCCCCAATTGAACCTCTAGCGTACATTACAATAGCTATATGTGGCGATCATCCCCGCAACCACAATTTAATAAAAAAGTTTTTTTTTTAATATTTAGGTTAGGTGGCACAATCTACTGCTTGTTATAAAAAAGTACAGACTTTAATATTCATCCATCAATCCAGGAAGTTTTCAACGTTGGGAGTGGATTGATAATTTTGTTTTATGTGGCTGTCCATTTGTGGAAAGGAAGTTTGTCTTCTGCGCCTTCATTGTAGAGGCATGCGGCGGACACTAATGGACTCTCATAAGCTTCAAACTCGCTGTCACAATAATTAAAGACTGATTAACATTGAACTGCACTCCATTGCAAACCTTGGGTTAGAACCCACTGCACCAACACAACAGGCAACGAAATCCCAAGTTGTCTTTCACCAGCCTTCACGAACAGACTAAACAAACCTTCCATATTTTGTCAGGAAGTAGTTTAAGCCTTTTCCTTATCATCTGTGATGTATTATAGCTTTTTGATCAGTCCAGCTAGCTTGCAAGGTATGAACTGCTATGCCCCGTTTCACCTGGCTGCAGCAAACGCTACGAGTCATCCCAGCCAATCCAGCTGTGTGAACGTAGCACGCAACTACGCTGTCCGCACACCATGACGCTTGGCACCTTGAAGGTCACGGTAAACCCACACAGCCCTGAATTGGCTCGAATGGCCTGCAGCATCCACTGCAGCCAGACGCAAGATGAAATGTAGTATAGAAGCATCTAACTCTGGTGCTCCTTTCAACTTTTATGCCAATGGTGAAACTAATAATTTGGTTTATGATAGTTGATGACAGAACCCAAAATAAGACAAGGTCTTCTATCCTTTCCTTTTTCTTTTTCACATTACAAGTTTTATTGATGTACTGTGCCCACATTTCAGCAACACCCATGTTCCATTCTAAGCGTGGCTCTGTGCACGTGTCCCTCAACATGCCCTTTCAAGTGCTGCACCAGGCTCACAAGAATTGCATCTTTGGGACCGGACGGCGCATGAAAGTTCCCAGCGAAAATGTAACTACGTACATTTTATGTATGGTTGTATCGCTCTATGATACAATATTACAATGGCCCTTTTGCCAAGGTACCATTGTACTGCATTGTCCCAGCAGTAGTAGCTAGCTAGGCTCTTTGTGGTCAAGATGTATGCCAATGAAAACTAACTGTTATGGGTTCTTTCCAAACTGACCCCTCAAGCATCCCATACCTCTGAGGAATAATGAGTTGATGATGGAAAAATTGATCAGTTTTAATTTAAAGTATGTGATGAAATTGCTGCACTATCATTTGAAGACGTGTTGAATTATGGTCGCATGCCTCTACTATGCCCAGGCGAGATGATGTTGCCATGACATCATCCCAGGCGAGATGATGCCACAACACCAGCCTATGGCACATTCATTAAGATCACACTGCATCACACTGTATTCTCCTTAGGGTTTTATGCGTGCATCATCCTAAGCTGGGCCTTAATTGAACAGAAGTACAGACTCTATGCATCATAATAGTGCAGTTCTGAAAAATTACTCATTGTATCTATCTCAAACCTCGAAAGGAGCGTATAAAAAATGGGCCAAGGAAATTTAAAGCCTTTTCTGCATTTCTTTTAAAAAAAGTTAATTAAACAAAGTGAAGTTAACCTAGAGTTTCCCGGCAAACCTTAAACAAAATCGCGTCTGCAGTATGGTTTTTCCATATCATGTAAGCACAGTCGTATTCCATTAATTGAAAGTTCCTCATCTGCATGACGCAGTGGAAGTGCCCATGGCACCTGAGTTCAAAACGAGGAGCACAAAGTGTGCAAAAGATTCTGCACAATTGAACAGAATTTTTGTTAGAAAAACAATTGTGGAGTGATTTGAGTAGAGAATGTGTAGTTTCCAGCTTAAACTTGTCCTCGATGAGAAACCGGGGTCACAGCCAAGTAATAATCATTTTATTTTGTACAAGTACCCCAGCAGCCCTCTTCAAGAATCCACAATGGTAACCCGGCGTACAAGAAAGACAGGATGTGTGGCAGCAATGTCGCTGAAGTGGGTCAAGATCTACCCAGATTTTCAGGTGGGTAGACGTTTCTTCCTTTGTCATTCTTTCACAGTAAGGACGTGGTATCAATTTGCATTGCGTACAGCAATTAGTGGCTTTTGTTGAAGCCTGCAAGATGGAACTGTAGGTAACTGTACTCCTCTCAAGTGCTGTGTGCAGCATTGCAGGATGGATTCACATGAGCGCAGCTTGGGGCCTGTAGAGCTCTGGTTCCATTTTTTGTTTCTGCTGGTTTTGATATGAACAGTCATTGCGCCTTCTTGTGGTCACGTAATTACTACTGCACAACACATTATAAACCCCCGGTGCACAGTCATACTGCAGTGGCCATGTAACTTCTCTGCAGCAGACCTACTGGAATGCACATTTTAGGCCAGAGTAACTTACTGCGCTTGCTAAATCTTCACGCAACAAATTCGGCAAAAGCTTGGCTTGAGAGAATGCTTTTCTTGTGGAAGTGCTTGTGCAAGCAAAATTTTTGCAGGCCTTTGTTGCTACGCTTGTGCCCTTGACAGATGTTTACACAACTTTCGAGATATGTAATAAACTAATTGTCTGCTTAATTTATTGGTGGAGCCTGAGCCACCAAATCCAAAGCCAGACCTAGTTGTTTAGGCAACACAATATGTTACTCTTCTTTCTCTTTTTACATGATACACCAGGTCGACATACCACCAGGTACAGGAATCAACAAAAGTCAAGAGAAGCGAGCTGAAGCTATCAGGAAACTGGAGGCACATCAGCGCCACGACGCCAAGACCGTACGACACAAACTCCGCATTTACATTTGCATCTCTGCGATGAGTGTTCACTTGGGACATGATTTCAAGGGCACAATGGTACTGAAGCAGCCTCTGGACAAGAAAGTGTCTCTCAAGATAAGGAGTCTGGTAGAGGAGGGCATCACCTCAGTGCGGGAGGTAAAGGAGCAGTTACGCCAGTACGTCCACGAAGTTCTCTTCCGTGGACAAGAGGTGCCTGACAAGACCTGCCGTGCCTTCTTCCCAAAGAATGAGATCATTTGCAACCATGTGCAAGCAGCACTTAGGAAGCACAGGCTCAGCTCTGCTGATCTGGATGGCTGCAAGGCTCTCCTCGAAAAGTGGAAGACACAGGACCCAGAAAGCAGGCTCTTCTTCCGTTCCCAGCGAGGCATCGGTCAGGCAGACGAGCATGGAGGAAGTGGAAAGCAGCCGGAAGCATCCACAGTGCAGCAACGGCCTGAGCCACAGCTGCTTTTTTGCTACCAGAGCAAGTTCATGTGGAACATCATGAGTAAGCATGGGGACGGTGCCATGCGGCTCGACGTGGCCAACAAGTCCAACGAATCGTTCCTTCCCGTCTTCTTCGTAAGCGTTGCGGCACCCCACGAGTATGTAACGGTTGGGGTGTTTGTTGTGGAGACTGAAGCTGTAGACTGTGTCGTTGAAGCCCTCCAAATGCTCCGTAGCTGGTGCCCGTCATTCGAGCCGGGACACTGTACCACCAATCACCGATCTGTGAGCATAAGTGCCCTTTGCACCGTTTTCCCCCAGAGCAAGGTGGTGATATGTCCTGGCTCCCGGGAACAGTCCTGGGCTTGGTGGATGCGCAGTTTTAAGGACGAAGTCTGGGATCGAAAGCTGGTCATTACTCTGTTGAGGGACATTGCAGACTCGACTTCAGAGCAGGAGCTAGAGGAAGCGCTGGACAACCTCAGGTCTTCGGAAGCATGGGAGAGCGAGCAGTTTCAGATGTACGTCGAGACCGAGTGGCTACACATAAAAGAAATGTGGGTCAAGCTGTACAGCTCGGACAGTAGCCCCAGACCAGACGAAGGCAAGGAGCGGGAGAACAAGCTGCTAAAGGAATTCCGTAGTGTCCCGTGCAGGAAGACACTTACAGCACTGGTTTCCACTTTGGTCGAAAGCCTCCTTCCAGCCCAGCAGCAGGAACTTGAGAAGGAGCACGGTGGCTCGCCTCTCGTGTCCGACGGCGCCAAGAAATTTACAGTACCCGATTACCTGCAGGGTCGTCCTCCAGCTTTCGTCTCTCATGTACTCAGTCGACTGACAGCTGCGATGGGGTACACCAAGGAGGACATTGTACCACTTTCGTCAGATGGATGCTTCTATGTGCGGTCACTGGGCTCCACAGACTGGTACACCCTTGACTTCGGTATCCCTAGTTGCTCCTGCACTGACTTTGTGCAGTCAAGGCTTCCCTGCGAACACTTCTGCGCCGTTTTCGCGCTCGTAGACGGTTGGTCGCTTGACGACCTACCAAAGAGATACCTTGAGGAACGGTGCATATTGCTTCGTGGTGCTAACCTCTCGGAAGTCGACGAGGGCCACTCAGGTCCCCCATTGGAAACCGATGATGACCGGCTATCCTCCGAGGTCTCGGTAACGCCCTCAGCAAACGAAATTGATATGTGTGCCGAGAACGACATTTTTGGCAGTACACTGGCGCTCCCAACTGCTACGGTTGATGTCTTGAACATCCCACTGTGCCCCACAGCTCCAACGCTGGAAAGAATGCGCCAGGAGCTTCGTGGACTCCTAGGGCGATGCGGTGACTTACTTCCATGCTGTTCTAACCTGCAAGCCTTAGGAAGTGCCAAGGAGCATCTGGAAGAAGTCTGCAACATGCTTTCTGGATCTGTGCCACCGAGTGCTTTGGAATGCTCGAGGAACAGCCAGCAGGACAATGATCCAAACTTAGCTACTTCTTAAAAAGCAGGTATTAGCCAAATAGGCCACAAGGCAAGCGTTTTCCAATGTAGAAAATAAATTTCGGTATGTGCTACTTCCCACACACCAGAGTGGAGAACAAAAATCAAGATTTAGATCGGACTATGCAAATGTAACCCCAAAAATAGTTTTTATTTACCATTTTTCTGTCATTTAATGCCATGTGCATAATCTAATTGAACATATGAACAGAACCATCATAGTAACTCTGGAAAGCTTTTTTTTGTCTTTATTGATGTTCACTCTTTATACATCAATAGGGACACAGGGATGGAACAATGGGGATACATCCCACATGATAAGGGTACGTCTGCAGTAGAAGAATTTTTCTCTGTGCATCCTTCGTCTCTAGCAGACAATGAATATATATTGGGCCAATTAGAATTAATCTTAAGCTGTCATCATTTTATTTTTTATAACACTGGTTATCAATTCAAAGTCATGGCACTACAATAGGGTGAGAATGTCCCCAATTTACGCTAATATTTTTATGGGTGAATTTGAGGAAAGCTTTGCATGGTCTTACGCCAAACTTCTGGCCATGTATATTTGTTATGTCGACGATATTTATCATTTGGAACGATACTGAAGGAACGCTCCTCGCTTTTCTGAGCTACCTGAATAATTGTCGCCGTTCTATTAAATTTACCTGGAATTACCCAACGAGCACCATGAGTTTCGCCAGTACAGACTAATAACAGCTGTACAGGAAATCATGTCTTTTAGCACCCAAGAATGTAGTGCAGGAAAGGAAAGGTAAAATATTTATTATAATTATTTATTATAATTATAAAAATATTTACACGCGGAAAGAGAGTGCGCTAAGAAGAAATTAGTCTCCCTTCTACACGAAAATGGGACGCTCCTGACTGATGAAAAGGATATCGAAGACGCTTTCGTATCTCACTACGAATTCCTTTTTTCACGAAAGTCCAGTCCTACGCACCCAAGACAAGAGGAAATAATATCTGCAGTACCCACCCTGCATAGTGATGTGACCATGAGCCTAAATGGGGCCCTGACGGTTGGAGAAATTGAAACTAACATCGTTGAGATGAAAAGTCGAAAGACTCCCGGTCCGGATGGTCTGCCGGCAAGTTTCTTTAAGAAATGGAAAAAACAACTTGCACCAGTACTTCTTCGTGTATTCAATGAATCATATGAAAAAGGTGTCTTACCGCCATCGTTCCGAAAAGCACATACAATACTTATTCCGAAGTCAAAAGATCCAGACAAGCTACAGCAGATTGGTAGCTATACAGACAAATTAGCTTACTAAATTGTGACTATAAAATATTCGCCCGCCTGCTCGCTGCTCGATTGCAAAATGTGATATCCTCGGTTGTAGGAGACCACCAAACTTGCTCCATAAAAGGAAGAAATATCCAGACAAACCTTCCAGGGCCGTACCCAGAAAAAAATTTCGGGGGGGGTTTTCGAGGACAACGGCGGCCATTTTGTCTTATTTTCGCCTATGAATCATGTGCATCGGTGGCATATAATGGAGAGTTATAGCAAACCGAAGAACCGGTCCCGGTTTGGTACCCGGTAGCCGACCGGTGCCACTGCGCGTGCGCAGAGGTGGAGATTAAAATCGGCTTGCTGCAAGTGCACCGACCAGGGCCGTACCCAGAAAAAAATTTCGGGGGGGGTCAGAACCCCCTATCCCCCCCCCTGGTTACGGCCCTGAAACCTTCATATTGTACGGTCTATATTAGAAATATGCGAAAGAACTTGTGAAACAGCTGCAATCTTGCAAATTGATCTTTCAAAAGCTTTTGACAGGATGGAACATCCTTTCCTTTTTGCTCTTCTGAAACATATAAAAGTAGGCGAAACAATTGAGAAAGGCGTGGGACTTTGTTACAATGATATTACGACTAAGTTGGTTATGAACGGATCTCTCACAAAGACCATTCAGGTTCAACGCTCAGTGGGTCAGGGTTGCCCCCTCTCACCATTACTCTTCGACTTGTATTTGGAACCACTCTGCAGAAGCATCATAAACAACAACACGGTTCAAGGTTTTCGTCTCCACGGTTGCGAGATGAAAACTCTCGCATATGCAGACGATCTGGTGCTGGTGTGTTCCGATAAACCTAGCATAGTAAACGGAATGTCATGTGTTTCAGACTTCTGTGCCACGTCTGGTGCTGCCATTAACAATGACAAAAGTTGTGGCTCCTGGTGTGGGGAGTGGGGGACAATGCCATCTAAATTTGTAGACATTACATGGTCAACAAGCAAACCGTAACTTTTAGGGGTACCTTTAAGTGCTATGGACAACCCAAAGTCTATGTGGGACAACGTTGGAATGACTGTTAAAACGGCTGCGCGCATGTGGAACACGTACCTTTCGATCTTTGGTCGAGCTGCTGTTTGCAACATCTTTTTCTTGTCAAAACTGACGTACCTCCTCCAGGTCCTACACTGTTCAAGGACGACGGTCAATATGTTCAATAGGATATTTGCCACATTTATTTGGAGGTCTTCCTATGAACCGATGAGAAGATCTAATTTATTTCGTTCTATCGAAGATGGTGGTCTTGGCCTAGGTCATATTTTTGTGAGGCAATTAATTGCCAGGTGGAAGTTCTTCCAGGAACCACAACACCCATTCCTTGAAATTTGTAAGAAATTATTTTTGACAAACTACATTGAACCTAAGAACCGATTGCAGGTCTCGCACAATATCGGAAAGTTGCGGGGTTTTTATAAGGAAGTAGCAGACACCTTAGATTTCCTAAAAGATAGATTTGATCAGGCCTTTCTAGAGTCATGCTCCAAAATAAGTCTAGTAAAGCAGCTATTAAGAACGTTGTTCCCTGAACCGATATATCGATTAAGCCCGTTCGACCCTCCTCAAAACTGTAATATGGACCTAATGAAAAGAATTAAGAGAATGCCGATTCCGCCAAAATGCAAAACATTCTTCTTTCGCTTCCATTCGCGAACTGTGCCGGTGAAGGAGTGGCTTGAGTCCAGAGGCATTGAGGAAGCATGGTCCCTGGATTGCAGACTTTGCAAGACTACCGAGACATTTACACATGCTTTTGTAATTTGTGTAGACGCGTTTTTCTTTTGGGATGTTTTCAAAAGGACATTAAGGAAAGATTTCGAGGTGGAAGAGAAAATTCTTCGCTATTTACATTTTTCAGAGCAACTAGACAGTGTGCTAGACACGCTTGTCGTTCTAGGGCTTTACAGTCTATGGAAAACCAGAAAGGTTGACACGGAAGGAGGGGTTGCAAAGCCTTCATGGGTAAATTTCAAGAACATAGCTATACCAGAGGGCCAACGGATGGTTAAAGTTTGTGAAGATACAGAATGGAAAGAAGTTGTAACCAATCTTAGCCGTTCCCCGGTCATCCTATAAAGCAAACTCTCTAGCTTGCAGCGCAAGCTATGCAGAATGGATACCTATGCCAACAGCGTAATCTGGTTGGTGAAAAGTGTATGGATGACTCAAATGCTATGCGGTCTTCAGTGACAGTATGTAAATAGTTTGTATCATATTCCAAGTGAGTGAACCATTTGTACATAGTATAGTGTTCTGTAGATAACTGTAAATAAATTTCTGTTTACAAAAGAAAAAAAAAAGTGTTGAGTAGCTCAGTGGTAAGGTGCTTGCCTCGTACGCAGCAAGTCCCTGGTTCGATCCGCCGTGTCCTCTCTCTCTTTTTTTTTTTTGAAAGTTTGTTTTGTAGAGGCATTTGGCGATATTTACGACATATCTTCTTTAGCATTAACACCGAAACAAAAAAAAAACTAAATAAACCGAATGTTGTAGACGAAACTTCGCTATGGACAAACGTGAAAACAGCGCAAAAAATTGAACAAAGGACAAGTGAAAGAAGTGCACGGACAAAGCGCTGACTGTCAACTAAAGTTTAATTTTCAGGCGAACCAGAAAAATAAACAGAGCATAGGAAAGAACCAATACAGACAAAAAATTATACAACCCAACCGACAGGATTTCTACCACGTCATCACCCTCACTCATGCCTGCCATTCTCCCTGATAAAAAAGACCTCATCATCCCCCAAGTGCACCGACGGTGCGCTCACACATTGCCCTTCCCCTTTAGATAAAATGAAAAATGCCTCTTCAATCTTCCTGGCGGTCTTACTTTTATTGCGCGCCAAGATCGTCAAGTCATGAAAAACAGGTACGCAGCCGCACCTACTGCAATGTACCGCTAAGTGGCCAGCGGGGGAGGAACGGAGAGAAAGGGAACGCTCCCTCGCCCTCTTGTTCACGCACCTTCCCGTTTGTCCAATGTACACCCTACCACATGTGAAGGGGATCTGATAGATAAGCCCCACTGCGCATGGTACAAAAGGAGTGCGGTGGTTGACATCACATTGCAAATCACTGTTCCTCCCTCGGTTGACAGCAGTGCACAGGCGTGACAGCTTCTGGGGTGCTGAAAACACCACTGGCACGTTAAACTTATGCGCCACTCGCTTGACCTGATGAGAGAGGTTGTGGAGATAAGGCACCACCACCGGTCTTGTTGTCGGTTTTTGTCTAATCTTAGGACTGGGTCGGCCCCTGAGCACCTTTATGAGGGACTCTGCCACGCCCACAATCAACGCAAGAGGGTATCCCACCGATCTCAGCCTAGATACCTGAAACAAAAGACTGTTCTCACACCTATGATGGCTTGACTTCAGCAGAGAAGCCCTCATACACCCCGTAGTAACCACCCTCTTCACAAGCTTAGAGTGCGCTGAACCGAATTCGCCTGAAAATTAAACTTTAGTTGACAGTCAGCGCTTTGTCCGTGCACTTCTTTCACTTGTCCTTTGTACAATTTTTTGCGCTGTTTTCACGTTTGACGATGTTCAACCAACTAGACCAACTTACCGCCTTGTTGAACTTCGCTATGGACTCCCTTTTCGGGGTGTGAATGGAGGAGAGAGGGGCTTGGGCCGCCGGCGGGCCGCCGCGAAGCGGCGTGTACTGGTAGGCCAATTGGGTCAATATTTTTCTAATGAGCAGCCGCAGACTGTCGTCGCGAAGCGGCGTGAACGCAGGGGGGGGATGTGTTAACGAGCTCCCCAGTGATACACGCGCCCTCCGAAACGGCCGGCATTTTT